GTAGAATCACGTCGTCCTGCAATCCACAAGCTTTGGCAGGTATAAATCCACAGTTTTAAGTGATTTTTGAAGTCCTTTGCATTTTCTTGTCCTCGTAAATCCAGGTATCATTCCCTTTTTTTCCCTAACAAGCGATGTTGATTGAAAAATTCGACTAGTGAATTGTTTTTACTTCGAACAATGACAACAGCTGTGGAGGCCGAGCGAGCGAACTCGTAACTGATAAATTTATTTGTACGTATTTAGGTAAGGCAAATCACATATCTTTAATAGAGAGGAAATAAACTTTATATGGAAAACAGCTATCAGATCGGAATGTCTCTTTTTCCAAATCTAAACTCTGACAGACACTCGGACTCAATCATCTCATTCACGCTGAAAGTTGAATAATCTTCATATGGAAAGCAGGTGTTTTTCCACTCGAAGAGGTCACAAACACAAAAAATAATTCTTCATCGTCAATGAAATTAGACGTACGGCTTAAAAAATAAGATCTTGCATTGTTTTAAAAGATGCAAATGCGAAAAACTTTGTTGCGAACGAACATCACAGTTTTACATTTGTGTTTACATTCAGTGTCGTCGTCGTCGACCTACCGCATCTTAAGTTTCCTTTTTCTCACCGAAACTGACATTCTCGTTCCAGTCTTTTCCCAGTCAACAGATGTCGTCGTTGTGAACTTCGTCGTGGTTCTTAAGTTCACTAATGATTGACACTGAACTAATGATTATATGCATATCATATACCATATTTCCACAAATAGTAGCTGTCCCTCAATTAATCGCCTCCCTCGAATAATTGTCCCCGTTCAACTGACATTTTTAAATAATTGCCTCCCTCAAATAATCGCCTCCCCCCCCCCGCCACGCTCGCCATCTTCTCTTCCTTTCATTCTCTCCCTGTCAAGATAAAGTGCGATGTGATCTAGCAAAACTGATCAGTGATGATTCAAGCTATGAAAATTAATCAAGGACCTAAAGTTGGAACACTTAAAAAGCCCATGTTCAGTTTATTTGATGTGATTATTTTTCCATTTAAAGGGAAAAGAAAAAAAAATATTTAGGGCACAACTTCCAGTGAGCAATATTTGAAATAATGGCAACCTTTTTGCGCAAAAAAAATAATAATCGCCCCCGGCTATTATTTGAGGAAATATGTATTTGAACTGCAGGATGAGGAAATGATTGAAGAAGAGATCATCACAGTTAAATACACAACTTATGAGGTTACATCTTTTCGGTATTTTTTTCAGGGTTTTTTCTCAACTGCATAAGTTGCATACTTAACTTTGATGATCTTCTCTACATTTATGGTCAACATTACACTGTCCAAACATCCTGATCTCATCAGGATTCTCCCAATTTGGGCTTAGGTTGGTTGCTGGTGGTCAAGAATAAAAGCATTTCTCTCCTCTGGCAACTAAACTCAATATTTTTGTAAATGATTCGAGAAAAAATTCTATTGTATTGACCCACAACATGGCCGCCTTGTCACGTGGTTGCAAACCAAGAAGATGCGATCGGAACAGGAAAAATCCCGATTTTGACATCTATTCTGAAACTTTCCAATGAATTCATATGGTACTTAAACAAGTAACACCTAACAGAGTATACTTGACCGCGACAGTCGCTTTAGTGAACATTTTAGATAGAAATTGTCGTCTCAGAACTCTAGAAATGCCATTTCAGTGCATCAAGATTTCAAAGGTTTGTGGAGATCCATCGAAACTGATGAAAAGAGTGCCTTATAACTCAACCATCGCTAACTGGTCCTTATTACAAGTTGAAATTTTTAAACCGCGGAAGGATCTTTTCGTCATGTGATGAAAATTTCCACATGCTGACACCTCCTTACTTGACGAACTGTTGGGCCAGTCGACAGTTTGATTTTGTTACAGGCTACAGTGCTGCCGTTATAACATTACCGAATGCACTACTGAATGAAAAATCAAGCACCTTTCGTCATTGCAAGCTTTCGATTTGAAAAATGAACGCAACCTCTGTATAGTAAGCTTAGATATTCAGAGTTAATTTCTCTTACCATCTGAAACTTCACCGATTTTTGCAAAGAATTCTCTTAAACGATCGTCGTCTGTGTTAAAGCTCAAGGAACCAACATAGAGCCTCTTCTTATCTTCGTCGTCTCCCATTTCTCTTAAAATTTTACCTCTCGAGGAAACAGGTTACAGAACAAAAACTACCTCGTGCTCCAACAAACTTGCGTGCTCCTCTGCTACTGCGTGTATTGAACACTAACCGGATAAACCGGTTTCTTGCTTTGTACCCAGTTCCTGCACGGGATCAATGAAGAGATCAAATATCTGTGTTACAGTGTAGGACCGATGTTGTACGAGATTACTCCTCACATTCATCAGAACATGGTGGTGGAACTCCAGGAGCCCATCACCCTCCGGCCTGGTACGTCAGTTGTCAGTTTTAAAATTTAAGACGATTTGTCTGTTGCCAGTTAAAATTTTGGCCACTTGTCACAGTGACCGTATTTCCTCGAATAATAGCCGGGGGTGATTATTTCTTTTTTCGCACAAAAAGGGGGCGATTATTCAAGGGCGGCGCTTATTTCATATATTGCTCACTGGAAGTCAAATAAACTGAACATGAGCTTTTTAAGTGTTCCAAATTTAGTTCTTTGATTAATTTTCCGAGCTTGAATCGTCACTGATCAGTTTTGCTGGATCGCATTGCACTTCAATTTGACAGGGAGGGGATAAAAGGAAGAGACGATGGCGAGAGCCAATTATTCGAGAGAGGCGATTCTTTTAAGTATTTCCCTCAAGGGGGGCGATTATCTGAGGAGGCGAGGGACGGCTATTATTCGAAGAAATACGGTAACCCCATCCACACCCTCTATAGTAAACAATAAAAACACTAAGTTCGTAAAATAGACAATGGAAAGTAAAAAGTCTCATTGTTTCTATCTAAAATTATACTTTAAATAAAACTGCCAATACTTTCACTGTTGCTTACTTTGAGAGGAATCTCGTTCCATTCTAAATTTGAACAAAAAGTATGAAGAACGTAGTTGGGCTTTACTACAATGAGATCTGTCAATTCTCAAATCACTAGCATGACGCGTTGGTAAATGTGGACTAAAAACCCAGTGTTAAAATGATAATTGTTGTCCAAAAGGCCATTGAGGAATTTAAACTCGGGGTAGCTAATGGAACGTTCGGTTATCGAACCCAATCGAACTCCAATCGTTGGATTGACTTCGACTGGGTTCGGTAATCGAACTCCGAAAAGTTCCAGTTCGATTATGTTCGATTACCGAAAAAATCAAACAACAGTTCGATTGACTTTTGGTTCGGATTCGTTCGATTAGCTACCCCGGGTTAAAAATATGCACAAGTCGATGTGTGCGCCGTCGAACCCGAAGATTCACTGAAGATTGACCCACCCAAGATCGATAAGCGCCTGAGTAAATGAGGAGTGTGTAGGACGATTGAGAACAATCTTGGCCGCTTTATTGTGCAGTACCTTGAGGGAATCCATTATAAGTTGCACCAATATCATAGCTGACTTGACGTATGTTTAACTCCTTTGCTTAGTTTTTTTGCTTCTTTTAAATTTTAAAACTTTGATATTCTTTCGGGTACAAACGTGCGTAATTTATCACTTAGAAACGAGAAGGACTGATGATTGGCCGAGTTAACTTTCGCAAAGACTTCCGGGACTGTTACTTGGCGCGTCCCCATTGCAACGATCCCAGAAACAATTGCGGGATGCATTTGGTTCCAGTTTCTTTCTGGTTTCTAAAGTAGCGAGTGGCGCTCATGTAACTACACCTTAACCCCTGTATGTTATCAGCCAAGATTGAAAACAAGCAACTCATAGGACAATCTTTATCGAATCAGCTGTAAAGATTATCAACTCACTTGATAAAACAAAATCTTTGTGTTTCCCACCCACTCAGACGAAAAACAACTGTTTCTTTAGAAACAAAAACCTTTTTACATTTGTGGAGATGCGGGCGCCTTATCTGTGCTGACGTACTAGTTTTGACAGTTTTTCTTTCTCTTTTTTTTTCGGTAAACCCACATTCATTTGTTTTAATAAGCGTCTATTTCCACTCTTGGAAACAAATCCTTGGAAGTGTAAGCCGTCCAGCTATTTCTAGCCCGCGTAACAAGCGTTTGCCCGCGAGTTCGTTAAGAAAGTTGGGACGAGAGCAAAAAAGAGGAATGAAGGGGGAGGGGGAGGGTAGAGAAGGAAACTCTTTTCCCCTGGTCCTCCCCCTTCAATCTTCTATTTCTTTCACTCTCGCTCCAAATTTCGCGCAATAACTCGATTGAAAACGCTTGCTACGTAGGCTAAAATACTTCCGAATTTCTCTAAGCCTCTCCTTATCGAATTAAGCGAGGCAGAGTACGCCCTTCGCCCCCTCCCGATTTTCTTTGAGGGAAAGGGGCGGCTGTACACATACGAAAATTATATTGGGTTCAAATTTTGCCATTAGATTTTTTGGCGCCAACATCACCAGCCCTGGGGTTGAGAATATCAAACGCGCTAACATGAGTAATGTAAAAATTCCGAAGCGGAGTTCCCGTGGCATTGGAGCACCATGGGTATAAAACTTGGTTACCGTATCTGTGCAAACAAGAAATTTTGGTAGTGACAAAGTTAGCAGATGTGAAATGTCACACTTACTAGCTGATAGGTGTTCAAGGCATATTCAATCTGTGTTTAACTTGATAATGGACATCCATGTTACGGTCAATTGACAGCTGTCAAAAAGGTATCCGCTGACCGGTGTGACGTGACTTATCGCAGGCGCAAGTGAACAACTTATCGAGGTGAAGTGTTCATTTACAGTGTCGGTTTTAATTAATCGCAGGCACTGGTCCATTTTTTTTTCAGGAGAAATTCACTTTTCTTGCTAACGCAAAAGTTGAACTGCTTGAAAAAGACATTTCTTAAAAAATCCCAGAGGAGCTTCACTGTGGGCCGTAGAAAATCTATATATTATCTCTACGCTCATCTTGAACCCAGTTCTCGCTCTGTCTTACGCTGAAAACCCTTGGCCGAGATAGATCTGGGTACAAGATTGACCTCTACCTTTCATTTTCTTTATATAGTATTATTATAAAGTACCTCGTACTTTTTGTTTGTACCTATTCACGAAAGTTTCATTAATATAATTTATCTACATAGAAATCTAACTTTTAACAATAAGAGTGCTCCTTTTTCTTTTTTAGCTCATTGGTCAAATAGATTTGAAGCATACTTTGAAATAATTTTAAGTCACTTCTCTTTTTCTGACTGTAAAGCAAGAAGTTTATCAGATGAATCTGTGGAGCTCCCCAAATTTGTCGAGTCGCTTTCTTCCACCCTGTTCATTTCACAACCTCCTTCATCCGTTTCTTTTAAGGAAATCTTATCTTCTTCTTCTACGCCTTTTTGAAGCAGTCTTCTTGCAGTTACCGTGCACGACTCCCAGAATTTCGTCAAAACACCATTTTTGTCCGCGCAGAAATCTTCCAGTTCAATTCTCAGTTTACTTTCACTTCCTTTATCACCAGTACCCGCTGACCGCCAGCGTCTTGTCAACATATGATTTGGCATCCAATAGAAACCCCAATACCTGCCACTGTGTTGGTCCATTATTGACCCATGTTGGTCATTCATAAAAGGATCATTATCATCTTCCCAGGTAGAGATACGTACAAAAGCTACGCCGCTCGTGTGCACGTAGTCATGTGCGCGGCACTGCACGGGCGTCATTTGCACCATCGGCGAGCTCACGTGCATCGAGCCATATGGTGTGTCCCGGATGAAACCAAACCTTGAAACAAAGCAACAAAGTGCTGTTGTCATGGTGAAAAATGACGTGTAATTTTGGGCTTGCCTGTACACAGACGTTGCTTTATTTTTCTTTTCGATAATCGGCGAGCGCGCTTGGTGGACTTTTAAGAGAAAATAGCGGGTCTGTGAACAGGCTATTTTGGGCAAGAGGGCACGTTATTAGAATGAAAGTGCCAGAACTGGCAAGAAGGTAGTGGTAAAGTTTGAAAGCCAAATCTGATTGGCTGAACGTTAAAACTTGTGTCACATTATGGTACGAAATGTTGCCCAAGGTTAACAAGGTTGTGCAGTTAAGGTGGCTCGATACAGCGATACAGTTTTTCAGGGTCAATACCTCCCAAATTTGAGTACGTTGCCATAAACAAAGATTTGGAAAAATTTACTGAAAAACTGTATCGAGCCACCTTAAGGTTGTGCGCAGTGTTGCTGAAACAGAAGAAGATTGCTGCTGACATATTGAGCCAATGTTACGTGCAACAAAAGATAAACGCCGTAATATTTTCAGTTTCAACTCTGCAATTCAATGTGGATTAGGATATATAAATCACTTTGCTTTAAGCACCATAATTTAATTTTTCTTTTTATGAAAGGCTATTCTACAAGTAAGCTTGTCCCAACAAACAATGTGACCCATCTAGTCTCCTTCGCAGCCGTTTTTAGGCTCGTCACGCAACGCTAAGTGGGGAGGAGCGTTGCGTGACGAGCCTAAAAGCAACTGTAAAGTAGACTATGACCCATTCACCACTTTAAAAAAAGAGAAGGAAACTGGGCCGAGTTAACTTTCGCAAAGGCTTCTGGTCCTGATACCAGGGACACGGAAAAAAATAGCCAATAGCTGACCGGCTTGTTCCCAGTAACGATCCCAGAAACACTTGCGGGACACATTTCGGCTCCAGATCCCTTCCCGTTTTTAAAGTGACGAACTCGTTTTTAATTCAGCCCTTTTCGTTTGGTTTTTAGTTGAAAAATGGAAACTCAAGTATTTTTTCTTGACTTGAGAATATGCAAAGTTTGAGACATTAATAGCGAAGAAAACATTCAAGACTACTTAACGTCAATTGTCCCACAAGGACGTAAGCAAGCAGTACATACGCACCTTTGAAGTATGGCTTCCAAAAATAGAAACATTCTTAGATTTCGCGTGGATGGTTCAAATTCTGAAATACAAAAATCGTAACAATTTTTGGTTGCAAAAAACATGAACAAAACCGATCAAGTGAAGATCATTCAGACTCAATGGAGCGTAACTATCGGTGATTATATGACCAACAAATCTAACATACTGTAAATCCTCTATTAGCCCCCCCCTCCTCAAATAAGCCCCCTCCCTCTAATAAGCTCCCTCTTTTCAGGGGAAGAAAGTTGATAAGCCTCCCTCCTCCCTCTCCATTAAGCCACCCCTCCCCTAATTATTCTTCACTAATAAATGATAGACTGTATTAATCCATCACGACTGTAAAACTTCGTGTGGACTGATCCGGGATAGTTTATTTACCAACTAGAAGTTGAGATTTGATTCTGATCCTCAGCTGCGTGGCCTCCAACCGTCTTGTACTTGAGGTTTTCCACTTTGTATTCTAGTTCTTCATGAAGAGCTGATGCCATTATTTTTTTCTGAATTAAATAAGCCCCCCCCCTCTCAAATAAGCCTCTCGTCGCTACTAAGCCTCCCTCAAATGGACTTGAAAAAAAAAAGCCCCCCCCCGGGGGGGGGGGGGGGTTTAGAGGATTTACAGTAATATAGTAAATAATGGTATTTCTGAAAGTGTAGCCAGGCAAGAGGACTGGGGCCATGTAAGGAGACTATGATGAAAAAACGATTTTTTTTTTAATCTGATAGTTACCCGTTATGAATTGGAATCACTTAAAATCAGAATACCAAACTCCTTTATCATTATCGTAAATTATTATAAATTTACGTCCAGCGATTCGCACTTGCCAGAGCAGATAGTACTGCTGCTAATTTGAGTAAGTGCGGTACATGTTTACCCATTAAGTCCCAAGTGTGACAGAAATCAATTTTCTCGTAACAATTGTCATGCACAATCAATAGGAAAGGTTATGAGAGGACCGTACAAACGACTTATTGACGGAATCAAACAAAACTAACCACCAGAGAACGACTGGACAACTGAAAATTTGACTAACAATAAACGACTGATTAACCGTGACAATAGACGGATCGAAACGCACCAATGACATTGCGAGAGTCTTCATAGCCAATAACATCACGGCTTAACTGACAGAAGACCATTAACATCTCGACTTAAATGACCAACCAGGTCAATAACCAAAGTTAAATACCATGGACTGACGTGATACAACTCACTTCGACTCTGAAGATGACTACCGCACAGATTGTCGAAACGTCAGTCACTGTCAATAACAGTTCTATTCAGGACTACGTTCACCTGGACGATCATACTCAACCTACTTATGGTTCAAACCTTTTACAAAGGGAAAATGCTTTGATCTTTTATCGTATTCTCTCAACTAACTGTTTAAAGAATTGTAAGAAAAACAGTTTGGACAATTTGAATTTGGACATTAGGCCTTTGTTTTGTTTTTGAGCTATTTTGAAAAAATAGCTCATATGTAAGTGGTGTGAGCGTATGTATCTTTGTGGCTTTGTATCTTTGTATGTTGGGATGTTTGTTGCAAGAGCCAATAAGATTGAAGGTACTATGAGTTAATGCTTAGGAACCAATGAGATCTTGGCATCTATTTAAACATGGCATTGGTAAAGGTCGAACAAGGGCACTTTGAGACCGCCATCTTGATCCTTCACATTTTTTTCGTCTTTTATTACGGGTACAGGTGTTTGGAAGCATTACATAAAATATCTTCATGATTCAAACGCTGTGAACAGTGATGCAGCTGTTTAAGGGTTCATATTTTAGTGTGGATGCTGCTTCAAGACATTTGTGACCGATTCGGCTATCCCGAACGGTACAACGCACGTATTTATAAGTTGTGTTTCACCTGCTTCCAGTGCAGGTAGAGTATAAAAGATGATATATTTTCAAAGCTCTTCCAGTGAAACAATAATTGATATTTAGAAATGAACTTTAATTCGAAAGCATGCGGCGTATAAATTGTGGTTTTAGATGTTTCAACGGCAGCTTATTTTTTTAGAATTTGTATCGAGTATTGTTAATCCTGTAAACAAGCTTTATTCTCTCGCTTACAAAGTTCAACAGACCTTTTTCGTTCCGGCAATTAAGACATGAATAAGTGAACAACATGATACATCCTTGTTGCTTACTAAGTATTATAGTTATTGAAACGTATTTTATTTAGTAAAGATGCGTAACTCAGGTAGAAACAGTAGCGTTAGGGAATAACATTGGAAGAAGCTAGTTGACACAATAATTAGATACTGTTGTATTGAGTTTCGGCAGTTTGATAATTTTCTTGGAAGTTAATAAATGTTAGGCTATCAACCTTGACGTTGCATGAAACATAATTTAATTTAATTTTTTAACGTACGAATTGTAAAAGGGCCAAAGACCAACATCTTCACGTGCAAATTGTGTGCATGAGTTATTTTTATAATTCTGTTTAGTAGTTTACCGTGTGATAACTCGAATTCCCTCACGTACGAACCACGAAAGGGGGCAAAGTCCAACACTTTTACGTGCCAGCTGTGTGACAGTACATCTCATGCAGATTGGCTTTTCACAATAATTAATAGTAACTTGGACGTCTGAAGACCTGTTTCGTTTTGTAACCAATGCCTTAAAAAAGGCTCTTGTCTTTTAAAAAGCAATAGCTTTTAAAACACGAAGAAATAAGTTGTCGGAGTTAAAGACTGTTTCACTGAGTAGAATCGCACGTGAAAACCTCGTGAATTATGATGATGCAACCATCTACCTCAAAGATAAAAATCCTGGTATTTCGCAACTATTCAGTATTTGATGAGTCACATTTTGGCTTACGAAACGTTTGGTGAGTAGAAATTTATTTTACTTTAACAATTTGTTTAACTTGCACCAGATGTAACAGGGAAAGACAGAGGAAAGTCAATATATAGCTCGAGGATCGACTCAGCTGAGCGTTTCGCGTTTTCATTTATGTAGCGCAATACCCAATTTCGCACAAAAACCCAATCTACATTTAGGATGAAAAAGGTAGATTCATCACTCTTGGTAAGGTTACACCGAAGCATTAAAGTTACACTGAAGCATTCAAAATAGCTCATGCACGTTTAACGTGCCTATGTTTCTGTTTATGTTGTTGTTGTTTTCTTATTCACAAAGCAGTTTTGGGCTATCGAATCTGGAGGTTTCATGTTTAATTACGATTGCTTGGGACAACTTACACGAATCCTAAGTATACACCAACAAATTAATGTCAGTTTTGAAGTAAACTAGCCACCAGTTCGTGATCAGTGGTTGATGTTTCGACAACCTGTGCGGTAGTCGGAATTTTTAAAGCAATATCGGGGCGGGATTCGGGATTGAAAGTATGCACGGGATGTGGTATGGCGAAAATAACCCTCGGGATTAAGGGATTGAGGGAAAATTTAGGTCGGGATGACGGGATTGTTCCTCTTTCTTACCTCTGAACAGACTACATGCGTCCGCTGCTCCCTCGGGTAAGTTAAACGAAATAAACAAAGGCAAACGAAAAGGGTCGACATTCCTACCAGCTGGATCAGGGAATGGACTTACTGGAACGGGAACTTTGTGAAAGCCACAAGAAGGTGCCTTACGAGTCCATGATTGAACCTGAGGAGAGCAAAGCGGATACGATCACTCGTTATCATCATCATCATCATCATCATTATCACCGTCAACATCATCATCACAATCACTTTTATAGAGCGTATTCACTCACGTGACCAGCGTCTATGCTAATTTTTACGAACAAAAGAAAGTTTTTACATAGAAAAGAGTTCAATTCCCACAGGGTTGTCTTGGTACACCAACATGGCCGCCGTGACGTCATGTGAATACGCTCTATAGCCTACAAATTAGCCTGTTTATCAAGCGCTTCTATGTTTACGCTAAATTTTGGCGGTAAACAAGGTATATTATGGACAGAATAAAAGTGACGAACGATTATCTTCAGATTGCGCAAACAAAGGTACAGTATAGTGTAAGAAAAGTGACTGAAAAAATGGATTTTTTATAAGCATGGACTATGTGGCTTACAGGCATATCGCTTATGAAATAAAGTGAACTACCATGGGTTGCCGCTTCGCTTTTATATGAGCCCCTCTCCCTGACTCCCTGATAATTTTCCTGCTCCAATTAACTCCCCTCATGAAAAAGGCTGGAAAAATAAGCCCCGGAGGACGCTTGTTAGAGCGATTACTGTAAGACTTTGATGTTTTTCATCCTACCATGTTATTTACTATACTCCCAGTCGCTGCTATCCAGTGTAGCTCGATCTGAAACGCATGATGGGTGCAGAAATTACCATGGTAACGTACGATGCAGGTTTCAGGGCGTTGGTTCTTGTGATGAGGATCAGCATCCAGGGTAACAAACTTGTAAGCTGGGCCACAGCCACAGTCTATGGAGTATGCAATAGGATAATACTCGATAATCAATAATAATAATAATAATAATAATAATAAAATGACAACAACAATAACAATAATAATAATAATAGGACTGCTCAGTTGTTGACGGTGACTGACATTTCAACAACCTGTGCGGTAGTTATCTTCTGAAACAAAGGAGAGGGCTACACTCACTCGGACAATCATACTCCACTTACTTATTTCTCCAATTAGACTACCTCTATGATTCATAAATGTCTCTAATAAGGGTACCTAACTAACACGAATACCTCGTTTATATTATATAGACATTTCTCCAATTAAGACACCTCTATTATGCATACATGGGCCCCTCCACTGCAGATAAAGTCAAACCTCAATATGCGACCACCTCTCGTTGGCGAATAATGCACCCAATCTTTACCAGTCTAATTAATCCCTATAGTTAGAACCTCTGGTAAGGGACCACCCCCTGTAAGCGACCACGACCACTTTTGGGGGCTGACGGTTTAATGATTTTCCATTGGTTTTAAGCTCTTGTAAGCAACTTTTTGACGCATTGTCTGATTTCTATGTTCGCTGTATGTACTATTCTACTTAAAATATACGAAGAACTTGAATATCAACATGGAACTGTACATATCATTATTTAGAAAATACATACAATAAATTATCTTCCATAAAGTAGATGTGTCCGGACATCGTCTCAGAAGAGACCTCAAGAGGGTCTTTTCTCGTAAACTACGACCTCCCGTAAGCGACCACTTAGTCTTTGAAATTTGGGTGGTAACTTGCGAGAGGTTCGACTGTACTCTCTAAAACTGACACAGTTCACTGTCCAACGGATAACTTTTGGCATAACCGACATCTCTCCGATACACAAATAATCGCGATGAGGTAGCGATTTGAGTAGACTGCAGATTGTGTGGTTCAAGAACGCGGGAGCGGTAAAATAAGAAACGTCCTGAAGCGAGGGTGAGAACAAAGTGTGAGACTTGGGGGAGACGCCTTACGGGCGGGTTGAAACTCCTCCAAAATCAGATGTCATCTTTACTCAAAATACATCATAGGAGTCGTATAACTTAGAGTAGTAAATAAGAGAAGAAAGAAAACGGATGAAAACAGTGGGTAGTACGTAGGACTTGACCCGCGTCATTTGATGTATTATCCACTACACCATCAAGGGCTAACTGTCGGTTAAGGTACCTTACATGGCATTGATCATAACATTAGTGAAAGCTAACCGCTAAAGAGTGCTTAACCCTAATCACTGTACTTCAGTGCTTAACCCTGTATTCAACTCCTTTACTTGCATAACTATCTCTTACTCTGATTTCTTCACTTTTCTCAAAAATGTGCCCAATAAATTCGCATAAATGGTTGTCGCAAACGTTACGGGCGTGTGAGGTTTTTTGGGAAATCCCACGAACGCGCCTGGAAACACCGATTTTGAGGAAAATAACTGACTGTTTTGCAGTCTACAATTTGAGATGACACTGAAGAACGCTTTAAGATAATGAAAAAAAACAAGCTTTTAAAGGAAATAAATTTTTAACAATGTCTAGGAAAGATCTAAGAAAGTACAGAATACAAACCGCTCTCTAAATGCAGGCGTCCTGGACTCCGCCTGGCTGATCTTGTTTGGCTGAGCTTCCGGTTTGGAGAACCCACCGGAAATGACTCAATCACCTCATCGGGTGCAAAGAATTCTGGAAAATCATCTCCAGTTCTGGAAGGCCAGATTGCCACCTCGAACCATTCACTTTGAAATTCTCGTAAAAGATCTAACTCGAAGCGCTCCACGTCGATTGAAGACCGGTGAGACACGGGTAACTTGGAAGTATCCGGTATGTCTAACAATAAAAAGCAAAGGCTCGGTTGAGAAAAGAGGAAGTCCGACACTTTACCCCAGGGGGCGGAACAACAGAGTCAAAATGAAGGGGATGATCGAAGGGGAACAAACTGACTCAACCCCCCCCCCCCCAAAAAAAAGGCATCAAATAAAATCACCAGGAGCCGTTAATTACGGCTTCTGATTATAACAACCGCAAAACGAGGTTGCTCGTACTTCATCAGGCAGAACTACGCAACCAGCATACACGCGCGGTTCAAAACGAATTTTCGATTGTTTTTAATACCCCTTAAACTCACCACTCAAATCAAGGCCTGTGTTGTCAGGATCCCTTACGAAATCAGTGCTTCCTTGTTAAAAATCCCTTGCAGTTTCCCCTCCCCTCACAAAAATTGTGGGTGTAGGAGTTAACTTTGTATATGGTGTGGGGGAGAGGGACTAGGCATGTGTAGTTTCATTTGATTTCAAACGCGTGCGTAAAAAAGCGTCACAAATAAAAGTTTGCCCTAAGATTTTTATCAATGAACGTAGGTTTCATTGACTTTTTCTTTCACACATGTCCTGTCCAACCGCAGATCAAGCGTTAGGGTAATAGGTCATGGTTCGAACTCCTATTTGAGAACTCAAAATTATTCTTCAGAAGTTTCGGAAGCTCTTCATGACTTCAGAGCATTGTTTGATATTCTTACGAGGAGAATGGTAAGCATGTGTTTAAGAATACTGTGGTATTCCTGTGGTCAACATCTAACTTGACTTACCATCTTTTTTCTCCGCCCAAGAAGACTTTGGTGCAAAACAAAAGATAATAAAACCTTCGAGAAATTTTTGCTTTACACTTTCTGAGGCGTGTTCAATGATGCCAGCTTCTACCATTTTCTAGAAACGGAAGTGAAAAAAAAGAAGAAGCAAGTTTCGACATTTTTATGAAGTAACAGTAAAGATTATATTTCTCTATATACCTCTCCTGTATACTAAAATATGATTCTGAAATTTTTTCCCTTGGTATTTATTCTACAGGCCCCGGTTGTTCAAACGTTGGAAACCGCTATCCTGCGGATAAGTACTTGGGAAACCAATTGCGTTATCCAGTGGATAGCTTTTCATCCGGTGGATAGCGCTATCCAACGTTTGAGGAACCGGGGCCACTTCAATAGTATCTCTTGACTGAGCATTTCAATTAACCGTAAGTAAATCGTAACTCTTCTTTCTGTTTCCGTTGATGGCTTTTGGCATAGCTGTTTTCCATGGCAGGGTGGAAAGGGAATAGGGGAGGGGAGGGTAGTAGTCACTCGAAGTGAAATGAATTATACTAAACAGTGAAAGTATTAAGAAAGGATGTCACATTATCAGAAACCCATAAGGGGTTGAAACGTGTAACTCGCGTTCAATGCTCGTGAATATTCACTTTTTACCATATTTGGAAATCTTAGTGACGGATATCCATTTTCAACAAAATGGCTGCTGCGCGATCACCATGCAGATGTTTTAAGGCAAGAGTTCTGCATTTCAAGGATAAAAATACACCGTTAAAAGACAAAAAATGGAAAGAGAAAGTTCAAAAGAATGCTCAGTTTTCTTTTTGTGGAGAAAGGGAAGCTTTTCATCAAGAAATCGTCCTTCGAGGAATTCAACCTTGTTTTCTTCACGGCGGAGCCCATGGTCTGTTTTGAAATGCAACTAAGTCAGCGAAGTTTTTGCTGAATTTTCAGGTACATTTTGCACTCTATGGCCAAGACAATTACGTTTTTGAAAGGGAATTTATGTATTTTTAAATGTTTCATAGACGTTTTATAAATTTTTCTCTTCGGCGCTAAAGAAAAGTCACAAAATGTGCCCTGATTTGAGATGAATTTTGAATTTTGAATTTTGCCTTGTGCTTAGCCGATGCCACTTGCGTGAACGGATCCACGATCCGGATAGTGTTTTCCGAATTGCTTTAAAGGATTAACTTTTTGGACTTTGAATAAAAATTTTCAAGAAACGGCTTCTCTGTCTATTGTTTTGAGTTTGTTCAGTCATAAAATTAGCTCAAAACACGATCGTGACTACAACATCTAAGTTTAATTTAAGCTTTTAAAATGCTTCTTACATTCATTACAAGCATCACTTTCTGCGAAGATGTCAGGTTCAGGTTTTGGACACTTTCGATAGGCAGCTAATGAATTTTATTCGAAAATATTTTTCACTGTTTATTCGAGACTTTTAACATAAAAATTTTAAAAGCCTGTTTGCAGTATAAGTTTACTGTGCAGAGGGTCAACGAGGCATCGTTTTTTGAAGTGAAAACTTCAAGAAGTTGCGAGGCCGTCAATGGGTTTCATAATGTTACGTTTGGCCCGGGTGGTAAGGGAATAATATCCTGCTCAGTGTTTCGGTATTATTCTTGGCTTCAACCTTTGAAAGCTTTCTCGGCTTTCGGGAGTTTTTCCTCCGTTTGTCCGCCATTCTTTTAAGCGGGCGCGGGAACCTGAAGGAAAATTACGTCACGTTGTTTACGAAGTTTGATTGGTCAGTTATCTCTTCTTCTCGTTCCAAATATGGTACTTTCGAAAATGAATAATCACGAGCATCGGACAAAGCAAACATATGAGAGTTACACGTTTCAACCCCTTATGAGTTTCTGATATTATCGATACTCAGTGTCATTACTCTATCCTTGGCAACAGACACGAATGGGCTTTACGTGTAAAGAGAAGCCGCTGAGAAAATTTATCGCACGAAGGCGGTCTCGTCACGCAACGCTCATCCCCATGAAACTTTGGGAGGGACGTCGCGTGACGGGACAAAAACGGCTGCGCGGGTGACTAGGGTAAGTTAAGGTTCCTCGTGGATGTTGGAGCTTTCAGGCCTGCAATCGCTCCATGCATCCTATTACGCCCGATAGAACGGGTTCTGGAGAAGACAGATGTATCACTATCAATAAAAAAAAATGCCAAATGCTCATAACCATAAGTTGAAACCGCTGACCTGACACAGATGAATAGCTTGCTCGTTAGAAGTGATCCCATCCAGGTGTTGTTTTATCCACGAGATCGCTTCTACACTTAGAAAGCTGGAAAGCTTCAATCCTTTCATCTCAGGTAGAAATGAAACGCCTTTGCTGTATAGTGAACCAACAATTAACTCAACGAAAAACTCTCAGAAATAAATAAATAATAATAATAATAATTTATTATCCCCTCCCCCTATAGGGCTTTTCAGGTATAATGAACCAATAATTCAAATGAAACATAATATGGCCAAGAATCCCAACTGGCTGGAGGCAAACCAGCTGGCTATTTACAAGTGTGGCCCAGGATTTGATCTCGAGACTACTGTGAACAAATCCAGCTAGCGGTCAGGGCAGGACTTGAACTCAGGGCCTCCGAATTTCAAGTTCGGCGCTCGAGGATTTGAACTCAAGACAACCGAGAACAAATCCAGCTACCGGACTGCAAGTCCGGCGCTTTAACCACTCGGCCACGCTGCCTCCGTCACTTCTCCCTATGTTGAGAAGTGACGAACTTCTGAAGGCGGCTTTAACTCTGTGAACAAAAAACTTGAGTCCCATCAAGACTTTTCCGTTAAAAAGATTGCTGTTTGGCTGGAAATTGGCGACAACTTGCTGAGACATTGTCCTCGAACAGGGAAACATCGAAAACAAAACAATCCACACCCCTCCCCTTCTTGCTCAGCTGATGCTGATTCTAAATCAATTTTTTTTTTAAAAAATCCAAAATGTCTAAATTATTGCAACAAAAAATGGTACCACGAAAAATTGCTGCTTAACAGCTTTGATTTGAACTGTCATAGGACTCTAGCACTTCGTTCACTAAAAAAAAACTACTTCTCATGACTTAATCAATTGCTTCAAGAGTGGAACGATTACTTCGTAGAACTCTTTTTATTGACGCTTATCAAGTTCTCGTTTCGAGCTGAAACCAAAAAAGCAAACTGTTAATTGTAGCATTAAATAGTGGATTTTTTTTCAGAAATCACGAACCGTATCATCTTGCAACTTACCCAGATTCCATCATGGCCTCCGCTATGCTCTTCAATGATGATTGTTCACTGAGCCTGTCACTATCGGATATCGCTCGTCGGCTGCGATTGGCTGCTCTCTATGATAAAAACAGGCAAAAATTAAAGGAGCCGTGTCACGAAATTCAGCCAAATTAGGTTTATTATTACAAAATGCCCGTTAAATTAAGAGAAACATAAAAATAACCGCTTAAAACATTAAAGGAAGGTTAAAATAACACAACAGAAACAACAGATGCCACGGATGGGCAAAACAGAAGAAGATTGAAACGGATTGAAATTAGGGTTTTTGAAGACTGTTCAGCCTGACAGTTTTTCAAAGTTTATCTCTGCTGTTTGCAACTTCAAAAATGATGCTCAGAAGACATATTTGTTTGTCTCGAATCTCTGATTTTGTCATTTACATATAATTTCTTTGCTTACTTAAAGTTCCATAGCAATTGAGGGCGAGTAATTGGCAAAATTAAACAAAATGAACTGGACTGCCGCGACACAGCCCCTTTAAGAATATTTACGAGCTGACTGTCAGCATTGCCATATAACAGTTCACTATAGGAAGTCTGGCCGTGATCGGAACGGACGTCAACATTTCTTATCTGTCCCAGGGTATCATGTTGACGGATCGTATCGGATGGTGACGACTCGACTTTATAATAGTCACGTGGTGCTACGTAACCAGAGCGTTGCAATAGGAGCACGTTATTCATGTATATGCTTCGAGCTATCGTACAAACTTCCCGACTTTAGTAACATTCATCAGCAACAGCCATACTAAAGGTATTATTCTTTCCAGCCATTGCTAATCCCTGATTACTGCTAGTTGCTAATTATTAGCTGCTATTTTGTGATTAGAACTCTGACGTACCCAGAGAATTCCACGGATGAAACGCTACGAGAATCCGGGTTCGGTGATTCTAGGCCAATAGTTGAGGACGACCGCGATTTACTAACCAGCCGACTACTTGGTAAAGAGGTGATTTCCTTCTGTGCTGTGGTTAACTCTGATGATAAGGGTACAGTCGCTGTTGTCTCATGCTGCTGCTTAGTATGGCGATGGGACAGGAAAGCAGGCTCTGATTGTCTTCGCTCCTAGAAAATATATTACCACATTCAGGGCTTGTTTACATGGAGGTGGTGGACCCCAGGAAGGTGAGGTAACCCGCCTGTCCATATAATCTCTCATTATAATTTGATCGCGTTAACATGATAGGTAGGGTGACCCGCTACATGTTACCTCAACTATCTCGGGTCTTCCACCTCCACGTAAACAGGCCCTAAGGCGTTATTCAAAGTGATAATTTTAAAAGTTGCTGCAACACGTCCCGGTGACAAATCACTCCGGGTGTACAGTTCGGGCGATACGTTGCACGACGCGTAGCAGCAACAAATCCCTTCGTGTGAACGGGGAAATTTTTAAGGAAAGCTTTGTTTCTGCAACAAAATTTTGTCGCCGCAACAAGTCGCACAAATTCTGTCTGATCTGGTTTTCCGCGACTTGTTGCAGCGACAAAATTCTGTTGCTGAGGCAAAGATTTTCACAAAAATTCTTCAATACACACGTACGATTTGTCGCTGCGACGTGTCGCTGCAACTTGTTGCCTAGTGTGTACCGACCTTTAAACTCTATATTATTAAGTTTTCCACGTGACTGTTGCATAATCTTTTAGGCGATGTATGAAAGGTCGCGCGTAAATGTTTAAGTTGAACCTCCCTCAACTTTCATGTTTACGCGTGGCCTTTCATACAAGTACGCGAGGACAAGATTTTGTCAATACTAAGTAGTGTGCGCGCGTAAACTAGCGTCATTTTGGCGGGAAAACGTGACAGCTGTCGTCTTTATTCTACGAGTTTTAGCGAGAATATCGAAGTGACAGAATCAAGCTATCAATGGCTGGTGAGTTATATCATGCTCAGAAAAGGGATAAAGCAATTCTACAGAAACTGTGTTCAGCCACCTAAAAGCTATTTACAGAGTGCGCGCTTACTATCACTACCTTAGGTGTCTGAGGAACCTTCTGGGATGGAAATCTTTTTACTCGACTGAGAATCTCAAGAAACTTCAAAAATCCTTCCATAAGGTTTTCCTCTTGCTGCGCTTTTGTCTTTTTCTTTTCTCCCGTTCCCACACTCGATTTACGCTGAGTAAAGGGCAGCAGTAGGAAACGAGCCTTCCAGTAATTCAGAGACTAAAAAGAAAAAAAGAAAACCGTTTAATTTACAGCAAATGCATATTTGTCCTAAGACCTTTGTCCATGGTTAGGTAGAAGTTTTTTCACTCGAGGTCGACAATTATCATAGTTTTTATAGTGAAAGGAGCAGTGTCAAGAAATTTATAACAATTTAAACTGTGGTAGCTTCCACCAAAAAGAGTAAAACATCAAAACAACCACTCAGAACATTCAAGGAAGGTATAAATAACGCAAACAAAATACAAATACGGCACGGGTGGACAAACTTGAAGACGATTGAAACGGATTGCAATTGTAGTTTACGTTTTTCGCACGCTCTTTTTTTCACTGCTTACCCGCTTTCTTCTCTTGTCTGTTCTAACCGAGAGCCTGGCACAGGTTATAGTAGTTTTCGAAAACTAGTTTGCCTAAGAGTTTTTCAAAGATCATTTTTGTTGTCGCGTTGGTCATAACGCATCCTAATCTGGTGTTCCTGTGGTACTAAGGCAGAAATTTTCGAGCTATGACGGGCGACTGCAAGTAAGCCTCCCCTATTAATATTATCAGCGGCACCTCGGCTGGGAAACTGGTAGGACTACGTTTGACTCGATTTCGTTTCCGTAATTTTTCCGTAAGTGACGAATGCGTATCCGTAATCAATGATTACCTCTATAACGGTTGACACGAATCTGGGATTTTGTCGTCGGTGGGCGTCCACAAGCAATTGCGCAAGTACCATAGCGAATACGAATGCGCAATTGGCGGTATTAAGGTGATGTTACGTGAGACGATTCGCAACGAGGATTTTTAGAGCAACACGGCTATGCAATGATGTGAAGTATATGAAATAATTCATATTTGAACTGCGGTTGTAGATGAGAGTGAAGAATGATCATCGCAGTAAATTTTCCAATTTAAGCAATTGGAAAGAAGAAGCCGGTGCGTTGCTCTACCAACTGAGCTATGAAGCCACACATTGGGAGCGAGGTCAATATATTGAGTTCATATCTCAAAAAAAAAATTAGGGCTTCAACCTCGCTCCCAATGTGTGGCTTCATAGCTCAGTTGGTAGAGCAACGCACCGGCAACGGGGAGGTCACGGGTTCGAATCCCGTTGAAGCCCTGATTTTTTTTTTTCAGGCTTCTTCTTTCCAATTGCTTAAATTGGAAAATTTACTGCAATGATCATTCTTCACTCTCACAGCTATGCAATGCTGGAACAATCTTGTTACTATTCGAAAGAATGATGCAAAAATGTTGCAACGCTGTGGTTCGCTAAAAATAGTCGTTGCGAATCGTCTCGTGTAACATCACCTTTAGGGTAAATTTTCACTGTAGCGTACTTTACACGTGTTTACGCACGTAAATTTTACGCGCGTGAATAAAATAGAGGCAAGATAAAAAGTACTGAGCTTAAACGAGAAGTTGAGCATGAACCAAAGGCCAGAAACAGTAACATTGCTTCCTTTAGGGTTAGTGTACTTATTTCTTTGTTTTCTTTGTAAAGTTTCCTTTCACCATTTACTTCGACTATTTTACGTTTGTCTACTTTTGAAGCGAACGAACTGATGTCTTTGGAAAATTTCTGCTTCGTTTTCACATACAATTTACTCTTATGGAGATCGATAGTGACTTGTAACCGGTGTAATTTAACATTGTCTCCTCTCATAAATGTTTGACCTACACTAACCAAACTTTTCGCACAATGAGCTCCAACAGAAAGTTAATAACGTTTTTTGGGGGGAATATTTCGAAACAAAGAGGCCATGTTTGCTTTATTTTTGCGTGGACGTCGCGCGGATTTTAAAGCTCGCGCCATTCTAGTGCTCAGGCTGCGCACGGCCAATTTACTCTAGGGAGCCACCTTAACATTTACGCCCGACTTTCCATACATTGCCTTTATTTTATTTACGCGCGTAAAATTTACGTGCGTACGCACGTGAAAATTACACGACAGTGGAAATCCACCCTTAGAGTCATAACGATTCAGGTTTTCGCCAAGCTTTCCGCTTAATTGTCCCTTACTGTTTATCAAACTTTTGTATTTTTGTACAAAGAATGAAGTTGTTGTTGTTGTTGTCGTGGTACTGTTACTCAAAAATAAGTGAGTTTCACGCCAATTTTATCCATAAGAATTGTCCGGGACAGTTTTTATCTGCTTATTTTCTGTTGTGAGAAATTCTCAACTTGAATTTCACGTTTGCTGTTTTTCGTAAACGTGACTCTTTTAAATCTCTCTGTTAGAGCGATATTCGTATGACCTTGAAAAATGGTTTCTGTAAGGGACTGTAAGTGTTCCTTACTTGTTTTATCAGCAAATGGATGAAAAGATCAAAACAAGGCCTCTTCGTTTTCCCGCCAAATATGCATATGATATGGAGAAGGCATTGTCCGATTGGCCAATCGTGTTACAGTATGACGTCAAAGCAAAGTATCGGCGGATTTCTAAAAAGTTCTCGGGCATGAAGTTTTCTCACCCGAGCGTTCGCTTAACCAATCAAAATCCACGCGCGTTTGTATTTGTTCAATAAACCAATCAAATGGCTCTATTTCCGTTCGTTTGTTGTTTCTGTTTTGTTCGCGCGTTTTCATTTCAAGGTCACACGAAAATCGCTGAAAATGAACCAGACAGTCGTGACACAGCCCCCTCAATTCTGCAGCCAAATGACTTGAAGCAAAACAATCGGACAGTTACACGTTGAAAAGAGTACATATTAGTGTAAAAGTTTCAGCTCCCTCTGTCAGTAACACAAGGAGGGGATTTACCTCCATAAGTTCGTTAAATTCCTGGTCTCCGCAAATGTGTTGGTCCAAGTAATTCCAATTATAACTGTCCATTTCCTCGTGAATGAATACTGCCTCGTTTGGTTCAAATACTTTCCTTTCCGGCATGCAAAGACGGTAACTAAAGACGAACGAAATAGTACCTGTGTTAATAATCAAGTGAGCAAGTATAGTACACTGAAAGACTCTAGGGACGAGAGAAAAAGGGACATAGTTCTGTAAGTTGCGGTATTCTGGCTGCTCTCCAGACACCTCACTAGGGACCTTGAGATCCGACGACGGCGACAGCAACAAGAACGTCAAAAAAGCAATAGGTTTTTTGGCCTGTTTACATAGACGTGGGGGATCCAGATAGGTGAGGTAACCCGCTCAGGTGGGGTAAAAAAAACTAACTCGCGTTTACATGCATCTTACAACTCCGCCAAACAGCGGTTCACTTTCTCAAGGTTACTGAATAGTCGCTAAGCACGTAAACAACAATAACAACAAAATGGCGGGAAAATGACGTCCTTTGACGGTTAAAGCTCTTATACTCTCACTTGATGCTCTTGCTGTGGCTTTCTATTGTCACTTTAAATGACGAAAAGCCTCCGACCAGCTAGGCGGGTCACCCAACTTTGAAACATTTACATGGCAAAAACTGACCGAGACTAAGAGAGTTACCCGGTCTGGCGGACAAAAGAAAATCTTGCCGAACGATATCACTTAATAAAACTGACGCCCGTGACTTAACATAAGATAGCTAAGAAAGAACAAAGTCCACTTTTGTCATCGTTATCATCAATTCAACACCTGTGTAGTCATGCGCTCTGTCGATCATACAGTTCCTCTGTTATTTTCTTTACTTAAGAGGTGGCGTCAATTTGATCAATTACGGTAATTCAGATCACTGCAACACAACATAACGCCTTCGTAAATAAATTGACAAGCTACATAATTGGCAGGTATCTGAATATTGGTCTTCCTGTACCTTACCAGTAGTTTTTGGGATCCGAGGCACGTTGATGACGTGGCCTGTTCTTGGTCACTGTCACTTCCGGTGACGTCAGACAGCGTTTGTGTGAGTTGCGATTAATATTTAGGAAAAACTCTTTATTATTTCAATCGGCTGGAATAGCAGCTATAGACTGGTAACGATCTAAAGACAGTGCTTTGGACTTTTCCGGTGGAACTAACTGAAATCCCTAATGAGAAACCAATAGCTGTCAAATACCGTAAATCCTCTATTACGCCGCCCTCTCAAATAACCCTCCCCCCCTTTCCAGGGGAAGAAAGGTAAATAAGCCCCCCTCCCCTCCCCAAATTAAACTTCACTAATAAATGATAGACTGTATTAACCAATCACGACTGTAAAACTTCGTGTGGACTGATCCGGGATGGTTAATTCACCAACTTTGAAGTTCGGATTTGTTTCTGATCTTTGGCTACATGACCTCCAACTTCTTGTACTTGAGCTTTTCCACTTCGTATTCTAGTTCTTTATGGAGAACTTGAGAGAACTAGTACCATCATCTTTGCTACCTTAAATAAGGTCCCCCTCTCAAATGAGTCCCCCTCAAATAGGTTTGAAATAAATAACGCCCAGGGGGAATTTACGGAATGATTTAAGTGCAAAGTAACACCAAGCAATACAAGTAGACTTTATATTATTATTCCTTCACAATATTTCACTTTTTCTGATTCGTTAGCTGATAGACCACCCCCTGGCTAATTCTTCATAGCCAACTGGCACCTCGTTGCCAGTACAATCGAACTTCCATGTGCGACCACCTCCCATAAGCAACCACCTATCCAATACACCAAAATGTTTTCCAGTCAAAGCCTTACAGGTGGAACCTCCTGTAAACGACTACCTCTTGTGAACGACTGCGACCAATTTTCGGGGCTGACTGTTTAATAATTTTATACTATTTTTAACCTCTTGTAAGAGACCTCTTCACGCATTATACTTAGAGTATACGAATATTTTTTAACAACAACATGCAACTTCACATATCATAACTTCGAAATTGCATGCGAGAAATTATTTTATCTACCATCAAGTAGATATGTCGGACCTTTTAAGAGACCTCTTGCTTGATCGATTCTTGTTATCGACCACCTACGGTAATCGACCACTAAGTCTTCGCATTTTGGTTGTTGACCTACGGGAGGTTCGACTGTAGTGTTTTTCTACCGTTAAATATAGTATCATTATATGGACATGAGCATGCAAAGTATCAAAAAGTACTTCGTTGTCAACCTCGGATGCTTAAAATAAGCGCGACACCGTGTTTTTGCAAAGTTGACTCCCCGTTACTGTAATTTTTCTGGGACCAAGAGAGATGGGAAATACTGGATGGAAAACCAGGGCTTTTTTCCAAATCTAAAGCTCACATAGGGGTACCCTGAACCGGGTTACAATATATCTAATGGTAACACAACTTGTGTCCTCTGTCGCGCAATGCGCGTTGCACGCAACATCACCTTAGGACCGGTTTACGACGAGGAAACTTGTCTCAAGCAGAAGTGTCACCCGCCTACTCAAGATAACCTGGGCGAGCCAACTTTTACTACATTCCCTTACACAACTTGGCGAACCGTATACACGAGAAACAAGTCAGCTCGGTTAGAAGGGTGACCCGCGTAGCCGGCTGGGCCTTTGGCCCTCGCTTGGGAGGGTGACCCGCTTTCCAGGGACAACTTTTCTCCATATAAACGGCGTCTTATCTCCAGTACACCAATTCACATTTTTATAGTGACAAAGGCTGCGAGCTATTTACATGGTTGCAACACGCTTCATAAGAATGGCCAGTTAAAACTTAAGGACGGAAGACTGAGGTAGCATGCGACGCAGACGTTCTTTAGGCTCCTCAAGCAATCCTACAGTGGGACAGAAACGCGTAACGCACCCCCAAGAACGTCTGCGTGGGAACCTAGAAGCAAGGCTGCTGGTGGGCGCCTCCACCCAACCCTGCTTTTTACTAGAACGGCACTTTAATTCTAGCAAACAAAGGAAACATGGTTTACAGTGGGAGTGAAAGGATGACCTCCACCTCACAAACTTTGAAAAATGTTGTACCTTCCCTGGAAAATCCAGGTGAGAATATTCTTTCAGGGTCTGGGTAAGTCTTGAAGCAACGACTCCAACTCAAATATGATGCGCGAAATAGAACGTAGATCAATGTGGTATTACGTTCAGATATTATATGCACATTCCAAATCCAATTCCTGGATGGAAATGTTTAGCCGGGGGGGGGGAGGGGGTGGGGGGTACTTTTATATGGGGAGGCTCCGCTCCAAAGTTCAACTCCTTACCCTTTCATATACTATTTCTGGCAGAAAAGGTACTCCTTTCACATACCCAGTTTACGACTTTCCATCCCTTTTAAACTGCTCCAAAGGCACTGTCTTTAAAACCAGAATAAATCACAAAAACAGAACGTTTTCTCGACTTTTTCACAGCCATGAAATGCATCTCTTAGTATATATAGCCCTGTTGGGCCTTTACCGACCAAAAGGACAGATTTCCTCACCCTTTCATATACTTCAACAAGTAAAATGCATACCCTTTTATATACCTGAAGCCTGAAAAAGGTACTCCTTTCGGGCGGAGCCTCCCGGTATAAGCCACCACAGGGAGCACCCCCCACGGGTGTTTTACCCCCTCCCCCCGCCCCCTGGCACTTACAGGAAAACTATACCCATACGTTAAACCAATCTTGCTACTTACAATCATCCATGCTGATTAGGTCAGACACCAAAACTTACCACAATTTACAGAAGAATACGCCATGGCCTCCGTGCGACACGGTAAATAATCTTTACACAATGGCTCAGGCTTTAGGAAAGGCTTCAAAAACCTAGGGCAGCGGACAGATGAATTCCAAAATCAGGAGCTTCATCTTTTAACATCAACTGAATGCTTCAGTTTGACCTATACTCACCAATGTTTTTTAAATCGTTTATAGACAAAGAGCTTTAAAAAAGGGGTCTGTTGCAACAGCAAGTCTGTGAATTTTGACAGATCTAATTTCTTTCTACTCTTTCAACCTTCTTATTTGACCTTTGACCCAAGTGGTATGACTAAACTTTCTGCCTTAAACAAAATTGCTTTTTTTTCCCGTAAGTTGACATTTCGATACGGCAAACTGCAAACTAAGGATAATTTACAGTAAGAGTAAAATTGGAAAGTTTTATGTCCACCCAAGCAAAAGATAAGGACTTAGATATAGCCTCCTACACAGACGTTCTTAGGGGTTCGTCACGCGCACCCCTAAGAACGTCTGCGTGGGAGGCTAACTTAGATAGGAAGGCTAGTTGTTACAAGCCTTGCACAGCATATAGCTAGTCACCCTAGAGTGTTCCAGTGTGGATGAAAATACTTATCACGTGACTTTTTGAAGCACAAACCCCAGCCCGAGGTCAGTCCAAACCCTAACTGTTGAACTAACTCACTTGGAGGTCAAAGCACCAATACTTATTTTGTAATACCGAAAAAGCTCCTTGGTTAAAGTCTAGCTGGGCCTTACATTTTCTGGAGTGTCAAATATTTAGGTCACGTGATGCAAATCGTTCCCATAAATCACAGCATTTGAGTTACCTTTGCAGTGGTCAATTTTCATAAACAACTCATTTGATAGAAGCAATGTCATTACGCCTGGAAAGCCTTCATGACAGGGGCAAACATGCTCTTTGTCTCACTTAATGATGTAAATGGGAGATTTTGATCTCACTAACGGCGTTCAGGACAGAATAATATCTTTACCCAAACTGGCACCATTTAGGCTTTGCCATAAAAACAAAATTAAGAAGATACAAGGTAAACAAAAAATGAATTAATAGTGAGGAAGAAAGCACCACTGGCAACTTCTCTATAGAAATAGAAACTTCCAAAACTTAATTACCTGTCCGTTTTAGAATATCTCATAGGGGTCAAATAATGTTTAAGCCACGCACAGATTAGTATCTGTTCAGATTTGAATTCCACTTTTAGGAAGAGCGCAACTGCCCATTTTTTTATGTGAAAATCACCCTCCTGCCAAGAAAAGTTAATTTGCGCCTCTCCTTAAGTGGGAATGGGATATCAAACAACTTTGTAAGAAAAAATAATCATCATCACAATCTTTCCACTTGAAATGACCTGCTGTTGCTAAAACTTAGTAGTTTTATTACTTCCAATGGACATTGCAAAACGTTTTCTTTTAATGAGTACAGCAGTCTACTTTAACTGCATTGATAAGGCAAACAAGGAATAAACATTCCAAGTTTAGAACTACATGTATACTGGTCGACAACAATAACAATGAAAATAATATTAAAAAATGGCTGGACTTTGTATGGCAAGCCGTTTCCGCATAAAACATGGATCAGTCGAACACGTCACAAGTTGAGGATTTCAGAGCACATGGATCAAGGTAACAGGAAGTCTACTTCAGAGCACTGAACGTCATAAACAGAGGAAATTCATTCATCGTGTTTCAGGTCAGCCTGGCACTGAATATTTTTTTCTTGTAACAAACATCTCAGCTCATCAATATATAAGTACATTGTAACAGGAACATGGTGCTATCATGGTGTTGTACAGAGCATTACCAGTCACGGCCTTTTGTAAGAATGACAAACAGAATACTATCGTTAAGAGACGGTGCAAGAATAATCACAGTACATCATCAACCCTTAATTAAACAACAAAATTGTACAGAGATGCTGTGACAAACTCTGACAATTTTAAAACTTAGGATTTCCCAGTACCTTTTTTGCCTCTCTCCCCACCTCATCAACTTATCTCAACTTCAACCCCCAGACCCCTACCCACCGGCACCCAGGTAACTCTCCACTGTTGTAGCTTGCATATTAACCCTTTGTATTAAACACTTGGATCAAAATTTAGATTCTCATTTGTTGGCCCTATTTGGTTACTATAGAAGTAGAGTGGCAAGGTTGGTAAAGTATCAAGCAAATTCATCTTGTGTGATCAAGTCCTTCATTCTTGTGACCACTCCGTTAAAATATAAAGCAGTTATACTGTACGATTATCAGAAGGAGAAATGAGATGCTGATCACACTTAGGGCTTAAGGCTTAATCACCTGCTACTGTCATGGACTTAAATCAAACAGCCCCCTTGTACATAGAAGGTAAGAAGGTAAGAGGGTGCAAAAGTCGGTGTTTTTTATTGCATTTTGTTGAAAATAGTATTATCATTTGAACAGTAATAATAATATTTTTCTATTTACATGTAGCTAAAATGAAAAAGGAGCACCATATTGAAACTTGCTTTTACATGTCTTCAAGGCCACGAAAAAAGAGCACAAGATGCTTGGCGAGATATATAAAACAAAACAAGATCTGATCTCTTTTTGGTGCCAAGTTGCAATTTCCTTTTAAAAAAATAATCTGTAACCAAGTATCTTACTTCCCCACTCAACTACAAAAGTCCTCTCCCCAACGGCAGCATATGTGTTGAAACAAAAAGCCACAAGCCTGGGCTATGGAATAAACCTGTTTTGAGCAAGTTTCTTAATAAACACGGTCAAACTTGAAAACCTTAGCCCAACTTTCAAGTTCAAGTCCACCATTTTCCTGCTTTGTTTAATATTTTTATAGCAAGGGTAGGTCAATTTCTATTAACATGAACTTCCTTTGGAAATCTTAACTAAGATCTTGAACTGCAAAATATGTAGTTTTACTGAAATAATAATTAAAAAAGGCTTTTTGTGTATAAAATGCTCTTGAGGCTTTTTGATGAAAAGCAAAACCTTGCAGTTAGTTTTTACTAACTGTCTAGGTATTCACAGGGACCCAGTGTAAATCAGGTATTGATGAGAACAGATCCATACTCATAATTTTCAAGTGGCCTTATATTTTAGTGATACTGCCCCTGGTCTTAAAGACAATAAACGAAATACAACAGGAAACTTATTAATCAACACTTCTTATTTATTGGGACAAGCAAAGCAGGACAAGGGCAAATGACTCAGAGATCCTCACATCCAAGGACCCAGTGAACCTTGACCTCAAATCAACGACATTGAGACCCAGAAAAACACAAAATTTGATATAAGCGGTATTTCTGCTGTCACAGGTCTGTTTTACACTATTTTATAAGCATACACATGTAATTTTCAGTGACTGTAAATTGTTGGGGGGATTAAAATGTCGCAACAGCTGACAGATTTTTACCACAACATTGAAAATCAGTCACACTTCCTACCTTAATAATGTTCATTACCTTGGCCACCATAGCCACCATAGCTGCCGCCTCCTCCACCATAGCTGCTGCCTCCTCCATAGCCCCCTCCTCCTCCTCCGTAGCTATTATAGCCTCTATTATAGCCACCGCCGCCGCCACCACTATAAGAACCTGCAAAGTAAAAGTCCAGCTGTTTGAACACTAAGAAAGTCACTCAGTTATGACCTTCCATGGGAAAATATAAAAAAGCACTTAATTTGAAATAGAGTGTAAATGTATTTATCACGAGAGTACTATTATTGAAGACGCTATCTCTACATCTGATAGAGATAGGACTGCCATTTTACAAGGTCAACAGAGCATGCAAAGGTCAGAGCTATTTGCAGGGTGAGGACAGTACCTTAATTTACCAGTTATTTTAAGACTCTGAGTAGTGGACTGGTCTTTCTCCAGATGGTAACATCTTTATTTCCTCACTCTTTTCTTTTAACCAGTGAATTGTAACCGACAAAACTATGTAAGCAGCTGCCGACATTGCTGGTTGCCAGCACTTTTTGAGAACCCTGAAACACTCCTAGAAGTGCAATGCATACCTCCACCATATCTTCCACCTCCGTAGCCGCCTCCACCGCGTCCGCCACCCCTTCTTCCTCCATATCCTCCTCCTCCTCCACCACCACCACTTCCACGGGGCTTAGCTCTTGATACCTTAATGGTTCGCCCATCCAGGTCCTAGGAGGAAAATTGAATAACAATTCCATTTATAACTGCACTGTGCATTCAGTAAACAATACATAGGTTGCTATCCAGAGAAAACAGATGACATGTCATGATGCCAACACTGGTTTTCCCATGAAGTGATGTCTGAGGAATTTCAATGCAAAAATTCCATACCGATGACGTGTCTCTACCCAGTAAGTGAGATAGTTCAGTCTGTGAAAGCTTCCATAACTGTGATAAGGGTATGCTTAATTAAAGATATCAACCCTTTCTGCAGTCAGTCACTTTTCAAGTTCTAAGGTATTCAGGTTTGGCACCCAGAAAAAGTGTCCGTTTCCCCTGAGTAGAGCTGTCTCTTCAAATAAGGTAATAAATACAAAGACTTTGTTGGCATTTTTCCAGGACCAAATTTTGTCCCCTGAATGGAGGTGTCCCTTGAGTAGAGGTGTGCCAAACGAGAGGATCCACTGTACTTTATTTGTTTCTTTATAATAACTAAGTTAAACTAAAACAATGTGTTAGCTTGAATTCTGAGTAAGTAGTAAACTGAATAAGGGTCTCAAAATCTACTGGGCAAAATATTATATGTTTTGATTTCTACTCTCTTGGAGACCAGTCTGGAAAATTTGCATGTGGATATTGGGATTTAGCAAGTTAATTAAGGAATTTGTTGCCATCATTGTGTAAAGAAGTTTTACCCCGCCATCCAACTCATTAATTGCCTTTTGGACATCCCCTTCTTCTTCGAATGTCACAAAGCCAAAGCCTCTTGATCGACCAGTCTCTCTGTCAGTTACAACTCTCGCTGCAAGGAACAATATTAGAAAGTACACAATATCGATATAAAATTCCATTGTCTGGCTGGCTTAACAAGAGAGGAAGATAAAGACATCCAATGATCTAAATCCTTGAAAGGAAACTTAAGAACCAGGACGACGACAGGAAGTGAGTTACAGTGTACTGCACAAGTGTGACCAGTAAATTTCATTGTCGTGGTGTCATCGACGATGCCAAACAAAGTAGAATCACATCGTCCTGCAATCCACAAGCTTTGGCAGGTATGAATCCACTGTTTTAAGCGATTTTTGAAGTCCTTTGCATTTTCTTATCCTCATAAATCCAGGTATCATTCCTTTTTTTCCCTAACAAGCGATGTTGATTGAGAAATTCGACTAGTGAATTGTTATTACTTCGAAGAATGACAACAGCTGTGGAGGCCGAGCGAGCGAACTCGTAAGTGATAAATTTATTTGTACGTATTTAGGTAAGGCAAATCACATAGCTTTAATAGAGAGGAAATAAACTTTATATGGAAAACAGCTATCACATCAGAATGTCTCTTTTTCCAAATCTTAACTCCGCCCGACACTCGGACTCGGTTATCTCATTCAGGTTGAAAGATGAATAATCTTCATACGGAAAGCAGGTGTTTTTCCACTCAAAGAGGTCACAAACACAAAAAATAATTCTTCATCGTCAATGAAATTAGACATACGGCTTAAAAAATAAGATCTTGCATTGTTTTAAAAGATGCCATTGCCAAACACTTTGTTGCGAACGAACATCACAGTTTTACATTTGTGTTTACATTCAGTGTTGTTGTCGTCAACCTACCGACCGACTGCATCTTAAGTTTCCTTTTTCCCACCGATACTGACATTCTCGTTGCAGTCTTTTCCCAGTGAACAGACGTCATCGTCGTGAACTTCGTCGTGGTTCTTAAGTTCCCTAATGATCGACACTGAACTAATGATTATATGCATATCATATACCATATTTCCTCAAATAGTAGCTGTCCCTCAATTAATCGCCTCCTTCGAATAATTGCCCCCATTCAACTGAAATTTTTAAATAATTGCCTCCCTCAAATAATCGCCTCCCCCCAACCCCGCTTGCCATCTTCTCTTCCTTTTATCCTCTCCCTGTCAAGATAAAGTGCAATGTGATCTAGCAAAACTGATCAGTGATGATTCAAGCTATGAAAATTAATCACGGACCTAAATTTGGAACAATTAAAAAGCCCATGTTCAGTTTACTTGATGTGATTATTTTTTTATTTAAAGGGAAAAGAAAACAAAATATTTAGGGCACGACTTCCAGTGAGCAACATTTGAAATAATCGCCCCCTTTTTCTGCAAAAAAAAAAAGAAATAATTGCCCCCGGCTATTATTTGAGGAAATATTGAACTGCAGGATGAGGAAATAATTGCAGAAAAGATCATCACAGTTAAATACACAACTTATGAGATTACATCTTTTCGGTATTTTTTTCAGGGTTTTTTCTCAACTGCATAGGCTGCATACTTAACTTTGGTGATCTTCTCTACATTTATGGATCAACATTACACTGTCCAAACATCCTGATCTCATCAGGATTCTCCCAATTTGGGGTTACCGTAAAATTCCGAAAATAAGCCCCTCCATGTATAAGCCCCCCAAACTCATAACATAAAAGACCCTCCGTTAAATCGCCCCTCCAAATATAAGCCCCCCCCGGGGGGCTTGTACTTGGAAAATTGTCCTCAAATACAAAGTAAAAAAAAGAAAAAAAGGTAAATTTATTTCCAACTATAAGGCTAGCCAAATCGATCTCAAAATGCAAATTTCCCTCCGTAGGTAAGCCCCTCCCAAAATAAGCCCCTCAAAAAGGGCCTCTGAAAAATATAAGCCCTGGGGCTTATTTTTGGAATTTTACAGGAGGTTGGTTGTTGGTGGTCAAGAATAAAAGCATTTCTCTCCTAATTCTATTGTATTGACCCACAACATGGCCGCCTTGTCACGTGGTTGCAAACAAAGAAGATGCGATGGGAACAGGAAAAATCCCGATTTTGACATCTATTCTGAAACTTTCAAATGAATTCTTATGATACTTATACAAGAAACACCTAACAGAGAATACTTTGCTGTGACAGTCGATTTAGTGAACATTTTACATAGAAATTGTCGTCTCAGAACACTAGAAATGTCATTTCGGGGCATCGAGTGGACATCGATCGAACCCGCTCTAAAGAGTGCCTTACAACTCAACCACCGCTAACTGATCAATATTACAAGTTGAAATTTTCAAACCGCGGAAGGATCTTTTCGTCTTGTGATGAAAACTTCCACATGCTGCAACCTTCTTACTTGACCAATTGTTGGGCCAGTCGAAGTCAACCAGTGGACATTTCCACTGTCAGATCGTCATGATCGACGGTTTGATTCCAAGACCTTCGAACGTTCGATTTCAAGAACCTTTTTTTGTTACAGGCTACAGTGCTGCCGTAATAACATTACCGAATGCACTACTGAATGAAAATCAAGCACTTTCGTCATTGCAAGGTTTCGATTTGAAAAATGAACGCAACCTCTGTATAGTAAGCTTAGATATTCAGAGTTAATTTCTCTTACCATCTGAAACTCTACCGATTTGTTCAAAGTGATCTCTTAAACCATTGTCGTCTGTGTTAAAGCTCAAAGAACCAACATAGAGCCTCTTCTTATCTTCGTCATCTCCCATTTCTCTTAAAATTTTACCTCTCGAGGAAACAGTTTACAGAACAAAAACTACCTCGTGCTCCGACAAATTTGCGTGCTCCTCTGCTACGGCGTCTATTGAACACTAACCTGATGAACCGGATAAACCGGTTTCTTGCTTCGTACCCAGTTCCTCGAAAAAATCGAACAACAATCCGACCGATTGGGTTCGATTGATTTATGGTTCGGTTTCGTTCGATTATCTATCCCGGGTTAAAAATATGGACAAGTCGATGTATGCGCCGTCGAACCCGAAGATTCACTGAGGATTGACCCACCCAAGATTGATAAACGCCTGAGTAAATGAGGGGTGTGTAGGACGATTGAGAACAATCTTAGCCGCTTTATTGTGAAGTACCTTGAGGGAATCCATTATCAGTTCCACCAATATCATAGCTGATTTGACGTATGCTTAACTCCTTTGCTTAGTTTTTTTTGCTTCTTTTAAATTTTAAATTTTATTCGTCACTTAGAAACGAGAAGGACTGATGATTGGCCGAGTTAACTTTCGCAAAGACTTCTGGGACTGTTACTTGGCGCGTTCCCAATGTAGCGATCCCAGAAACAATTGCGGGATGCATTTGGCTCCAGTTTCTTCCTGGTTTCTAAAGTGGCGAGTGGCGCAATGGGATCTAATGATAACCGCACATGTAACTACAACTTAACCCCTGCATGTTATCAGCCAAGATTGAAAACAAGCAGCTCATAGGACAATCTTTATCGAATCAGCTGTAAAGATGCGCGAATCAACTTTATCAACTCATTCGACAGAACAAAATCTTTGTGTTCTCCTCCCCAAAAGACGAAAATCAACTGTTTCTTTAGAAACGATTTGTGGAGATGCGAGCGCCTTATGTGTGCTGACGTATTAGTTTTGACAGGTTTTCTTTTTCTTTTTTTTTCGATTTATTACATCCACTTTGAAATCACTGGCTATCCGTGCAATCTGATTGGCTCTCAGCAGTGTGATTTATTCCTAAATCGCACCATTTTTTGCTCTAAATCGCATCTGTTCCAAATCGCGTCATTCATGTTCTAAATCGGATCATTTCTGTTTTAAATCGCACCATTTTTGTTCTATATCGCATCATTTCTGTTTCGAATACAAAATGAGATGTAAAAGCTTTTTTGTTTCGGCTTTTTAACAAACCGGCTACTCGATCAATAAACTATAGTACTGACTAAATTCTGCGATTTCAAAATGGATGTAATAAAGTGGTAATTGAGCTTCGTGTCGTGCAATTTTGGTCTGAAATCATACTTGTGATTTCAAATCGAACTCACGCTGCGCGCTCGTTCGATTTTGAAATCACGCGTATGATTTCAGACCAAATTGCACTCCACTCAGTTCAATTACCATTATAAACCAACATTCATTTGTTTTAATAAGCGTCTATTTCCACTCTTGGAAACAAATCCTTGGAAGTGTAAGCCGTCCAGCTATTTCTAGCCCGCGTAGCAAGCGTTTGCACGCGAGTTCGTTAAGAAAGTTAGGACGAGTGCAAAAAAGAGGAATGAAGAGGGAGGGGGAGGGTAGAGAAGGAAAATCTTTTCCCCTGGTCCTCGCCCCTCAATCTTCTATTTCTTTCATTCTCGCTCCAAATTTCGTGCAATAACTCGATTGGAAACGCTTGCTACGTAGGCTAAAATACTTCAGAATTGCTCTAAGCCTCTCCTTATCGGATTAAGCGAGGCAGAGTACACCCTACGCCCCCTCCCGATTTTCTTTGAGGGGAAGGGGCGGCTGTACACATACCAAAAATTATATTGGGTTCAAATTTTGCCATTAGATTTCTTGGCGCCAACATCACCAGCGCTGGGGTTGAGAATATCAAACGCGCTAACATGAGTCATGTAAAAATTCCGAAGCGGGGCTCCCGTGGCATTGAAGCACAATGGGTAATAAAATTTGGTTACCGTATCTGTGCAAACAAGAAATTTTGGTAGTGACAAAGTTAGGAGATGTGAAATGTCACACTTACTAGCTAATAGGTGTTTAAGGCATATTCAATCTGTGTTTAACTTGATAATGGACATCCATCTTATGGTCAATTGACAGCTGTCAAAAAGGTATCCGCTGACCAGTGTCCCGTGACTTATCGCGGGCTCAAGTGAACAACTTAGCGACGTGAAGTGGTTAGTTACAGTATCGGTTTTAATTGATCGCAAACTCAGGTCCATTTTTTTTTCAGGAGGAATTCACTTTCCTTGCCAACGCAAAAGTTAAACTGCTTGAAAAAGACATTTCTTAAAAAATCCCAGAGGAGCTTCACTGTGGGCTTTAGCAAATCTATATATTACCTCTACGCTCATCTTGAACCCAGTTCTCACTCTGTCTTGCGCTGAAAACCCCTGGCCGAGGGAGATCTGGGTACAAGATTGACCTCTACCTTCCATTTTCTTTATAGTACCTATTCACGAAAGTTTCATTAATATAATTTATCTATATAGAAATCTAACTTTTAACAATAAGAGTGTTCCTTTTTCTTTTTTAGCTTATAGGTCAAATAGTTTTCAAGCATACTTTGAAATAATTTTAAGTCACTTCTCTTTTTCTGATTGTGAAGCAAGAAGTTTATCAGATGAATCTGTGGAGCTCCCCAAATTTGTCGAATCGCTTTCTTCCACCCTGTTCATTTCACAACCTTCATCCTTTTCTTTAAAGGAAATCTTATCTTCTTCTTCTACGCCTTTTTGAAGCAGTCTTCTTGCAGTTGCCGCGCACGACTCCCAGAATTTCGTCAAAACACCATTTTTGTCCGCGCAGAAATCTTCCAGTTCACTTCTCAATTTACTTTCACTTCCTTTATCACCAGTAGCCGCTGACCGCCAACGTCTTGTCAACATATGATTTGGCATCCAATAGAAACCCCAATACCTGCCACTGTGTTGGTCCATTATTGACCCATGTTGGTCATTCATAAAAGGATCATTATCATCTTCCCAGGTAGAGATACGTACAAAAGCTACGCCGCTCGTGTGCACGTAGTCATGTGCGCGGCACTGCACGGGCGTCATTTGCACCATCGGCGAGCTCACGTGCATCGAGCCATACGGTGAGTCCCGGATGAAACCAAACCTTGAAACAAAGCAACAAAGTGCTGTTGTCATGGTAAAAAATGACGTGTAATTTTGGGCTAGCCTGTACACAGACGTTGCTTTATTTTTCTTTTCGATAATCAGCGAGCGCGCTTGGTGGACTTTTAAGAGAAAATAGCGGGTCTGTGAACGGGCTATTTTTGGCAAGAGGGCACGTTATTAGAATGAAAGTGTCGGAACTGGCAAGAAGGTAGTGGTAAAGTTTGAAAGCCAAATCTGTTTGACTGAATGTTAAAACTTGCGTCACACTATGGTACGAAATGCTGCCCAAGGTTAATAAGGTTGTGCAGTTAAGGTGGCTCGATACAGTTTTTCAGGGTCAATACCTCCCAAATTTGAGTACGACGCCATAAACAAAGATTTGGAAAAATTTACTCAATGTTACGTGCGACAAATGATAAGCGCCGTAATATTTTCAGTTTCAACTCTGCAATTCAATGTGGATTAGGATATATAAATCACTTTGCTTTAAGCACCATAATGTAATTTTTCTTTTTATGAAACGCTGCTCTGCAAGTAAGCTGGTCCCAACAAACAATGTGACCCATCTAGTCTCCTTCGCAGCCGTTTTTAGGCTCGTCACGCAACGCTGGTGGGAGGAGCGTTGCGTGACGAGCCCAAAAACGGCTGCGAAGGAGACTATGACCCATTCGCCACTTTTAAAAAAGAGAAGGAAACTGGACCGAGTTAACTTTTGCAAAGGCTTCTGGTGCTGTTACCAGGGACACGGGGAAAAATTGACCAATAGCTGACCGGCCTGTCCCCAGTTACGATCCTAGAAACAATTGCGGGACACATTTCGGCTCCAGTTCGCTTCCCGTTTTTAAAGTGACGAACTCGTTTTTAATTCAGCCCTTTTCGTTTGGTTTTTAAGTTGAAAAATGGAAACTCAAGCATTTTTTCTTGAGTTGAGAATATGCAAAGTTTAAAACATTAATAGCGAAAAAACATTCAAGACTACTTAACGTCAACTGTCCCGTAAGGACGTAAGCAAGCAGTACATACGTACCTTTGAAGTATGGCTTCCAAAAATAGAAACATTCTTGGATTTCGCGTGGATGGTTCAAATTCTGAAATACAAAAATTGCAACAATTTTTGGTTGCAAAAAACATGAACAAAACAGATCAACTAAAGATCACTCAAACTCAATGGAGCGTAACTATCGGTGATTATATGACCAACAAATCTAACATACTGTAAATCCTCTATTAAGCCCCCCTCTCAAATAAGACCCCTACCTCTAACAAGCCCCCCCCCCTTTTCAGGAGAAGAAAATTAATAGGTCCCCCCTCTCCATTAAGAGTCCCCCTCCCCTAGATATTCTTCACTAATAAATGATATACTGTATTAATCCATCACGACTGTAAAACTTCGTGTGGACTGATTAGGGATAGGTTATTTACCAACTAGAAGTTGGGATTTGATTCTGATCCTCAGCTGCGTGGCCTCCAACTGTCTTGTACTTGAGGTTTTCCACTTTGTATTCTAGTTCTTTATGAATAATAATAACTTAATAATAACTTTATTTCTATAGCGCTCTTATCCTATGTTCTTATCCTATGTTATCCTACGTTGAAGAGCTGATGCCATTATTTCCCCCCCCACCTCTCAAATAAGCCTCTCGTCTCTACTAAGCCTCCCTCAAATGGACTTGAAATAAATAAGCCCCCTCCCGGGGGGGGGGGGTTAATCGAGGATTTACGGTAATATAGTAAATAATGGTATTTCTGAAAGTGTAGCCAGGCTAGAGGACTGGAGCCATGTAAGGAGACTATGATGAAAATGGTTTTTTTTTTTAATCTGATAGTTACCCGTTATGAATTGGAATCACTTAAAATAAGACTACCAAACTCCTTTATCATTATCGTAAACTATTATAAATTTACGTCCAGCGATTCGCACTTGCCAGAGCAAATAGTACTGCTGCTGATTTGAGTAAGTGCGGTACATGTTTATCCATTAAGTCCTAAGTGTGACAGACATCAATTTTCTCCTCACAATTGTCATGCACAATCAATAGGAAAGGTTCTGAGAATTAATAAAATGATTAACAAAGGAACCAGGATCGTACAAACGACTTATTGACGGAATCAAACAAAACTAACCACGAGAGAACGACTGGACAACTGAAATTTGACTAACAATAAACGACTGATTAACTGTGACAATAGACGGATCGAAACGCACCAATGACATTGCGAGAGTCTTTATAGCCAATAACATCACGGCTTAACTGACAGAAGACCATTAACATCTCGACTTAAATGACCAACCAGGTCAATAACCAAAGTTAAATAACATCAACTGACGTGATACAACTCACTTCGACACTGAAGATGATTACCGCACAGGTTGTCGAAACGTCAGTCACTGTCTACAACAGTTATATTCAGGACTACGTTCACCTGGACGGTCAAACTCAACCTACTTATGGTTCAAACCTTTCACAAAGGGAAAATGCTTTGATCTTTTATCCTATTCTCTCAACTAATTCTTTAAAGAAATGTAAGAAAATCAGTATGGACAATTTGAATTTGGACATTAGGCCTTTGTTTTGTTTTTGTCTTTGTGTTTTTGTTGTTGTTGTTTTCTTATTCACAAAGGAGTTTTGGGCTATCGAAACTGGAGGTTTCATGTTTGATTACGATTGCTTGGGACAACTTACACGAATCCTAAGTATACACCAACAAATTAATGTCAGTTTTGAAGTAAACTAGCCATCAGGTCGAGATCAGTGGTTGATATTTCGACAACCTGTGCGGTAGTCTTCTTGAGAGTTTTTCCTGACTTTGACTGTGAAGATGACTACCACACACAGGTTTAAAACAGAAGCCAATGTCAGCAACAGTCCTATTTAGGAATACACTCATATTGCGCTTAGGTATGACATAACTCCTAGATTCAAAAACCTCAACATTACGAACCTCTATATAACGAAGTGTTCGGCATAACAAAAGATATCATTCGCCCTATAATAGCAAAATATATGCAATATAATTTTGCGAATCGCTTTCTTCCTTTAATTTTATTTTGTCTTCGAGTGTCCTCCATAGGGTTCTCGGGATACGGCATTTACCTCATTTGAAGGCCGGGATTCGGGACTTTTAAAGCATTATGGGGGCGGGATTCGGGATTTTGAAGCAATATGGAGGCGGGATTCAGGATTTTAAAGCACTATAGGGGCGGAATTCGGAATTTTTAAAGCAATATGGGGGCGGGATTCGGGATTGAAAGTATGCACCGGATGTGGGATGGCGAGAATAACCCTCGGGATTAAGGGAAAATTTAGGTCGGGATGACGGGATTGTTCCTCTTTCTTACCTTTGAACAGACTACCTGCGTCCGCTGGTCCCTCGGGTAAGTTTAACGAAATGAACAAAGGCAAACGAAAAGGGTCGACATTCCTACCAGCTGGATCAGGGAATGGACTTACTGGAACGGGGACTAGGTGAAAGCCACACGAAGGTGCCTTGCGAGTCCATGATTGAACCTGAGGAGAGCAAAGCGGATACGATCATGATGATGATGATGATGATGATGATGATGATGATGATGATGATGATGATGATGATGATGATGATGATGATGATGATGATCATCATCATCATCATCATCATCATCATCATCATCATCATCATCACTTTTATAGAGCGTATTCCCTCACGTGACCAGCGTCTATGCTAATTTTTACGAACACAAGAAAGTTTTTAAATAAGAAAAGAGTTCAATTCCCACAGGGTTGTCTTGGTACACTAACATGGCTGCCGTTTCATTGTTTTGGAACGCCAATATGGCCGCCGTCACCTCATGTGAATACGCTCTATAGCCTACAAATTAGCGTGTATGTCAAGCGCTTCCATGTTGATGCTAAATTTTGGCGGTAACCAAGGTATATTATGGACAGAATAAAAGTGACGAACGATTATCTTCAAATTGAACAAACAAAGGTACAGTATAGTGTAAGAAAAGTGACTGAAAAAAATGGCTTTTTCTTATAACCGCGGAATATGTTGCTTACAGGTATATCGCTTATGAAATAAACTGAACTACCATGGGTTGCCGCTTCGCTTTTATATGAGCCTTTCTCCCTGACTCCCTGATAATTTTCCCGCTCCAATTAACTCTCCTCATAAAAATGGCTGGAAAATGGCTTGTTAGAGTGATTACTATAAAACTTTGATGTCTTTCATCCTACCATGTTATTTACTATACTCCCAGTCGTTGCTATCCAGTGTAGCTCGATCTCAAACGCATGATGGGTGCAGAAATTACCATGGTAACGTACGATGCAGGTTTCAGGGCGTTGGCTCTTGTGATGAGGATCAGCATCCAGGGTAATAAACTTGTAAGCTGGGCCACAGCCACAGTCTATGGAGTATGCAATAGGATAATACTCGATAAATCGATAATAATAATAATAAGAAGAAGAAGAAGAAGAAGAAGAAGAAGAATAACAACAAGAACAATAATAATAATAGGACTGTTCAGTTGTTGACGGTGACTGACATTTCAACAACCTGTGCGTTAGTCATCTTCTGAGGCAAAGGAGAGGGCTACACTCACCCGGACAATCATACTCCACTTACTTATTTCTCCAATTAGAGTACCTCTATGATTCATAAATGTCTCTAATAAGGATACCTAACTAACTCGAATACCTCGCTTAATATATTATACAGACATTTCTCCAATTAAGACACCTCTGAAAATGAAGAAATGATCGTCGCAGTGAACGCAATTTATGCAATTGCCTAAAGAAGCTTGAAAAAAATTCAGGACTTCAACGGGGTTTGAACCCGTGACCTCGCGGTTACCGGTGCGATGCTCCACCAACTGAGCTATGAAGCCACTGACGTTGGGAGCAGGTCAATTGTGGGTTCATATGTTCCCGTGAAGAGACCTCTATTATGCATACATGGGCCCCTCTACTGCAGATAAAGTCAAATCTCCATATGCGACCACCTCTCCTTAGCGACCAATACACCCAATCTTTCCCAGTCTAATTAATCCCTATAGTTAGAATCTCTCGTAATCGACCACCCCCTGTAAGCGACCACAACCACTTTTTGGGGCTGACAGTTTAATGATTTTCCATTGGTTTTAAGCTCTTGTAAGCGACTTTTTGACGCACTGTCTGATTTCTATGTTCGCTGTATGTACTATTCTACTTAAAATATGCGAAGAACTTGAATAACAACATGGAACTGCACATATCATTATTTAGAATTTACATACAATAAATTACCTTGCATAAAGTAGATGTGTCCGGACATCGTCTCGGAAGAGACCTCAAGAGGTTCTTTTCTCGTAAACTACGACCTCCCGTAAGCGACCTTTAAGTCTTTGCATTTTGGGTGGTAGCTTACGAGAGGTTCGACTGTACTCTCTAAAACTGACACACAATTCACTGTCCCGCGGATAACTTTTGACATAACCGACATCTCTCTCATATACAAATAATCGCGATGAGGCAGCAATTTGAGTAGACTGCAGATTGTGTGGTTCAAGAACACGGAAGCGGTAAAAAAAAGAAACGTCCTGAAGCGAGGGTGAGAAAAAAGTGTGAGACTTGGGGGAGACGCCTTACGGGCGGGTTGAAACTCCTCCAAAATCAGATTGTCATCTTTACTCAAAATACATCATAGGAGTCTTATAACTTAGAGTAGTAAATAAGAGAAGAAAGAAAACGGATGAAAACAGTAGGTAGTATGTAGGACTTAAACCCGCATTATTTGATGTATAATCCATATCCGTATCCACTACACCATCAAGGGCTAACTGCCGGTTAATTTAAAGGTACCTTACATGGTATTGATCATAACATTAGTGAAAGCTAACCGTTTTTAAAAGAGTGCATAACTGTCTCTTGCTCTGATTTCTTCACTTTTCTCAAAAATGTGGCCAATAAATTCGCATAAATGGTTGTCACAAACGTTACGGGCGTGTGAGGTTTTGTGGGAAATCCCACGAACGCGCCTGGAAACATCGATTTTGAGGAAAATAACTGACTGTTTTGCAGTCTACAACTTGAGACGACACTAAAGAACGCTTTACAATAATGAAAAAATAAAAAAAAAGCTTTTAAAGTAAATTAGTTTTTAACAATGTCTAGGAAAGATCTCAGAAAGTACAGAATACAAACCGCTCTCTGAATGCAGGCGTCCTGGACTCCGCCTGGCTGATCTTGTTCGGCTGCGCTTCCGGTTTGGAGAACCCACCGGAAATGACTCAATCACCTCATCGGGTGCAAAGAATTCTGGAAAATCATCTCCAGTTCTGGAAGGCCAGATTGCCACCTCGAACCATTCACTTTGAAATTCTCGCAACAGATCTAACTCGAAACACTCCACGTCGATTGAAGACCGATGAGACACGGGTAACTTGGAAGTGTCCGGTATGTCTAACAATAAAAAACAAAGACTCGGTTGAGAAAAAAGGAAGTCCGATACTTTACCCCAGGGGGCGGAACAACAGAGTGAAAATGAAGCGGATGATTGAAAGGAAGCAAACTGACTCAAACCGCCGCCCCACCCTCCCCCTTGTCTGCTACACAGCCGTTTTTCCGTTTTTAGTGTCGTCTAAAAACGGCTGTGTAGCAGACCCCCCCCCCCGCCCCCACCGAAAATTAAAAAAATCCCAAATGCATTAAATAAAATGATCAGGAGCCATTAATTACGACTTCTGATTATAACAACCGCAAAACGAGGTGGCGTGTACTTCCTCAGGCAGAACTACGAAACCAGCATACACGCGAGGTTCAAAACGAATTTTCAGATTGTTTTTAATACCCCCTTAAACTCACTACTCAAATCAAGGCCTGTGTTGTCAGGATCCCTTAAGAAATCAGTGCTTCCTTGTTAAAAATCCCTTGCAGTTTCCTCTCCCCTCACAAAAATTGTGGGTGTAGGAGTTAACTTTGTATATGGTGTGGGGGAGAGGGGCTAGGCATGTGTAGTTTCATTTAATTTCAAACGCGTGCGTAAAAAAGCGTCACAAATAAAAGTTTGCCCTAAGATTTTTATCAATGCCGGAACGTAGGTTTCATTGAATTTTTCTTTCACACATGTCCTGTCCAACCGAAGATTAACCGTTAGAGTAATAGGTCATGGTTCGAACTCCTATTTGAGAACTCAAAATTATTCTTCAGAAGTTTCGGAAGCTCTTCATGACTTCAGAGCATTATTTGATATTCTTGCGAGGAGAATGGTAAGCATGTATTTAAGAATACTGTGGTATTCCTGTGGTCAACATCTAACTTGACTTACCATCTTTTTTCTCCGCCCAAGAAGACTTTGGTGCAAAACAAAAGACAATAAAACCTGCAAGAAATTTTTGCTTTACACTTTCTGAGGCGTGTTGAATGATGCCAGCTTCTACCATTTTCTAGAAAGGGACGTAAAAAAAGAAGCAATTTTCGAAATTTTAATGAAGTAACAGTAGAGATAATAGTTCTTTTTGTAAAATATGATTCTGAAATTTTCTCTCTTGGTATTTATTCTACGGGACCCGGTTGTTCAAACGTTGTATAGCGCTCTCCACCGGATAAATTACTATCCAGCGGATAAGTATTGGGGAAACCAATTGCGTTATCCAGTGGATAGCTTTTTATCCTACGGCCTTTGTCCATGGTTAGGTAGAATTTCTTTCACTCGAGGTCGAGAATTATCATAGTTTTTATAGTGAAAGGAGCAGTGTCAAGAAATTTATAACAATTTAAACTGTGGTAGCTTCCACCAAAAAGAGTACAACATCAAAACAACCACTCACAACATTCAATGAAGGTATAAATAACACGAACAAAATACAAAGACGGCACGGGTTGACAAACTTGAAGACGATTGAAACAGATTACAATTGCAGTTTTCGTTTTTCGCACGCTCTTTTTTTCACTGCTTACCCGCTTTCTTCTCTAGTCTGCACTAACCGAGAGCCTGGCACAGGTTATAGTAGTTTTCGAAAACTTGTTTGCCTAAGAGTTTTTCAAAGATCATTTTTGTTGTCGCGTTCGTCAGAACGTATCCTAATCTGGTGTTCCTCTGGCACTAGGGCAGAAATTTTCGAGCTATAACGGGCGACTGCAAATAAGCCTCCCCTATTAATATTATCAGGGACACCTCGGCCGGGAAACTGGTAGGACTACTTTTGACTCGATTTCGTTTCCGTAACTTTTCCGTAAGTGACGAATGCGTATCCGTAATCAATGATTACCTCTATAATGGTTGACACGAAGCTGGGATTTTGTCGTCGGCGGGCGTCCACAAGCAATTGCGCAAGTGCCATAGCGAATAAGAATGCGTAATTGGCGGTATTAAGGTTACATGTTAGATGAGACGATTCGCAACGACGATTTTTAGCGCAACACAGCTATGCAATACTAGAACAATGTTGTAACTATTCGAAAGAATGTTGCAAAAATGTTGCAACGCTGTGTTGGGTTAAAAATCGTCGTTGCGAATCGTCTCGTGTAATATCACCTTTAGGGTAAATTTCCACTGTCGCGTATTTTACACCTGTTTACGCACGTAAATTTTACGTGCGTTAATAAAACAGAGGCAAGATAAAAAGTACTGAGCTTAAACGAGAAGTTGAGCAAGGCTCAACTTTAACATTTACGCCCGACTTTCCATACATTGCCTTTATTTTATTTACGCGCGTAAAATTTACGTGCGTACGCACGTGAAAACTACGCGACAGTGGAAATCCACCCTTAGAGTCATAACGATTCAGGTTTTCGCCAAGCTTTCCGCTTAATTGTCCCTTACTGTTTATTAAACTTTTGTATTTTTGTAAAAAAAGAATAAAGTTGTTGTTGTTGTTTTATCCATAAGAATTGTCCGGGACAGTTTTTATCTGCGTATTTTCTGTTGTGAGAAATTCTCAACTTGAATTTCACGTTTGCTGTTTGTCGTAAACGTGACTCTTTTAAATCTCTCTGTTAGAGCGATATTCGTATGACCTTGAAAAAAGAAAATGGTTTCTGTAAGTGTTCCTTATCTGTTTTATCAGCCAATGGATGAAAAGATCAAAACATGGCCTTTTCGTTTCCCGCCAAATATGAATATGATATGGAGAAGGCATTGTTCGATTGGCCAATCGTGTTACAGTATGACGTTAAAGTATCGGTGGATTTCTAAAAAGTTCTCGGGCATGAAGTTTTCTCACCCGAGCGTTCGCTTAACCAATCAAAATCCACGCGCGTTTGTATTCGTTCAATCATAGTCAATTGAGTGGAATGGTTATGAAACCCGTCAGACTCCTTTGTTATATGTTTTTGTGGACCTAAAAGTGCACAACGTTCAAAAGAATTCCTATCATTTTGATTGTATTGACCAATAAAAACGTTGCATTAATTTATTCCGTAACAATTTGCCAACAGAAAACAAAGGATTGTGCACTTTCACGGTGCTTTGAACATAAACTGCAGCACTGTTGTTTTTATCATTGATGTTTGCCGCTTTTCATAACCAGTCTCCTCTAATAACTATGGTTCAATAAACCAATCAAATCGCTCTATTTCCGTTCGTTTGTTGTTTCCGTTTTGTTCGCGCGTTTTCATTTCGAGGTCACACGAAAATCGCTGAAACAAAATGAACCAGACAGTCGTGACACAGCCCCTTCAATTCTGCAGCCAAATGACTTGAAGCAAAACAATCGGACAGTTACACCTTGAAAAGAGTACATATTACTGTAAAAGTTTCAGCTCCCTCTGTCAGTAACACAAGGAGGGAATTTACCTCCATAAGTTCGTTAAATTCCTGGTCTCCGCAAATGTGTTGGTCCAAGTAATCCCAATTATAACTGTCCATTTCCTCGTGAATGAATACTGCCTCGTTTGGTTCAAATACTTTCCTTTCCGGCAGGCAAAGACGGTAACTAAAGACGAATGAAATAATACTTGTGTTAATAATCAAGCGAGCAAGTATAGTACATTGAAAGACTCTAGGGACGAGAGAAAAAGGGACATAGTTCTGTAAGTTGCGTTATTCTGGCTGCTCTCCAGACACCTCACTAGGGACCTTGAGATCCGACAACGCCGACAGCAACGAGAACGTTAAAAAGGCAATAGGTTTTTGGCCTGTTTACATAGACGTGGGGGATCCAGATAGGTGAGGTAACCCGCTCAGGTGGGGTAAAAAAACTAACTCGCGTTTACATGCGATCTTACAACTCCGCCAAACAGGGGTTCACTTTCTCAAGGTTATTGAATAGTTGCTAAGCACGTAAACAACAATAACAACAAAATGGCGGGAAAATGACGTGCTTTGACCGTCGGTCAAAGCTCTTATACTCTCACTTGATGCTCTTACTGTGGCTTTCTATTGTCACTTTAAATGACGCAAAGTCTCCGACTGGCTAGGCGGGTCACCCAACCTTGAAACATTTACATGGCAAAAATTGAGCGAGGCTAAGAGAGTTACCCGGTCTGGCGGACAAAAGAAAATCTTGCAGAACGATATCACTTAATAAAACTGACGCCCGTGACTTAACATAAGATAGCCAAGAAAGAACAAAGTCCACTTTTGTAATCGTTATCATCAGTTCAACAACTGTGCAGTCATGCGCTCTGTCGATCATAAAGTTCCTCTGTTATGTTCTTTACTTAAGAGGTGGCATCAATTACGATAATTCAGATCGCTGCAACACAACGTAACGCCTCTGTAAAAAATTTGACAAGCTACATGATTGGCAGGTATCTGAATATTGGTCTTCCTGTACCTTACCAGTAGTTTTTGGGATCCGAGGCCTGTTGATGACGTGGCCTGTACTTGGTCACCGTCACTTCCGGTGACGTCAGACAAAGTTTGTGTGAGTTGCGACCAATATTTAGGAAGAACTCTATATTTTTTGACTCGGCTGGAATAGCAGCTGTAGACTGGTGACGATCTAAAGACAGTGCTTTGGACTTTTCCGGTGGAACTAACTGAAATCCCTAATGAGAAACCAACAGCTGTCAAATACCGTAAATCCTCTATTACGCCCCCCTCTCAAATAAGCCCCCCCCCCCTCCCTTTCCAGGGGAAGAAAGGTAAATAAGCCTCTCTCCCTTCCCCAAATAAAACTTCACTAATAAATGATAGACTGTATTAACCAATCACGACTGTAAAACTTCGTGTGGACTGATCCGGGATGGTTAATTCACCAAGTAGAAGTTCGGATTTGTTTCTGTTCTTTGGCTACATGACCTCCAACTTCTTGTACTTGAGCTTTTCCACTTCGTATTCTAGTTCTTTACGGAGAACTAGTACCATCATCTTTGCTACATTAAAAAAGGTCCCCCTCTCAAATAAGCACCCCCCCTCAAATGGGTTTGAAATAAATAGCCCCCCCCCCCGGGGGGAATTTACGGTATGATTTAAGTGCAAAGTAATACCAAGCAATACAAGTAGAGTTAATATTATTCCTTCACAATATTTCACTTTTTCTGATTCGTTAGACCACCCCCTGGCTAATTCTTCATAGCCAACTGGCACCTCGTTGCCAGTACAATCGAACGTCAATGTGCGACCACCTCCCATAAGCAACCACCTATCCAAAACACCAAAATGTTTTCCAGTCAAAGCCTTAGACTTTGGAAGCTCTTGTAAACGACCACCTCTTGTGAACGACTGCGACCAATTTTGGGGGCTGACGGTTTAATAATTTTATACTGTTTTTAACCTCTTGTAAGAGACCTCTTCACGCATTATACTTAGAGTATACGAATATTTTTTAACAACAACATGCAACTTCACATATCATAACTTCGATATCGCATGCAAGAAATTAATTTATCTACCATCAAGTAGACATGTCGGACCTCTTAAGAGACCTCTTGCTTGATCGATTCTTGTTATCGACCACCTACGGTAATCGACCAATAAGTCTTCGCATTTTGGGTGGTGACCTACGGGAGGTTCGACTGTAGTGTTTTTCTACCGTTAAAAATAGTATCATTATATGGACATGAGCATACAAAGTATTAAAAAATACTTCGAATGCTTAAAATAAGTGCGACGCCGCGTTTTTGCAAAGTTCAGTCCCCGTTACTGTAATTTTTCTGGGACCAAGAAAGATGGGAAATACTGGATGGAAAACCAGGGCTTTTTTTCCACATCTACAGCTCACATAGGGGTACCCTGAACCAGGTTACAATATATCTAATGGTAACACAACTTGTGTCCTCTCTCGCGCAATGCTCGTTGCACGCAACATCACCTTAGGACCGGTTTATGTATCGGTCAAATCGAAGCTTCAACATGCCCCCCCCCCCGGGCAACCCCCCGGGCATTTGACTTTTTTGAAAATTATTGTTCAAATTCCCCCCTACCCGGGCCAAAATGCCGTTCAAATGCCCCACACTAGGGTCCATTCAGGTGATCAAATGCCCCCACCCCGGGGACATTTCACAGGCACAAAAATGACAGAAGGACGGCGGAAACGCCTTCAGCTGTCGAACAAAATCTTTATAAATATAACAAAAACTGAGCAACACTGTCAGCGTATTTAGTACGAACAAACGTCTCGTGCAAAGCGGCGGAAATCGCTGCTACAAGGTCACTGAATGCTCAGCGACATACAAAGCGTTCTATAAAAAAAGATCCCACCTATTGAGATTACTACATCATGACCATTTTACTAACATGCATCATCGCTCACCTTATTAATTAACATACTTGCAGTAGGTCAAAGTAGTTGACCGTTTCATGTTATTTTATTTTATGTTGTTGTATTGAATCGCCGGTATAGGTATTGTATTTCATTGTAAACACAACAATAAAATACATTCATACATTCAAAGCCTGAATCCAATATTAAAAATTTTAAAATTTAAATACTTCAAATACGGCACAAAGCTTGTTCAGGCCCTTTCCTCGTAACCAATTGGCCACAAAGGCACAATCTTTTCCACGAAAATCCTCTAACACCGCGTCCCCCATGATAGCTCGCCACGCCAAATATTTTACATGAAATCGAGGGTGGAGTTCAAATTCCCCACCCCTAAAACATGGGGATCAAATTCCCCACCTCCTAAAAGACTCTGATAATCAAATTCCCTCCTCCCCGGGACGGCAGAGGTGTCAAATACCCGGGGTATGCCCGGGGGGGGGGGACATGTTGAAGCTTCGATTTGACCGATACATTACGACGAGGAAACTTGTCTCAAGCAGAAGTGTCACCCGCCTACTCGAGATAACCTGAGCGAGCCAACTTTTACTACATTCCCTTACACAACTTGGCGAACCGTATACACGAGAAACAAGTTAGCTCGGTTAGAAGGGTGACCCGCCTAGCCTGTCGGGCCTTTGGCCCTCACTTGGGAGGGTGACCCACTTTCCAGGGACAAACAACGTTTCTCCATATGACAGGGACCGCGGAGGGGGAGGGGCTGGTAGGGCTATAGCCCTACCACTTTTATTGCTGGGATTTATTTTCTAGGGCTCCAGTTGACATGGAAAGAATTCCCGTGGAATTTTTGGACTTTGTCCTATGGAAGAGTTGGGTGTTTGTATGTCCGAACGATTACAACCCGATTTGCTTGCAAGAATAATGAGATGTAAGGCCCAAAATGGAAGGAGCAATTTGACTTTTTCTTTGCTTTTCATCTTGGAGAGCACCTTTATTCCCACACAGATAATCTATCTAAGGATTTTCAGGGTACTAAGATGGCTGCTGTCATTGGACAACGCCTGCCAAAACTAACAAAGAAGACGCTGACAAAATTTCGCACTGATGAAAGCTCGGACCATTTCTATGCTGATGTTGCCTGCAAGAGTGAAGGCCTGCTTAGCGAACCAACGCTTCCAAGAAAACGACGCACTTTGGTCAGACTGGAGGTTGGTGCTGGTGCACCAAGCTATCCCCAAACTGCCAAAGATCACTTTAGAGGGGTCTATTATGAGGGTATTCATCTTATCGTCGGGCTATATATCACCGCGTTAATCAGGAAAGCTTCAGCTCCTACGCCCAGATGGAGACCCTCTTGGTTAAAGCTCATATTGGTGACGACGAGGCAGAGTTCAGTTTCGTGATGCGTCATACAGCGAAGATGTTGATACAGGGGCGCTACCTGAGCAACTAAGTATTTTGGAAGTTATGTTAAAGGAGGAGAAGATATCATGTTTTAACGAAATCCTGTTGGCGGTGTTAAAGTTTCCAGAACCAGAAAAGAGGCTAATTCAGGAAGTCCAAACTATCTGTAAGCTGCTTGCTGTAAATCCTGTTACCAGTGCTGCTGGCGAGCGTTCACTCTCATCTGCACGGCGTCTGAAGACGTCGCTTCGATCCAAGATGCGTGACGAAAGGTTTGGCAACTTAGCAGTGTTGCCGTAATGGTCACAAGCGGAGAACAGACAGTGTCTCTATAGCTGACGTCGCACAGGAGTTTGTTTCCCGCAATGAAAACCTCAAGAGAAACTTCAGCATTGCGGACAACTTCAAAAAGTAGCAATCTTAGGAAGGTTTACTTAACATATTGGCTATACTGGACACTATAACAAGTGACGACGTTTATGTTATATTTGCCGAGGTTGTAAATAAGATGGCGCGCAAATGCAAGATAAAAGGCGAAACACTGAACTTAATGCTTCTTTGTACTGGCCAGATTTTTTAGCCCTACCACTTTAAAATGGTCTCCGCGGTCCCTGTTACGAAGCAACGACTCCAACTCAAATTTGATGCGCGAAATAGAACTTAGATGTTATTTCTATGCACATTCCAATTCCAATTCCTGGATGGAAATGTTTAGCCCGGGGGGGGGGGGGGTACTTTTATATAGGGAGGCTCCGCTCCAAAGTTCAACCCGTTACCCTTTCATATACCATTTGGCAGAAAAGGTGCCTCTTTCGTATACCTTTTATTGACAAATGGTACCCCTTTCCCATACCCAGTTTACAATTTTCCATCCCTTTTAAACTGCTCCAAAGGCACTGTCTTTAAAATCTGAATAAATCACAAAAACAGAACGTTTTCTCGACTTTTTCACAGCCATGAAATGCATCTCTTCGCCCTGTTGGGCCTTTACCGACCAAAATGACAGATTTCCTCACCCTTTTATATACTTCAACAAGTAAAATCCCTACCCTTTCATATACCTGAAGCCTGAAAAAGGTATCCCTTTCGGGCGGAGCCTCCCGTTACAAGCCACTACATGGAGTACCCCCTCACGGATGTTTGACCCCCCTGGCACTTACAGGAAGACTACCGTATTTATTCGAATAAGCGCCCAACCTCGAATAAGCGCCCATCCTAAAGGCAGAAAAAGTTAATAAGTGCCAAGCCTCGAATAAGCACCCTCCCCCACCTCCACCCTACTCCCTCCCACACAAACTCCATTTATTGTTTTGTTGCAAAATAAACATACTACACTTGCTGAGAATGGTGAAAATTTAATAAGCGCCCATTATCAAGGTCCAAAAATTTAACAAGCGCCCAGGGCGGTTAATCTAATAATTACGGTATACACATACGTTAAACCAATCTTGCAACTTACAATCATCCATGCTGATTAGGTCAGACACCAAAACTTACCACAATTTACAGAAGAATACGCCATGGCCTCCGTGCGACACGGTAAATGATCTTCATACAATGGCGCAGGCTTTGGGGAAGAATTCAAAAACCTAGGGCAGCGGACAGATGAATTCCAAAATCAGGAGCTTCACCTTTTAACATCAACTGAATGGTTCAGTTTGACCTATTCTTACCAATGTTTTTCAGATCGTTTATAGACAAAGAGCTTTAAAAAGGGGGTCTGTTGCAACAGCAAGTCTGTGAATTTGACAGATCTAATTTCTTTCTACTCTTTCAACCTTCTTATTTTTGACCCAAGTGGTATGACTAAACTTTGACTTAATCAAAATTCCTTTCCGCCCGTAAGTTGACATTTCGATATGGCAAACTCTGCAAACTAACGATAATTTACAGTAAGAATAAAAATTGGAAAGTTTTGTGTCCACCGAAGCAAAAGAAAAAGACTCAGATATAGCCTCCTACACAGACGTTCTTAGGGGTTTGTCACGCGCACCCCTAAGAACGTCTGCGTGGGAGGCTAACTTAAATAGGAAGCCTAGTTGTTACAAGCCTTGCAATGCTCTATGTTAAGCCAAACTGCACAACACCAAGGGGGTGGCGAGTTTTCAAATTTAAGACCAAGTGCGAAGTATTCTTAATTCAACATACACAACATATAGTTAGTCACCCTACAGTGTTGCAGTGTGGATGAAAGTACTTATCACGTGAGTTTTTGAAGCGCAAACCCCAGCCCGAGGCCAGTCCAAACCCTAACTGTTGAACTAACTCACTTGGAGGTCAAAGCACCAATACTTATTTTGTAATACCGAAAAAGCCCCTTGGTTAAAGTCTAGCTGGGCCTTACATTTTCTGGGAGTGTCAAATATTTAGGTCACGTGATGCAAATCGTTCCCATAAATCACAGCATTTGAGTTACCTTTGCAGTGGTCAATTTTCATAAACAACTCATTTGATAGAAGCAATGTCATTACACCTGGAAAGCCTTCATGACAGGGGCAAACATGCTGTTTGTCTCACTTAATGATGTAAATGGGAGATTTTGATCTCACTTAGGACGTTCAGGACAGAATAATATCTTTACCCAAACTGGTACCATTTAGGCTTTGCCATAAAAACAAAATTAAGAAGATACAAGGTAAACAAAAAATGAATTAATAGTGAGGAAGAAAGCAACCACTGGCAACTTCTCTATAGAAATAAAAACTTCTAAAACTTATTTAGCTGTCCGTTTTAGAATATCTCATAGGGGTCAAATAATGTTTAAGCCACACACAGATTAGTATCTGTTCAGATTTGAAATCCACTTTTAGGAAGAGCACCGCTGCCCATCTTTTTATGTGAAAATCACCCTCCTGCCAAGAAAAGTTAATTTGCGCCTCTCCTTCAGTGGGAATGGGATATCAAACAACTTTGTAAAATACACTACATACTGAAAAAAAAAGGAAAAATAATCATCATCACAATCTTTCCACTTGAAATGACCTGCTGTCGCTAAAACTTAGTAGTTTTATTACCTCCAATGGACACAGCAAAACGTTTTCTTTTAATGAGTACAGCAGTCTACTTTGACTGCACTGATAAAGCAAACAAGGAATAAACATTCCAAGTTTAGAGCTACATGTATACTGGTGGACAACAACAACAATGAAAATAATATTAAAAAAGGCTGGACTTTGTATGGCAAGCCGTTTCCGCATAAAACATGGATCAGTCGAACACGTCACAAGTTGAGGATTTCAGAGCACACGGATCAAGGTAACAGGAAGTCTACTTCAGAGCACTGAACGTCATAAACAGAGGAAATTCATTCATCGTGTTTCAGGTCAGCCTGGCACTGAATATTTTTTTCTTGTAACAAACATCTCAGCTCGTCAATATATAAGTACATTGTAACAGGAACATGGTGGTATCATGGTGTTGTACAGAGCATTACCAGTCACGGCCTTTTGTAAGAATGACAAACAGAATACTATCGTTAAGAGACGGTGCAAGAATAATCACAGTACAATATCAACCATTAATTAAACGACAAAATTGTACAGAGATGCTGTGACAAACTCTGATGATTTTAAAAGTTAGGATATACCAGCACCTTTTTTTTGCCTCTCTCCCCACCTCATCGACTTATCTCAACCTCATCCCCCCACCCCTACCCCCGGACACCCAGGTAACTCACTCCACTCTTGTAGCTTGCATATTAACCCTTTGTATTAAAAACTAAGATCAAAATTTAGATTCTCATTTGTTGGCCCTATTTGGTTACCACAGAAGTAGAGTGGCAAGGTTGGTACAGTATCCAGCTAATTCATCTTGTGTGATCAGGTCCCTAATTCTTGAGACCACTCCGTTAAAATATACAGCACTTATATGATTATCAGAAGAGGAAATTAGACGCTGATCACGCTTAGGGCTTACGGCTTAATCACATGCTACTGTCATGGACTTGAATCAAACAGCCCCCTTGTGCATAGTGTAAAATGACCATTCCAAAATTGTGGAAGGTGAGTGCAGCCAAGCATGGAATATTTTCTAAGGAGGTGCAAAAGTCGGTGTTTTTGATTGCATTTTGTTTAAAATAGTATTGTCATTTGAACATTAATTTTTCTATTTACATGTAGCTAATATGAAAAGGGAGCACCATATTGAAACCTGCTTTCACAAGTCTTCGAGGCCATGAAAAAAGAGCACAAGATGCTTGGCAAGATGCATAAAACAAAACAAGACCTGATCTCTTTTTGGTGCCAAGCTGCAATTTCCTTTTAAAAAAATAATCTGTAACCCAAAGTATCTTACTTCCCCACTCAACTAAAAAAGTCCTCTCCCCAACGGCAGCATATGCATGGAAGCAAAAAGCCACAAGCCTGGGCTATGTTTTGAGCAAGTTTCTTAATAAACAGAGTCAAACTTGAAAACCTTAACCCAACTTTCTAGTTCAAGTCCACCATTTTCCTGCTTTGTTTAATATTTTTATAGCAAGGGTAGGCCAATAGACCTTTTTACCGATACGGCAGCCATATTGACTTAATTCGATTTAAGGAGTATTATAGGATGCCCAGGGGGCATAAACACATTTCGTTTGTATTTTCGAGCGCTTTTCGGGACATTTTTTCTTCAAGTTTTCTTAGAATAAGATTGTAATGGGAAAAAAGATCCTTGTGCAATGTTTTGATGTAATAATGATCGCCTTTTTCCCGAGAAATATACAGTGAAAGACCATATTTCTAATACTAAACTAGAAAAAGGCGATCATTATTAGATCCAAAGACGGCACAAGGATCCTTTTTCCCATTACAATCTTATTCTAAGAAAACGTTAAGAAAAAATGTCTCGAAAAGTGCTTGAAAATACAAACGAAATGTGCTCATGCCCCCTGGGCATCCTATAATACTCCTTAAATCGAGTTAATTCAATATGGCCGTCGTATCCGTAAAAAGGTCTATTTCTATTAACATGAACGTCCTTTGGAAATCGTAACTAAGATCTTGAACTGCAAAGTATGTAGTTTTACTGAAATAATGATAAAAAATAGCTTTTTGTGTATAAAAAGCTCTTGAGGCTTTTTGATGAAAAGCAAACCTTGCAGTTAGTTTTTAATACCTGTCTAGGTATTTACGGGGACCCAGTGTAAATCAGGTATTGATGAGAAGGGATCCATACTCATAATTTTCAAGTGGCCTTATATTTTAGTTATACTGCCCCTGGTCTTAAAGACAATAAATGAAATATCACATGAAACTTATTAATCAACACTTCTTATTTATTGGGACAAGCAAAGCAGGACAAGGGCAAATGACTCAGAGATCCTCACATCCAGGGACCCAGTGAACCTTGAGCTCAAATCAATGACACTGACACCCAGAAAAACACAAAATTTGATATAAGTGGTATTTCTGCTGTCACAGGTCTGTTTTACAGGCTTTATAAGCCTGGAAATGTAATTTTCAGTGACTGTAAATTGTTGGGGGGATTAAAATGTCGCAACAGCAGACAGATTTTTACCACAACATCGAAAATCAGTCACACTTCCTACCTTAATAATATTCATTACCTTGGCTACCATAGCCACCGCCTCCTCCATAATTGCGGCCTCCACCATAGCTGCTGCCTCCTCCATAGCTCCCTCCTCCTCCTCCGTAGCCACCATAGCTATTATAGCCACCGCCGCCACCACCACCATAAGAACCTGCAAAGTAAAAGTCCAGCTGTTTGAACACTAAGAAAGTCACTCAGTTATGACCTTCCATGGGAAAATATAAAAAAGCACTTAATTTGAAATAGAGTGTAAATGTATTTAGCATGAGAGCACTATTATTGAGGATGCTATCACCAGGGCTGAAACTTAACTCCAGTGCTTGGTGGCCAGCCAGGCCAGTTTCCTTGAATTCTTAGTCGTCCAGGTCAACATTAAGTGGCCCTGGATTTCCAGTATATTTAAAGGAAAGAGGAATGTGCCTTTTGGTCTCCCTAGCCCTTCCTCTGACTTTTGAAATGTTTGTGATCTTTTGGTTTTTTTTTTTTGGAGGCGGCTCACAATCAGAGAGAAATCCCCACATTTTGCCGGTCTTTTCCAGTCGATTTAGTATTCCAAAGCTGTTCACACATGGGAGGCAAGGAAGCAGCAGCAACAAAAGCAGACAGCAAAGTACTATGGGTAATTCTTGAGTCACGTGAGAAAAATCAAAATGGCGTCTCAGGGCTCGAAATTGCGACTGATACGGTCGCCAATGCAACTAATATTTTCTCCTTGGCGACTAAAAATTCTGATTTAGTCGCAAAAGTGGCGACCAGATTTCTCTATATTTTAGATTTAAATTAAATGAGTTAAGTTAACACAAACATTTCATATTATCTTGCTTTGCTCTCATCATAAAAAATGTGCCAAATGTCATAAACAAAGCCAGTTAACCTCCAAATTTACACCGACTTCTATCCCTAGTATTTTCAAATCGCGGAAATCGGATGGATCGCGCCATACTATGCAGGGTTTCTAAAAGGTCGCGGAAAAAAGTCAAGTTTTGCGGGATGTTAAGGGACAAATGCGCGGAAAAATCGGCCAATTTCGAGAAAATTTTCGGAGCAAACTTCGCGAAAAGCAATCGGTAAAAACAGCCGATTTTATGCTTATTTTCAGGGAAAATTCGCTAGAAATCGATCGGTTTTGCGCTGATCAGACCAGCATTTTAAACGTTTTTCTAACAGAGGTCATCATTTGCTCTCTCAACAACAATACGCTCCAGAAATGAACCAATGGCAAAGCCTTTAACATCATAACTAGTGCCCAGGTTTTCGCAACATAATCTATGCCTGGTAGTCTTAGGACGATGTGTGCACGTTTCAGTGATGAAGTTTCAAGATGAAATTGCTGAGATAAGTTTCAAATATGTTGTTAAGAGACATGTATTTGATAAAATTTCTACTGAATTTCGCGGTATTTTGCGTGCTTTTGTGAATGTCACGGCTTCGCGACCGCGCGAAATACCACAAGCCCTGAGCTGGGTCATTTACATGATACAAACTGGCGACTAAAAATTTGCATCTGGTGACTATATTTCTCTAGTTGGTCGCCAAAAGGCGACCTGAGGATTTTTTTAATTTCGAGCCCTGCGTCTCATGGATCGGTTCAGAATTGTTTAGGGTTTAATCCTTTTCCATTTAAAACTATAAAATGCTCATACGACTCGGAGAAATTAGATTCAGGGACAAGAAAGAAAGGTACTCCAACAAAACAACCTGTCATTTTATTTTTATTTAAGTTCGTACTGGCAATCATAATATAAGCTTACATTGGGATGAATTCGAATTTATATTTTTTTATTGCAGTTGCCAGTCAGGCAATTCAACCACAATTTTTCATCGCCCAGCTACATTTTAAGTCGCCACTGGTGACCTGGCGACTGCCAAGTTTCAGCCCTGTATTCCTACATCTGATAGAGATAGGACTGCCATTTTACAAGGTCATCAGGACATGCAAAGGTCAGAGCCATTTGCAGTGTGAGGACAGTACCTTAATTTACCAGTTATTTTGAGACCCTGAGTAGTGGACTGGTCTTTCTCACACTGGCAAATGGTAACACCTTTATTTCCTCATTCTTTTCTTTTAACCAGTAAATTGTAACCGACAAAATTATGTAAGCAGCTGGCGACATTGCCGGTTGCCAGCACTTTTTGAGAACCCTGAAACACTCCAAGAAGTGCAGCGGTCAGCGGTCAGCGAGAAAGATGTGCTTCAGTTTTCTTGCTTACCTGTAATTTACTTTTAAATAATGCTGTTGTCAACTCGCTGCATGGCTCTGCTAGCCCCCATGGTTATTTCAGGCAGCCAATACTCTAATTTTTACTTTTAATATTAATTCTCATCATTGTAATTTATTTTTGAGCAGGAGTTAGTACAAATAAAGACTGTTGTTGTTGTTGTTGTTGTTGCATACCTCTACCATATCTTCCACCTCTGTAGTCGCCTCCACCGCGTCCACCTCCGTAGCCACCCCCTCTTCCTCTATATCCTCCTCCTCCTCCTGCTCCACCACCACCACGGGACTTAGCTCTTGATACCTTAATGGTTCGCCCATCCAGCTCCTAGGAGGAAAATTGAATAACAATTCCATTTATAACTGCACTGTGCATTCAGTAAACAATACATAGGTTGCTATCCAGAGAAAACAGGTGACATCACTAGTTTTGCCATGAAGTGATGTCTGAGGAATTTCAATGCAAAAATTCCATACCGATGACGTGTCTCTACCCAGTAAGTGAGATAGTTCAGTCTGTGAAAGCTTCCATAATTGTGATAAGGGTATGCTTAAAGATATCAACCCTTTTTGCAGTCAGTCACTTTTCAAGTTCTAAGGTATTCAGGTTTGGCACCCAGAAAAAGTGTCCTTTTCCCCTGAGTAGAGCTGTCCCTTCAAAAGAGGTAATAAATACAAAGATTATGTGGGCATTTTTCCAGGACCAAATTTTGTCCCCTGAATGGAGGTGTCCCTTGAATAGAGGTGTGCCAAACAAGAGGTTCCACTGTACTTTATTTGTTTCTTTATAATAACCAAGTTAATAAATAAAACAATGTGTTAGCTTGAATTCTGAGTAAGTAGTAAACTGAATAAGGGTCCAAAAATCTACTGAGCATATATGTTTTGATTTCTACTCTTGTGGAGATCAGTCTGGAAAATTTGCATGTGGATATTGGAATTTAGCGAGTTTATTAAGGAATTTGTTGCCACCATTGTAGAAAGACGTTTTACCTCTCCATTCAACTGCTCAATTGCCTTTTGGACATTCTTTTCTTCATAGAATGTCACAAAGCCAAAGCCTCTTGATCGAGTTTCATCCTCTCTCTCCATTACAACTCTCGCTGCAAGGAACAATATTAGAAAGTACACAATATCAATATAAAATTCCATTGTCTGGCTGGGCTTAACAAGAGAGGAAGATGAAGAGGTCCAATGATCTAAATCCTTAATAGGAAACTTAAGAACCCCGACGACGACTGGAAGTGAGTTACAGTGTACTGAGCAAGTGCGACCAGTAAATTTCATTGTTATGGTGTCATCGACGACGCCAAACAAAGTAGAATCATGTCGTCCTGCAATCCACAAGCTTTGGCAGGTATAAATCCACTGTTTTAAGCGATTTTTGAAGTCCTTTGCATTTTCTTATCCTCATAAATCCAGGTATCATTCCTTTTTTTCCCTAACAAGCGATGTTGATTGAAAATTTGACTAGTGAATTGTTTTTAGTCGTATAAACATAACAACTTTCTTTAATTTTCCAGACATGTTTCGACGGTACATCCGTCATCTTCAGTGTTACATATTTTGAAATCGCCGTTGAATTTAGAGCGCGCACGATCTTACAAAGTTCGTTACATTGCGTTGTCAATATTGCGTACTACTACTTTCAAAGTCAGGAATCTTTTTAATGTGAAAGATGCTGTCCCTGAGGGGCTACGCACGCGTGTGGTCTATAAATTTTCGTGTGCAAGTTGTAATGCTTGTTATGTTGGTGAAACCAGCCAACACTTCTCCACACGAGTGCGCGAGCACTTACTTTCAGACAGGTCTTCGAACGTTTTTAAACATCTGCAGAGTTCAGAGTTTTGTAGAGCATCCTGCTCACCGGATTGCTTCGAGATCCTAGACTCTGCAGCCACTAAGTACCAAGTGAAGCTTAAAGAATCCATGTTCATAAAATGGGAGAAGCCCGATCTCAACCAGCAGGTGAAACACATTAACCCGACTCTCTCCCTGTAAAGAACTAAGGGTCACTCATTTAATTTTGTTTTAGTACGCAATATTGACAACGCAATGTAACAAGCTTTGTACGATCGCACGCGCTTTAAATTCAACGGCGATTTCAAAATATGTAACACTGAAGATGACGGATGTACTGTCGAAACATGTCTGGAAAATTAAAGAAAGTTGTTATGTTTATACGACTATCTATATTGTTGCTGCTATCTAGACCTTTTGAATTGTTTTTACTTCGAAGAATGACAACAGCTGCGTAGGCCGAGCGAGCGAACTCGTAAGTGATAAATTTATTTGTATGCATTTAGGTAAGGCAAATCACATATCTTTAATAGAGAGGAAATAAACTTTATATGGAAAACAGCTATCACATCAGAATGTCTCTTTTTCCAAATCTAAACTCTGACAAACACTCGGACTCGGTCATCTCATTCAGGTTGAAAGTTCAATAATCTTCATACGGAAAGCAGGTGTTTTTCCACTCGAAGAGGTCACAAACACAAAAAATAATTCTTCATCGTCGATGAAATTAGATGTACGGCTTAAAAAATAAGATCTTGCATTGTTTTAAAAGACGCCACTGCAAAAAACTTTGTTGTGAACAAACATGACAGTTTTACATTTGTGTTTACATTCAGTGTCGTCGTCGTCAACCAACCGACCGACTACATCGTAAGTTTCCTTTTTCACACTGAAACTGACGTTCTCGTTCCAGTCTTTTCCCAGTCAAGAGACGTCGTCGTCGTGAACTTCGTTGTGGTTCTTAAGTTCCCTAATGATCGACACTGAACTAATGATTATATGCATATCATATACCATATTTCCTCAAATAGTAGCTGTCCCTCAATTAATCACCTCCCTCGAATAATTGCCCCTGTTCAACTGACATTTTTAAATAATTGCCTCCCTCAAATAATCGCCTCCCCCCAACCCCGCTCACCATCTTCTCTTCCTTTTTTGCTCTTCCTGTCAAGATAAAGTGCAATGAGATCTAGCAAAACTGATCAGTGATGATTCAAGCTATGAAAATTAATTAAGGACCTAAATTTGGAACACTTAAAAAGCCCATGTTCAATTTATTTGATGTGATTATTTTTTGATTTAAAGGGAAAAGAAAACAAAATATTTAGGGCACAACTTCCAGTGAGCAATGTTTGAAATAATCACCCCCTTTTTGTGCGAAAAAAAGAAATAATTGCCCCCGGTTATTATTTGAGGAAATATGTATTTGAACTACAGGATGAGGAAATGATTGCAGAAGAGATCATCACAGTTAAATACACAACTTATGAGGTCACATCTTTTCGGTATTTTTTTAGGGTTTTTTCTCAACTGCATAAGTTGCACACTAAACTTTGATGATCTTCTCTACATTTATGGATCAACATCACACTGTCCAAACATCCTGCTCTCATCAGGATTCTCCCGATTTGGGGTTAGGTTGGCTGTTGGTGGTCAAGAATAAAAGCATTTCTCTCCTCTTGGAACTAAACTCAATATTTTTGTAAATTATTCGAGAAAAAACTCTATTGTATTGACCCACAACATGGCCGCCTTGTCACGTGGTTGCAAACCAAGAAGATGCGATCGCAACAGGAAAAATCCCGATTTTGACATCTATTCTGAAACTTTCAAATGAATTCTTATGATACTTATACAAGAAACACCTAACAGAGAATACTTAGCTGTGACAGTCGATTTAGTGAACATTTTAGATAGAAATTGTCGTCTCAGAACACTAGAAATGTCATTTCGGGGCATCGAGATTTCAACGGTTTGTAGACATCCATCGAACCCGCTCTAAAGAGAGCCTTATAACTCAACCATCGCTAACTGGTCCTTATTACAAGTTGAAATTTTCAAACCGCGGAAGGGTCTTTTCGTCTTGTGATGAAAACTTCCACATGCTGCAACCTTCTTACGTGACCAATTGTTGGGCCAGTGGACATTTCCCCTGTCAGATCGTCATGATGGACGTTTCGATTCCAAGACCTTCGAACGTTCGATTTCAAGAACCTTTTTTTGTTACAGGCTACAGTGCTGCCGTAATAACATTACCGAATGCACTACTGAATGAAAATCAAGCACCTTTTGCCATTGCAAGCTTTCAATTTGCAAAATGAACGCAACCTCTGTAATTCAGAGTTAATTTCTCTTACCATCTGAAACTTCACCGATTTCTTCAAAGAATGCTCTTAAACTTTCGTCGGTTGTGTTGTAGCTCAAAGAACCAACATAGAGCCTCTTCTTATCTTCGTCGTCTCCCATTTCTCTTAAAATTTTACCTTTCGAGGAAACAGAAACTACCTCGTGCTCCAACAAAGTTGCGTGCTGCTCTGCTATTCAGGGCAGAAAAACGTCATGAGCATGCGTGAACTTTTTTGCCCAGATCCCCAGGCCGGGTTTGAAAAAATGGCGGGATTTCAAATATTTTATTGCCTAAAAATAAGATGTTTCCACTCATAACCTGGAAAGAACAGGCAATTTGTCTTCAAAAGTTGCAAGCTGTGGTTATAACCTTGTCGTTACTTAATTTTCTCGAAGAATACCTCATAGTAAAACGGACTTTAACGACATCAATTTCCTTGCGTTGTACTGGAAATGTGCATGCGTAGGTCCGATTTTTTTCAAGATGCATTTACAAAATGTGTTCATATAAGGAAGTTCCTGGATATATAAGGTCCGGAGCTCCACTGTGGACACAAAAACAACATATCTTTGGACAGTGATTTGCCCAAAAAAATTAACGCTTGCCCACAATGTGTTTGAAGGCACTGAACTTGTCGCACTCGAGCTGATATTTTAAAACCCTCGCTCGATCGGACACTCGTAGTTTCGCAGATAACTAAAATATAAACAAAATCCTCAATGTAGAAGTTATTGCGTTGATATGCGGGCAGAAAAAAGGTCAATCTTTATCTAGTAAAATCTTCCGAAAAATCGGTTTTAAAGCAACTATAGTTTATTTTTAAACTTGATCGTTTCGCGTAAATATAAATTATGCTTTGTGTTGTCAAGTTGAAAATACATAACATCTGTCAAAAACCTACACGTAAGTAGGATTTCCTTCAAACAAAGTTAAAATTACATTATTGCAAAAACTTCCTGCTGACAATGAAGAAATGAATTTTTTGTACGAAAACAACCTACCTAAAGATCTTAAAACCAAAAGATCAGTTGCAGTGAGCTTCGCAGCTAAACCATGATTCACCATGTAGCTCTTCTCCTCGCTTTAATAACTCAGTGAATAACTGGTCCATGTGAGGGTCTTCATTCAAACAAATTAAACTCAGCCAACCGTTACAAAATTAAGAAAACTGCACATAAGGGTATTTGTTTTGCTCGCTTCAGACAAATCCAGCTCCAGCAATTCAGTGTTACGGGCAGAGTCAATTGTTTTGAAGTGACTGCCGGCAGTTGTCCTCTACTTCACAGCGAGTGAAATGGAAAATTTGCGTACAGAAAGTTATTTCTTATAAAGAACAGAAACTTTCACAGTGCAGTGGAAAACAAAACTATGTAATTAAAAGTGAAGAAAACTCTGACTACTTATAGTATTTGAGCAACAGAAAAATGATTCTTTTCTTCTAGAGTAAGTTTACTGAACTTCTACCGGTATTTCCGAGAAAGTTTTAGGGCGAACAAAATGGTCCTTTGACTGAAGAGAAGGATAAAGCTGGTTCTACAAGAGGGTCTCAATGGGGTTAACCGATAGGCGTAAAACGGCCAAAAATTTAGTCGATAGCCGTAAAAATTGAAAAATGTCAACCGTTAGCCGTAAACAGAGTAAAAGAGAGTTAACCGTAAAAGAAACTGCTCCCTAGATTTGCTACTTTTAAGGGAGGTACTAAACTCACTTATGGTTGCGTTTTTTATTTCCCGGCTAGTGTGACTCCGTACCCACGTTAGGCGAAGCGCCTTTTAGGTGTCGACCAAGACCTAGGCTCCATTTCCGCCACTCTCTTGGGGAACTAATTTTTTCCATAGCGAAAGTGTGGTTTCTTGCTAGGGATTAATATTTACGATTTTCAGGAGGTCGTGCCCTCGAAACACTAGTGAAACAACACACAGAGATGTCTCTGTTTGTAAAACACGTTGCCGATAAACAACATTTCCCTGTTTTTCTCTGACGCTACGGTAGACATTGCCATGCCTAGTAATTGTACGGCGTCTCCCCACGCAATCTCGGTCAAGGCATTTCCGCCGCGAACTCGCTAGGACCACGTGACCCGAAACGCATTAGCCGCGCGGAATAATTAGGCCTACGGACAAGGCAACGGCAGACAGTCGTTCCGTAAAGTCCTTCGCTATCATTAAAAACACTGGACACGGGAATTTGGTTATTGGCCGTTTGCACGCTAGAGCTAGTAATGGATTATCCGTCTGAGACCAGCCTGTGTACAGTCGCGCCATCCCCACAGACTCCCCTTCTCTGATTTTTTCTGAGGGGAGGGGGCGGCTGTACACAGGCTATCTGAAACGGATAATCCCGTCTTCAAACTGTCCGTTGAAATTGACGGATAAAGTCAGGCGGATTGTTTATTCAAAATTAAAACTATTCCATTTTCAAATTAGGAAGTATTACCTATCTGACGCGAATCATCAAACGGATAACTCGTCTCACACAAATAATCTGTCTAGTGAAAACGGCCATGTCTGTTATAATGAATGTCGCGCCTTGGCCTTGAGTTGGGCGTTTGCGTGTCCGCTTTTGCTTTTTCACAAAGATTATTTTTAAAATGACTATTGACATTTCTATTTATAAAATAATATTAGAAGTGAAATACTTTATAAAAAGTATGATCTACCAAATGCTAAAATTTTTCAAAAGAATAACTTGTTTCATCCCGAGATGATCCGAAGACCTCGATTTTGATTTTAAGATACAAAAAATACAGGTTAATTAATTTTTAACTTTTTGAAACAAAAGAAGTTAATGTTTAACTTTTTCGTTAACCGTAACTGATCAAAATTAACCGATACCCGTAAAAGAGCCAAAATTTTAGCCGATAACCGTAAAAGCCAACACCCCAATGAGACCCTCCTACAAAGGGAATAAATCTGGGCATGTGAAAAAGTATTTACTAATTTAAAAAAAGAGTGGGTTTTAGTTCAGCCCGTCGAAAGAAGGCGAAATCAACTCACAAATAAATCGAATGAACAATCAAAAAAATACTCGCCTCCTTGGAAATGTTCAAAACTCTTTATTCCACCTCAGACTGACGGAATGATCCGTTTTTGCTTTAACATTGGTTGTTCCGAGTCCAAAGTAATTTTCAAGTGACGAAAAACAAAAACCACACAAAAGTAAAAAGGCTTTTCGAGGAGCAAACGTTCACACCTTGTTCATTTCATTCAGTCTTAGTCAGAACTCTCTCAGTGACAAACAAACAAACTGTCGAACACAGTCAACACACAGAAAAGCCCGCCTTGAGCCTGCGATAAAGGATGCGCAGAAGCGTTGCGCAGAACGTTTTTCCGCCCTGAAAGCTCTGCTAATGCGTGTATTGAACACTAACCGGATAAACCGGTTTCTTGCTTCGTACCCAGTTCTTGCACGGGATCTGTGAAAAGATCAGATCATTCTCGTCCCCAGAGCCGCTTGGCCCTCTTAACCGTCGGAGACTGAGCCCTCGTGCTCAGTCTCCGACGGTTAAGAGGGCCAAGCGGCTCTGGGGACGAGAATGATTGGATCAGAGCTTAAGATCAGAGCAGGGCGGATAAATGTTTAGCCTCCCCCGCAGGCATTTTTAGTTTGTGGGGAGGGAAGAAATACGATCTCCCCTAAAAATGCCTGCGGGGGAGGCTAATAAATGTTGGGCGGTGAAACGAGCGCTCCGCTTTTCATTTAATGTGTGATGCGGAGTAGGACTGGCACGAGCGCTCTTTCCGCGCTTCAGGTGCGCTCGAAGGCCGGCGAAATTTTCCTTTTTGCAAACCGGAAATCCTATTTTCTTTCTGTAATTTCAGGCTACAATGTTAAATAGATAAATTCGTTTCATAACAGTATCAATAAACAGTTTCATATGTTTGTGTCTGTACGTCTATAAGTCAAACTTGTTGGTAGTATAATGCCAAAATTTGAGTTTAACTATCACCTAATCGTCTTTCGCCGTTTCGTTTGCAAAAGCTTAACACTTCTTAACCTCAATTTTTACATATGTTAAAGGGGGATAAATTTCATAAAACATAACAGAAAATTAGATTGATATATATTGATAGTGGCGTTGTACTTCTTCAAACTTTGCTTCTCGGGCGCAACGCGCCATGGTGATTTGCGCAATGCGTTGCAAATCCGGTAACCGCATGTAAACAAAGTTTATTGAGGTTAGTTGTAAGGTTTTTTCTCAGTTTTTCTCTCTAAAACAAAACAAGATAAACAGTAAAAACTGAGGGGAAACTAATTTTGAAGTTTCGAAGAAACAGAAAGACGTATGAGATGTTTTTTTCAAAATTAAAAAGAAGGATGATGGTGATTGAAATTAGCATAATTTCACCTTGCACGAGGTGCACGCATTTATAAAATACACGTCATCTAGTTATGAAACACGATCTGCCGTCTTTTAGTTTTGCAATGGATGACATGGATGAGATTTTCCTTCGTGTTTTAGACAGTACTTAGTTGTTTTTGTTTGGAATAACATCGACATTGGCGAGTAGCAGAACGAAAATATAATTCAGTGGTAGAGTCATGGAAGTAATAAAAGAAACCCTTTGAAAGAGATGTTTAAATTTGTCTACTCCAACTAAACCTCCCGCAAAAAATAGCAACATTTGCCTCTCGGAGACAGCGTACCAGCACAAAGGAGCGAGGAAGAAGTGCAAGAAAACAAATCAAGCCGCCATAATTCAGTGACAGCGTCAGTGTCTAATGTACAAACCACATCGCAAGCCCTGACCGAAGTCGAAAACAAGCAGCATTTCTAAGCAGAGTCCCAGTTCACTGCATCACACCTTTTTGCTCGGACGCGCTAGTTTCACCGCCTAACCTTTATCCGCCCTGGATCAGAGACGCCAAGGGCGCTTTCCATTCAACAAAAATTCCGCTTTAAAATTTCCGAAACTTCACGTGCTCAATGGAACGGTACATTCCGGTTGCACAGACCCGACCCAAGCCACCGCGCGTTTTGTTATTGTGGCTTCTCAGCACACTCATAATTACGCTCTAAAAGAGAAAAGTAAATACTGTCATATCCTAAAGAACACTCGACTGTCGAAAAGAGGCGGTGGAAAACTAAAGGCGGAGGAATCGTATTTCGTGTAGAAAGCCTATGAATGCGAGTGAAGGTAAAAAATTCTTGTGAATTGAAGCGATACGTTTCTCAGAATATTCGAACGATTCGAAGCAATTCCTGGAACTGTACGGTAAATAAATTCAGTGTTTTAGCCAATTTGTGGCAGCCAGGCTTTGTTGTATTCATTTCAGCTTAATTGATACATTGCTTTAGTTAAATATCGTCGACAGGTTTCAGACAAATAATACGCTGCTGATTCTCACAGACTTTTATACAACTGTAGCTTGATTTCACACACTTTTTTTCACCTACGTGTCGTGTTGCGTCAGTTATTTGACACTGTTAATGGCAAATATCAAAAATCGAAAAAAATTGCAACTGATTCAAACTATTTGACATGTCATGCTTTACTCACAGCACTTCACTTTCCATTGGAAACTACTTGGTCTTGTAAGCAGGATAGCAAAAAGCGGTACTGGGGACAACAATTTTGGCAAATGGAAAGGGAAGAGACGGAGGAAGGAAGGAAGAGACGGTGGCGAGAGGGGCTGGGGAGGGGCGATTATTTGAGGGAGGCGATTCTGTTAAGTATTTTTCTCAAAGGAGGGCGATTAATCGAGGGACGGCTATTATTCGAGGAAATACGGTAACCCCATCCAGGCCCTCTATAGTAAACACTAGACAATAAAAAGTAAAAAGTCTTATTGTTTCTGTCTAAAATTATACTTTAAAACTGCCAATACTTTCACTGTTGCTTATTTTGAGAGGAATCTCGTTTCATTCTTTGAACAAAAAATATGACAAACGTAGTTGGGCTTTACTACAATGTGATCTGTCAATTCTCAAATCACTAGCATGACGCGTTGGTAAATGTAGACTAAAAACCCAGTATTAAAATGATAATTGTGATCCAAAAGGCCATTGAGGGATTTAAACTCGGGGTAGCTAATGGAACGTTCGGTGATCGAACCCAATCGAACTCCAATCGTTGGATTGACTTTGATTGGGTTCGGTAATCGAACTCTCCAAAAAGTTCCAGTTCGATTATGTTCGATTACCGAAAAAATCAAACAACAATCCGACCGATTGGGTTCGATTGATTTTTGGTTCGGATTCGTTCGATTAGCTAAGCCTGGTTAAAAATAGACTGTTCACAGTCCTCTATTTTTCCGTAAGATCATCGAGATCTAGAGCTTTGCCTTACGGGCTGCCATCTTGCATGAGTGTCAAAACTACCTAGGGGGCGGGGGCGGTTTGGGAGGAGGCGAGAAAAATATTTTTCTCGCTCTCCCCCCCCCCCCCGAACTATAATCCCCGACGCCCGCCCCCTCGGTACATTTGAAAGTCAAGATAGCCGTGACGGTAAGACGCGGTATATCTAAACGATCTCAAGAAAAAATAGGGGACTGTGAACAGTCTAGGTTAAAAATATGGACAAGTCGATGTATGCGCCGTCGAACCCGAAGATTCACTGAAGACTGACCTACCCAAGATCGATAAGCACCTGACTAAATGAGGAATGTGTAGGACGATTGAGAACAATCTTAGCCGCTTTATTGTGCAGGACCTTGAGGGAATCCATCATCAGTTGCACCAATATCATAGCTGATTTGACGTATGTTTAACTCCTTTGCTTAGTTTTTTTTGCTTCTTTCAAATTTTAAAACTTGATATTCTTTCAGGTATACACACGTGCGTAATTCGTCACTTAGAAACAAGAAGGACTGATTGGACGAGTTAACTTTCGCAAAGATTTCTGGGACTGTTACTTGGCGCGTCCCCAATGTAACTATCCCAGAAGCAATTGCGGGATGCATTTGGTTCCAGTTTTTTTCTGGTTTCTAAAGTGGCGAGTGGCGCAATGGGATCTAATGATAACCACTCATGTAACTACATCTTAAAGCCTGTATGTTATCAGCCAAGATTGAAAACAAGCAGCTCATAGGACGATCTTTATCGAATCAGCTGTAAAGATGCGCGAATCTACTTTATCAACTCACTTTTTTAAATCGTACATTTGCTTTTAGTACTTCTTATTTTTCTTGTAATTGTTACTATGCACGACCCCACCAGCAATGCTGATTTTTTTATCGAGCTAAAATAAAATTCTTATCTTATCTTACTTGATAAAACAAAATCTTTGTGTTTCCCACCCACTCAGACAAAAAACAACCGTTTCTTTAGAAGCAAAAACCTTTTTACATTTGTGGAGATGCGAGCGTCTTATGTGTGCTGACGTACTAGTTTTGACAGTTTTTCTTTCTCTCGTTTTTCGGTAAACCAACATTCATTTGTTTTAATAAGCGTCTATTTCTACTCTTGGAAACAAATCCTTGGAAGTGTAAGCCGTCCAGCTATTTCTAGCCCGCGTAGCAAGCATTTGCACGCGAGTTTGTGAAGAAAGTTGGAACGAGAGCAAAAATGAGGAATGAAGGGGGAGGGGAGGGTGGAGAAGGAAACTCTTTTCCCCTGGTCCTCCCCCTTCAATCTTCTATTTCTTTCACTCTAGCTCCAAATTATCGCGCAATAAGTCGATTGGAAACGCTTGCTACGCAGGCTAAGATACTTCCGAATTGCTCTAAGCCTCTCCTTATCGAATTAAGCGAGGCGGAGTAAGCCCTCCACCCCCTCCCGATTTTCTTTGAGGGGAAGGGGCGGCTGTACACGTACATATGAGTAATGTAAAAATTCCGAAGCCGAGCTCCCGTGGCATTGGAGCACCATGGATGCGATTTTGATGTGCGCATATTTCGCGACACTTAAATTTCGCGATTTTGCGAAAATTTTATATTTTGAATCATTTTAAATTCGCATTTTTGAGTACAGCAATTTACATTTCATAGGTAATGTTATTTAACATGCCTTTGAATTAAATAAAACGTTTCTATCAAAGGAACAATGACGTCAAAATTAAGGAAAACGAAGCAATGTCCACAAGCAGTTCATGCTTGTACGTGAGTCAATTGAACACAACATCCATTTACACTGAAAATTCATCAGAAAAGTAAAAAATGTGATTTGTAAACGTTTCAGTGGTAATAAACTCCTTCTTTCTTGATTATGGACATAATGAGAGTCACGTCATGTTATGTTCGCGACACTCATTGCTCGCGTCACTTAACTGAATTTCGCGATTTTTTTTGGCATCGCGAAATTAACGTGTCGCGAAAATGTCATGTAATAAGGTATCTGTCCAAACAAGACATTTTGGTAGTGACAAAGATAGCAGATGTGAAATGTCACACTTACTAGCTGATAGGTGTTCAAGGCATATTCAATCTGTTTAACTTGATAATGGACATCCATGTTATGGTCAATTGACAGCTGTCAAAAAGATATCCGCTGACTAGTGTCACGTGACTTATCGCGGGCTCAAGTGTACAACTTACCGAGGTGAAGTGTTCAGTTACAGTATCGGTTTTAATTGATCGCAGGCTCAGGTCTATTTTCTTTTCAGGAGGAATTCACTTTTCTTGCTAACGCTAAAGTTGAACTGCTTGAAAAAGACATTTCTTAAAAAATCCCAGAAGAGCTTCACTGTGGGCCTTAGCAAATCTATATATTACCTCTACGCTCATCTCGACCCAGATCTCACTCTGTCTTACGCTGAAAACCCTTGGGCGAGAGAGTTCTGGGTACAAGATTGACCTCTACCTTTCATTTTCTTTAAAGTAGTATTATAAAGTACCTCGTATTTTTTGTTTGCACCTATTCACGAAAGTTTCATTAATATAATTTATCTATATAGAAACCTAACTTTTCACAATAAGGGTGTTCCTTTCTCTTTTTTAGCTCATAGGTCAAATAGTTTTGAAGAATACTTTGAATAATCTTGAAGTCACTTCTCTTTTTCTGACTGTGAAGCAAGAAGTTTATCAGATGAATCTGTGGAGCTCCCCAAATTTGTCGAATCGCTTTCTTCCACCCTGTTCATTTCACAACCTCCTTCATCCTTTTCTTTTAAGGAAATGTTATCTTCTTCTTCTACTCCTTTTTCAAGCAGTCTTCTTGCAGTTGCCGTGCACGACTCCCAGAATTTCGTCAAAACACCATTTTTGTCCGCGCAGAAATCTTCCAGTTCACTTCTCAGTTTACTTTCACTTCCTTTATCACCAGTAGCCGCTGACCGCCAACGTCTTGTCAACATATGATTTGGCATCCAATAGAAACCCCAATACTTGCCACTGTGTTGGTCCATTATTGACCCATGTAGGTCACTCATAAAAGGATCATTATCATCTTCCCAGGTAGAGATACGTACAAAAGCTACGCCGCTCGTGTGCACGTAGTCATGTGCGCGGCACTGCACAGGCGTCATTTGCACCATCGGCGAGCTCACGTGCATCGAACCATACGGTGAGTCACGCATGAAACCAAACCTTGAAACAAATCAACAAAGTGCTGTTTTAATGGTGAAAAATGACGTGTAATTTGGGCTAGCCTAACCTGTACACAGACGTTGCTTTATTTTTCTTTTCGATCATCGCCGAGCGCGCTCGGTGGACTTTTAAGAGAAAATAGAGGGTATGTGAACAGGCTATTTTGGGCAAGAGGGCACGTTATTGGAATGAAAGTGTCGCAACTGGCAAGAAGGTAGTTGTAAAGTCTGAAAGCCAAATCTGATTGGCTGACAGTTAAAACTTGTGTCACATTATGGTACGAAATGTTGCCCAAGGTTAACAACGTTGTGCAGTTAAGGTGGCTCGATACAGTTTTTCGGGTCAATACCTCCCAAATTTGAGTACGCCGCCATAAACAAAGATTTGGAAAAAATTACTGAAAAACTGTATCGCGCCACCTTAAGGTTGTGCTCAGTGTTGCTGAAATAGAAGAAGATTACTGCTGACATACTGAGCCAATGTTACGTGCGACAAATGATAAACGCCGTAATATTTTCAGTTTCAACTCTGCAATTCAATGTGGATTAGGATATATAAATCACTTTGCTTTAAGCACCATAATTTAATTTTTCTTTTTATGAAAGGCTACTCTACAAGTAAGCTGGTCCCAACAAACAATGTGACCCATCTAGTCTCCTTCGCAGCCGTTTTTAGGCTTGTCACGCAACGCTCCCCCCGCGAGGAGCGTTGCGTGACGAGCCTAAAAACGGCTGCGAAGGAGACTATGACCCATTGGCCACTTTTAAAAAAAAGAAGGAAACAGAGCCGAGTTAACTTTCGCAAAGGCTTCTGGTACTGTTACCAGGGACACGGGAAAAAATGAGCCAATAGCTGACTGGCTTCTCCCCAGTTACGATCCCAGAAACACTTGCGGGACACATTTCGGCTCCAGTTCCCTTCCCGTTTTTAAAGTGACGAACTCGTTTTTAATTCAGCCCTTTTCGTTTGGTTTTAAGTTGAAAAATGGAAACTCAAGCATTTTTTCTTGACTTGAGAATATGTAATGTTTAAAACATTAATAGCGAAAAAACATTCAAGACTACTTAACGTCAATTGTCCAGTAAGGACGTAAGCAAGGAGTACATACACACCTTTGAAGTATGGCTTCCAAAAATAGAAACATTCTTAGATTTCGCGTGGATGGTTCAAATTCTGAAATACAAAAATCGTAACAATTTTTGGTTGCAAAAAAACATGAACAAAACAGATCAAGTGAAGATCATTCAGACTCAATGGAGCGTAACTATCGGTGATTATATGACCAACAAATCTAACATACTGTAAATCCTCTATTAAGCCCCCCTCTCAAATAAGACCCCTACCTCTAATAAGCCCCCCCCTCTCCATTAAGCCCCCCCGCCCCTAAATATTCTTCACTAATAAATGATAGACTGTATTAATCCATCACGACTGTAAAACTTCGTGTGGACTGATTAGGGATAGTTTATTTACCAACTAGAAGTTCGGATTTGATTCTGATCCTCAGCTGCGTGGCCTCCAACCGTCTTGTACTTGAGGTTTTCCACTTTGTATTCTAGTTCTTTATGAAGAGCTGATGCCATGAGCTGAAGCCCCCCCCCTCAAATAAGCCTCTCGTCTCTACTAAGCCTCCCTCAAATGGACTTGAAATAAATAAGCCCCCCTCCCGGGGGGGTTAATAGAGGATTTACGGTAATATAGTGAATGATGGTATTTCTGAAAGTGTAGCCAGGCTAGAGGACTGGGTCCATGTAAGGAGACTATGATGAAAATGGATTTTTTTAAAAATCTGATAGTTACCCGTTATGAATTGGAATCACTTAAAATCAGAATACCAAACTCCTTTATTACTATCGTAAATTATTATAAATTTACGTCCAGCGATTCGCACTTGCCAGAGCAGATAGTACTGCTGCTGATTTCAGTAAGTGCGGTACATGTTTACCCATTAAGTCCCAAGTGTGACAGACATCAATTTTCTCCTAACAACTGTCATGCACAATCAATAGGAAAGGTTCTGAGAATTAATAAAATGATCAAGAAAGGAACCAGGATCGTACAAACGACTTATTGACGGAATCAAACAAAACTAACCACGAGAGAACGACTGGACAACTGAAAATTTGACTAACAATAAACGACTGATTAACTGTGACAATAGACGGATCGAAACGCACCAATGACATTGCGACAGTCTTCATAGCCAATAACATCACGGCTTAACTGACAGAAGACCATTAACATCTCGAATTAAATGACCAACCAGGTCAATAACCAAAGTTAAATACCATCAACTGACGTGATACAACTCAATTTGACACTGAAGATGATTACCGCACAGGTTGTCGAAACGTCAGTCACTGTCTACAACAGTTCTATTCAGGACTACGTTCACCTGGACGGTCATACTCAACCTACTTATGGTTCAAACCTTTCACAAAGGGAAAATGCTTTGATCTTTTATCCTATTCTCTCAACTAATTCTTTAAAGAAATGTAAGAAAATCAGTATGGACAATTTGAATTTGGACATTAGGCCTTTGTTTTGTTTTTGTTTTTGTGTTTTTGTTGTTGTTGTTTTCTTATTCACAAAGCAGTTTTGGGCTATCGAATCTGGAGGTTTCATGTTTGATTACGATTGCTTGGGACAACTTACACGAATCCTAAGTATACACCAACAATTTAATGTCGGTTTTGAAGTAAACTAGCCATCAGGTCGTGATCAGTGGTTGATGTTTCGACAACCTGTGCGGTAGTCTTCTTGAGAGTTTTTCCTGACTTTGACTCTGAAGATGACTACCACACACAGGTTTAAAACAGAAGTCAATGTCAGCAACAGTCCTATTCAGGAATACACTCATATTGCACTTAGATATGACATGACTCGTAGATTCAAAAACCTCAACATTACGAACCTCTATATAACGAAGTGTTCGGCATAACGAAAGATATTATTCGCCTTAGTAATAGCAAAATATATGCAATATAATTTTGCGAATCGCTTTCTTCCTTTAATTTTATTTTGTCTTCGAGTGTCCTCAATAGGCTTCTCGGGATACGGCATTTACCTCATTTGAAGGCCGGGATTCGGGATTTTTAAAGCATTATGGGGGCTGGATTCGGGATTTTGAAGCAATACGGAGGCGGGATTCGGAATTTTAAAGCAATATAGGGCCGGAATTCGGAATTCTTAAAGCAGTATGGGGACGGGATTCGGGATTGAAAGTATGCACCGGATGTGGGATGGCAAGAATAATCCTCGGGATTAAAGGATTGAGGGAAAATTTAGGTCGGGATGACGGGATTGTTCCTCTTTCTTACCTTTGAACAGACTACATGCGTCCGCTGCTCCCTCAGGTAAGTTTAACGAAATGAACAAAGGCAAACGAAAAGGGTCGACATTCCTACCAGCTGGATCAGGGAATGGACTTACTGGAACGGGGACTATGTGAAAGCCACACGAAGGTGCCTTACGAGTCCATGATTGAACCTGAGGAGAGCAAAGTGGATACGATCACTCATCATCATCATCATCATCATTATCACCGTCAACATCATCATCTGACAGGGACCGCGGAGGGGGAGGGGCTGGTAGGGCTATAGCCCTACCACTTTTATTGCTGGGATTTATTTTCTAGGGCTCCAGTTGACATGGAAAGAATTCCCGTGGAATTTTTGGACTTTGCCCTATGGAAGAGTTGGGTGTTTGTATGTCCGAACGATTACAACCCGATTTGCTTGCAAGGATAATAAGATGTAAGGCCAAAAATGGAAGGAGCAATTTGACTTTTTGTTGGCTTTTCATCTTGGAGAGCACCTTTATTCCCACACCGATAATCTATCTAAGGATTTTCAGGGTACTAAGATGGCTGCTGTCATTGGACAACGCCTGCCAAAACTAACAAAGAAGACGCTGACAAAATTTCGCACTGATGAAAGCTTCGACCATTTCTATGCTGATGTTGCCTGCAAGAGTGAAGGCCTGCTTAGCGAACCAACGCTTCCAAGAAAACGACGCACTTTGGTCAGACTGGAGGTTGGTGCTGGTGCACCAAGCTATCCCCAAACTGCCAAAGATCACTTTAGAGGGGTCTATTATGAGGGTATTCATCTTATCGTCGGGCTATATATCACCGCGTTAATCAGGAAAGCTTCAGCTCCTACGCCCAGATGGAGACCCTCTTGGTTAAAGCTCATATTGGTGACGAAGAGGCAGAGTTCAGTTTCGTGATGCGTCATACAGCGAAGATGTTGATACAGGGGCGCTGCCTGAGCAACTAAGTATTTTGGAAGTTATGTTAAAGGAGGAGAAGATATCATGTTTTAACGAAATCCTGTTGGCGGTGTTGAAGTTTCCAGAACCAGAAAAGAGGCTAATTCAGGAAGTCCAAACTATCTGTAAGCTGCTTGCTGTAAATCCTGTTACCAGTGCTGCTGGCGAGCGTTCACTCTCATCTGCACGGCGTCTGAAGACGTCGCTTCGATCCAAGATGCGTGACGAAAGGTTTGGCAACTTAGCAGTGTTGCCGTAATGGTCACAAGCGGAGAACAGACAGTGTCTCTATAGCTGACGTCGCACAGGAGTTTGTTTCCCGCAATGAAAACCTCAAGAGAAACTTCAGCATTGCGGACAACTTCAAAAAGCAGCAATCTTAGGAAGGTTTATTTAACATATTGGCTATACTGGACACTAAAACAAGTGACGACGTTTATGTTATATTTGCTGAGGTTGTAAATAAGATAGCGCGCAAATGCAAGATAAATGGCGAAACACTGAACTTAATGCTTCTTTGTACTGGCCAGATTTTTTAGCCCTACCACTTTAAAATGGTCTCCGCGGTCCCTGTCATCACCGTCAACATCATCATCATAATCACTTTTATAGAGCGTATTCACTCACGTGACCAGCATCTATGCTAATTCTTACGAACAAAAGAAAGTTTTTACATAAGAAAAGAGTTCAATTCCCACAGGGTTGTCTTGCTACACCAACATGGCCGCCATTCCATTTTTTTGGAACGCCAATATGGCCGCCGTGACGTCATGCGAATACGCTCTATGGCCGATTAATTAGCCTGTATATCAAGCGCTTCTATGTTTATGCTAAAGTTTGGCGGTAAACAAGACAGAATAAAAGTGACGAACGATTATCTTCAGATCGCACAAACAAAGGTACAGTATAGTGTAAGAAAAGTGACTGAAAAAAATGGCTTTTTTTATAACCACGGACTATGTTGCTTACAGGTATATCGCTTATGAAATAAAGTGAACTACCATGGGTTGCCGCTTCGCTTTTATATGAGCCTCTCTCCCTGACTCCCTGATAATTTTCCCGCTCCAATTAACTCCCCCCATAAAAATGGCTGGAAAAAATCGCTTGTTAGAGTGATTACTATAAAACTTTGATGTCTTTCATCCTACCATGTTATTTACTATACTCCCAGTCGCTGCTATCCAGTGTAGCTCGATCTCAAACGCATGATGGGTGCAGAAATTACCATGGTAACGTACGATGCAGGTTTCAGGGCGTTGGCTCTTGTGATGAGGATCAGCATCCAGGGTAACAAACTTGTAAGCTGGGCCACAGCCGCAGTCTATGGAGTATGCAAGGATAATACTTGATAAATCAATAATAATAATAATAATAATAATAATAGTAATAGTAATAATAACAACAACAGGAACAATAATAATAATAGGATTGTTCAGTTGTTGACGGTGACTGACATTTCAACAACCTGTGCGTTAGTCATCTTCTGAAACAAAGGAGAGGGCTACACTCACCCGGACAATCATACTCCACTTACTTATTTCTCCAATTAGAGCACCTCTATGATTCATAAATATCTCTAATAAGGATACCTAATTAACACCAATCCCTCGCTTATGTTATATAGACATTTCTCCAATTAAGACACCTCTGTTATTCATACATGGGCCCCTCTACTGCAGATACAGTATTATATGCGACCACCACCCTTCCAATACACCCAATGTTTCCCAGTCTAATCCCTATGCATGTAGTTAGAATCTCTCGTAAGCGACCACGACCTCTCTTTTTTCGTGCCTCTCCCGTCTCGCGCCGTTAGTCACGCGCGTATTCATTTGCGCGTAACCTAACTTTTTGGGGCTAACGGTTTAATGATTTTCCCTTGGTTTTACGCTCTTGTAAGCGACTTTTTGATACATTGTTTGATTTTTATGTTCGCTGTGTGTACTATTCTACCTAAAATATACGAAGAACTTAAATAACAAAACGGAACAGCACATATCATTATTTAGAAAATGCATGCAATAAATTATCTTCCATAGAGTAAATGTGTCCGGACATCGTCTTGGAAGAGACCTCAAAAGGTTCTTTTCTCGTAAACTACGACCTCCCGTGAGCGACCTTTAAGTCTTTGCATTTTGGGTGGTAGCTTACGAGAGGTTCGACTGTACTCTCTAAAACTGACAAACAGTTCACTGTCCCGCGGATAACTTTTGGCATAACCGACATCTCTCTCATATACAAATAATCGCGATGAGGCAGCAATTTGAGTAGACTGCAGATTGTGTGGTTCAAGAACACGGAAGCGGTAAAAAAAAGAAACGCCCTGAAGCGAGGGTGAGAAAAAAGTGTGAGATTTGGGGGAGACGCCTTACGGGCGGGTTGAAACTCCTCCAAAATCAGATTGTCATCTTTACTCAAAATACATCATAGGAGTCTTATAACTTAGAGTAGTAAATAAGAGAAGAAAGAAAACGGATGAAAACAGTAGGTAGTATGTAGGACTTGAACCCGCGTTATTTGATGTATAATCCATATCCGTATGCACTACACCATCAAGGGCTAACTGCCGGTTAATTTAAAGGTACCTTACATGGCATTGATCATAACATTAGTGAAAGCTATATACCGCTAAAGAGTGCTTAACCCTAATCACTGTACTTCAGTGCTTAACCCTGTATTCAACTCCTTTTCTTGCATAACTATCTCTTGCTCTGATTTCGTCACTTTTCTCAAAAATAAGCCCAATAAATTCGCGTAAATGGTTGTCACAAACCTTACGGGCGTGTGAGGGTTTGTGGGAAATCCCACGAACGCGCCTGGAAACACCGATTTTGAGGAAAATAACTGACTGTTTTGCAGTCTGCAATTTGAGATAACACTAAAAAACGCTTTAAAATAATGAAAAAATAAAAAAAAAAGCTATTGAAGTAAATTAATTTTTAACAATGTCTAGGAAAGATCTCAGAAAGTACAGAATACAAACCGCTCTCTGAATGCAGGCGTCCTGGACTCCGCCTGGCTGATCTTGTTCGGCTGCGCTTCCGGTTTGGAGAACCCACCGGAAATGACTCAATCACCTCATCGGGTGCAAAGAATTCTGGAAAATCGTCTCCAGTTCTGGAAGGCCAGATTGCCACCTCGAACCATTCACTTTGAAATTCTCGTAAGAGATCTAACTCGAAGCGCTCCACGTCGATTGAAGACCGGTGGGACACGGGCAACTTGGAAGTGTCCGGTATGTCTAACAATAAAAAGCAAAGGCTCGGTTGAGGGAAAAGAAAGTCCGATACTTTACCCCAGGGGGCGGGAACAACAGAGTCAATATGAAGGGAATGATCGAAAGGGAGCAAACTGACTCAACCCCCCTTGCCCTCCTTGTCTGCTAAACAACCGTTTTTAGCGTCGTCACGCAACGCACGTTGCGTGACGACACTATAAACGGCTGTGTAGCAGACCGCACCCCCCCCCCCCAAAAAAAAAAAAAAAAAAAAAAAAAAAAAATATCACAAGGCATTAAATAAAATGATCAGGAGCCATTAATTACGACTTCTGATTATAACAACCGCAAAACGAGGTTGGTTGTATTTTATCAGGCAGAACTACGCAACCAGCATACACGCGCGGTTCAAAACGAATTTTCAGATTGTTTTTAATACCCCCTTAAACTCACCACTGAAATCAAGGCCTGTGTTGTCAGGATCCCTTAAGAAATCAGTGCTTCCTTGTTAAAAATCTCTTACAGTTTCCCCTCCCCTCACAAAAATTTGGGGTGCAGGAGTTAACTTTGTATATGGTGTGGGGGAGAGGGGCTAGGCATGTGTAGTTTCATTTGATTTCAAACGCGTGCATAAAAAGCGTCGCAAATAAAAGTTTGCCCTAAGATTTCAATCAATGAACGTAGGTTTCATTGACTTTTTCTTTCACACATGCATTGTTTGATATTCTTGCGAGGAGAATGGTAAGCATGTGTTTAAGAATACTGTGGTATTCCTGTGGTCAACATCTAACTTGACTTACCATCTTTTTTCTCCGCCCAAGAAGACTTTGGTGCAAAACAAAAGATGATAAAACCTTCGAGAAATTTTTGCTTTACACTTTCTGAGGCGTGTTGAATGATGCCAGCTTCTACCATTTTCTAGAAACGGAAGTGAGAAAAAAAGCAATTTTCGACATTTTTATGAAGTAACAGTAAAGATTATAATTCTCTATATACCTCTCGTATATACTAAAATATGATTCTGAAATTTTCTCCCTTGGTATTTATTCTACAGGCCCCGGTTGTTCAAACGTTGGAAACCGCTATCCTGCGGATAAGTACTTGGGAAACCAATTGCGTTGTCCAGTGGATAGCTTTTCATCCGGTGGATAGCGCTATCCAACGTTTGAGCACCGGGGCCACTTCAATAGTATCTCTTGACTGAGCATTTCAATTAACCGTAAGTAAATCGTAACTCTTCTTTCTGTTTCTGTTGCTGGCTTTTGGCATGGCTGTTTTCGATGGCAGGGTGGAAAGAGAATAGGGGAGGGGAGGGTAGTAGTCACTCCAATTGAAAAGTATTATACTAAGCAGTGAAAGTATTAAGAAACGATGTCATATTATCGATACTCGATGTCAATACTCTATCCTTGGCAACAGACACGAATGGGCTTTACGTGTAAAGAGAAGCCGCTGGGAAAATTTATCGCACGCAGGCGGTCTCGTCACGCAACGCTAATCCCCAAGAAACTTTGGGAGGGGCGTCGCGTGACGGGACAAAAACGGCTCGGTGGGAGACTAGCGTAAAATAAGGTTCCCAATGGATACTGGAGCTTTCACGCCCACAATCGCTCCATGCATCCCAGTACGCCCGATAGAACAGGTTGTGGAGAAGACAAGTATCACTAAGTATCAATAAAAAAATGCCAAATGCGCATAATCATAAGTTAAAGCACTGACCTGACACAAATGAATAGCTTGTTCGTTAGAAGTGATCCCATCCAGGTGTTGTTTAATCCACGAGATCGCTTCTACACTTAGAAAGCTGGAAAGCTTCAATCCTTTCATCTCAGGTAGAAAGGAAACGCCTTTGCTGTAGAGTGAACCAGCAATTAACTCAACGAAAAACTCTCAGAAATACATGTTGAGAAGTGACGAACGTCTGAAGGCGACTTCAACTCTGTGAACAAAAAACTTGAATCCCATCAAGATTTTTCCGTTAAAAGAATTGGTGTTTGGCTGGAAATACAACAACGACTACAACCGAGGACAAATTGCTGAGACAGGTAGCCAGCAGGTTTGAATAGAGTAACCGACCGTATCAACAACGGGCCGTTTATGCGATTTTCAGCGTTTTGGGCACTATATTTGAGGACAAAAGAGCGTGTTTTTCATTCAAGAAAATGTAGCTTTCAATTTATCAGTCACACAATCAATTCCTACAAGCAATGAACAAATGATGAAAACTAGATTACGCACTTTTGCACGTAAACAAATTCTACGTAAACCTATAAAGAAACTTTTGAAAAAAATGACTGAAATATAGCGTTCACATGACTAAAGCATGATGTAAAACCAGTGGGCCTTTACGAAAACACACCATAATTACGTTTAGTCATTCAAGATTTTATGATATATTTTTTGTTTACAACGTTATTTAAACCAGTTGCTTCTTCTTTCTAGAAAAAAGTAGTCGACCTCTATGAGCAGAGTAGCCGAGGCATTTCGTCGGCCTTCGGTGCTTATTGAAACCCCGGGATAGGGTAACATCAAAAAACAAAACAATCTACACCCCTCCCCCCCTTGCTCAGCTGATGCTGATTCTAAATCAGAATTTAAAAAGTAATCCAAAATGTCTAAATTATTGCAACAAAAAATGGTACCACGAAAAATTACTGCTTAACAGCTTTGATTTGAACAGTCATAGGACTCTAGCACTTCGTTCACTGAAAAAAAAACTACTTCTCATGGCCTAATTAATTGCTTTAAGAGTGGAACGATTACTTCGTAGAACGTTTTTTATTGACGTTTATCAGGTTCTCGTTTCGAGCTGAATCGAGAAAAGCAAAATCTTCGTTGTAGCATTAAATAGTTGATTTGTTTTAGAAATCAGGAACCGTATCATCTTACAACTTACCCAGATTCCATCATGGCCTCCGCTATGCTCTTCAGTGGTGATTGTTCACTGAGCCTGTCACTATCGGATATCGTCATTGTCTCGTCGGCTGCGATTGGCTGTTCTCTATGATAAAAACAGGCAAAAATGAAGAATATTTACGAGCTGACTGTCAGCATTGCCATATAACAGTTCACTATAGGAAGTCTGGCCGTGATCGGACCGGACGTCAACATTTCTTATCTGTCCCAGGGTATCATGTTGACGGATCGTATCGAATGGTGACGACCCGACTTTATAATAGTCAGTTGGTGCAACGGAACCAGAGCGTTGCAATACGAGCACGTTATTCATGTATATGCCTCCGGCTATCGCACAAACTTCCCGACTTTAGTAACATTCATCAGCAACCGCCATTCTAAAGGTATTATTCTTTCGAACGCACTGCTAATCCCTGATTACTGCTAGTTGCTAATTATTAGCTGCTATTTTGTGATTAGAACTCTGACGTACCCAGAGAATTCCACGGATGAAATGCTACGAGAATCTGGGTTCGGTGATTCTAGGCCAACAGTTGAGGACGACCGCGATTTACTAACCAGCGGACTACTTGGTAAAGAGCTGATTTCCTTCTGTGCTGTGGTTAACTCTGATGATAAGGGTACAGTCGCTCTTGTCTCATGCTGCTTACTATGGCGACGGGACGGGAAAGCAGGCTCTGATTGTCTTCGCTCCTAGATAATATATTACCACATTCAGGGCCTGTTTACATGGAGGTGGTGGACCCCAGGTAGGTGAGGTAACTCGCTTTGGTGAGGTAACCCGCCTGTCCATATAATCTCTCATTTTATTTGATCACGTTAACATGATAGGTGGGTGACCCGCTACATGTTACCTCAACCATCTCGGGTCTTCCACCTCCACGTAAACAGGCCCTAAGGCGTTATTCAAAGTGATAATTTTAAAAGTTGCTACAACACGTCGCGGTGACAAATCACTACGGGTGTACAGTTCGGGCGATACGTTGCACGACGCGTCGCAGCAACAAATCCCTTCGTGCGAACGGGGAAATATTTAAGGAAAGCTTTGTTTCTGCAACAAAATTTTGTCGCCGCAACAAGTCGCACAAATTCTGCCTGATCTGGTTTTCCGCGACTTGTTGCAGCGACAAAATTCTGTTGCTGAGGCAAAGATTTTCACAAAAATTCTTCAGTACACACGTAGGATTTGTCGCTGCGACGTGTCGCTGCAACTTGTTGCCTAGTGTGTACCGACCTTCAAACTCTACATTAGAGACCTTAAGTTTTCCACGTGACTGTTGCATAATCTTTTGCGAGGAAATAAAACAAGGGAATGTATGAAAGGTCGCGCGTAGATGTTTAAGTTGAACCTCCCTCAACTTTCATGTTTACGCGTGGCCTTTCATACAAGTACGCGAGGACAAGATTTTGTCAATACTGAGTATTGTGCGCGCGTGAACTAGCGTCATTTTGGCAGGAAAACGTGACAGCTGTCGTCTTTCTACTACGAGTTTAGCGAGAATATCGATGTGACAGAAACAAATTAACGGCTAGTGAGTTATATCAAGCTCAGTAAAGGGATAAAGCAATTCTAGAGAAACTGTGAACAGTCACCTAAAAGCTATGTACAGAGTGCGCGCTTACTCTAATTACCTTGGGTGTCTGAGGAACCTTCTGAGATGGAAATCTTTTTACTCGATTGAGAATCTCAAGAAACTTCAAAAATCCTTCCATAAGGTTTTCCTCTTGCTGCGCTTTTGTCTTTTTCTTTTCTCCCGTTCCCACACTCGATTTACGCTGAGTAAAGGGCAGCAGCAGGAAACGAGCCTTCCAGTAATTCAGAGACTAAAAAGAAAACAAGAAAACCGTTTAATTTACAGCAAATGCAAATTTGTCCTAAGACCTTTGTCCATGGTTAGGTAGAATTTTTTTCACTCGAGGTCGAGAATTATCATAGTTTTTGTAGTGAAAGGAGCAGTGTCAAGAAATTTATAACAATTTAAACTGTGGTGGCTTCCACCAAAAAGAGTAAAACATCAAAACAACCACTCAGAACATTCAATGAAGGTATAAATAACACAAACAAAATACAAAGACGGCACGGGTTGACAAACTTGAAGACGATTGAAACGGATTGCAATTGTAGTTTTCGTTTTTCGTACGCTCTTTTTTTCACTGCTTACCCGCGTTCTTCTCTAGTCTGCACTAACCGACAGCCTGGCACAGGTTATAGTAGTTTTCGAAAACTAGTTTGCCTAAGAGTTTTTCAAAGGCCATTTTTGTTGTCGCGTTCGTCAGAACGCATCCTAATCTGGTGTTCCTCTGGCACTAAGGCAGAAATTTTCGAGCTATAACGGGCGACTGCAAATAAGCCTCCCCTATTAATATTATCAGGGACACCTCGGCCGGGAAACTGGTAGGACTACTTTTGACTCGATTTCGTTTCCGTAACTTTTCCGTAAGTGACGAATGCGTATCCGTAATCAATGATTACCTCTATAATGGTTGACACGAAGCTGGGATTTTGTTGTCGGCAGGCGTCCACAAGCAATTGCGCAAGTGCCATAGCGAATAAGAATGCGTAATTGGCGGTATTAAGGTTACATGTTAGATGAGACGATTCGCAACGACGATTTTTAGCGCAACACAGCTATGCAATCTTAGAACAATCTTGTAACTATTCGAAACAATGTTGCAACAATGTTACAACGCTGTGTTGCGTTAAAAATCGTCGTTGCGAATCGTCTCGTGTAACATCACCTTTAGGGTAAATTTCCACTGTCGCGTATTTTACACCTGTTTACGCACGTAAATTTTACGCGCGTGAATAAAATAGAGGCAAGATAAAAAGTACTGAGCTTAAACGAGAAGTTGAGCAAGGCTCAACTTTAACATTTACGCCCGACTTTCCATACATTGCCTCTATTTTATTTACGCGCGTAAAATTTACGTGCGTACGCACGTGAAAATTACGCGACCTTACAGTCATTACGATTCACGTTTTCGCCAAGCTTTCCGCTTAATTGTCCCTTACTGTTTATTAAACTTTTGTATTTTTGGACACAGAATAATGTTGTTGTTGTTGTGGTACTTTTACTGAAAAATAAGTGAGTTTCACGCCAATTTTATCCATGAGAATTGTCCGGGACAGTTTTTATCTGCTTATTTTCTGTTGTAAGAAAATCTCAACTTGAATTTCACGTTTGCTGTTTGTCGTAAACGTGACTCTTTTAAATCTCTCTGTTAGAGCGATATTCGTATGACCTTGAAAAATGGTTTCTGTAAGTGTTCCGTATTTGTTTTATCAGCCAATGGATGAAAAGATCAAAACATGGCCTCTTAGTTTTCCCGTCAAATATGAATATGATATGGCGAAGGCATTGTTCGATTGGTCAATCGTGTTACAGTATGACGTCAAAGCAAAGTATCGGTGGATTTCTAAAAAGTTCTCGGGCATGAAGTGTTCTCATCCGAGCGTTCGCTTAACCAATCAAAATCCACGCGCGTTTGTATTCGTTCAATAAACCAGTCAAATCGCCCTATTTCCGTTCGTTTGTTGTTTCTGTTTCGTTTGCGCGTTTTCATTTCAAGGTCACACGAAAATCGCTGAAACAAAATGAACCAGACAGTCGTGTCACAGCCCCTTCAATTCTGCAGCCAAATGACTTGAAGCAAAACAATCGGACAGTTACACCTTGAAAAGAGTTACATATTAGTGTAAAAGTTTCAGCTCTCTCCGTCAGTAACATTTGGAGGGAATTTACCTCCATAAGTTCGTTAAATTCCTGGTCTCCGCAAATGTGTTGGTCCAAGTAATTCCAATTATAACTGTCCATTTCCTCGTGAATGAATACTGCCTCGTTTGGTTCAAATACTTTCCTTTCAGGCATGCAAAGACGGTAACTAAAGACGAATGAAATAATACTTGTGTTAATAATCTAGCGCGCAAGTATAGTACATTGAAAGACTCTAGGGACGAGAGAAAAAAGAACATAGTTCTGTAAGTTGCGTTATTCTGGCTGCTCTCCAGACACCTCACTAGGGACCTTGAGATCCGACGACGGCGACAGCAACGAGAACGTTAAAAAGGCAATAGGTTTTTGGCCTGTTTAGATAGACGTGGGGGATCCAGATAGGTGAGGTTACCCGCTTAGGAGAGGTAAAAAAAACTAAGCCGCGTTTACATGCATCTTACAACTCCGCCAAACAGGGGTTCACTTTCTCAAGGTTATTGAATAGTCGCTAAGCACGTAAACAACAATAACAACTAAATGGCGCGAAAATGACGTGCTTTGGAGGTTAAAGCTCTTATACTCTCACTTGATACTCTTGCTGTGGCTTTCTATTGTCACTTTAAATGACGCAAAGCCTTCGACCGGCTAGGCAGGTCACCCAACCTTGAAACATTTACATGGCAAAAATTGACCGAGGCTAAGAGAGTTATCCGGTCTGGTGGACAAAAGAAAATCTTGCAGAACGATATCACTTAATAAAACTGACGCCCGTGACTTAACATAAGATAGCTAAGAAAGAACAAAGTTCACTGTTGTGATCGTTCTCATCAATTCAACACCTGTGCAGTCATGCGCTCTGTCGCTCATACAGTTCCTCTGTTATGTTCTTTACTTAAGAGGTGGCGTCAATTTGATCAATTACGGTAATTCAGATCACTGCAACACAACGTAACGCCTCCGTAAAAGATTTGACAAGCTACATGATTGGCAGGTATCTGAATATTGGTCTTCCTGTACCTTACCAGTAGTTTTTGGGATCCGAGGCGTGTTGATGACGTGGCCTGTACTTGGTCACCGTCACTTCCGGTGACGTCAGACAGAGTTTGTGTGAGTTGCGACCAATATTTAGGAAAAACTCCTTATTATTTGACTCCTCGGCTGGAATAGCAGCTATAGACTGGTGACGATCTAAAGTTAGTGCTTTGGTCTTTTCCGGTGGAACTAACTGAAATCCCTAGGGAGAAACCAATAGCTGTCAAATACCGTAAATCCTCTATTAAGCCCCACTCTCAAATAAGCCCCCCTTCCCTCCCCTAATTAATTTTCACTAAAAAATGAGAGACTATATTAATCAATTACGTCTGTAAAACTTCCTGTGGACTGATCCGGGATGGTTTATTTACCAACTTGAAGTTCGGATTTGTTTCTGATCCTTGGCTGCATGACCTCCAACTTCATGTACTTGACCTTTTCCACTTTGTATTCTAGTTCTTTATGGAGAACTGATACCATAGTCTTTGCTAAATTAAATAAGCTCCCCACATCTCTACCTAGCCCCCCTCAGATGGGTTTGAAATAAATAAGCCCCACGGGAGGCTTATCACAGGATTACGGTATGATGATTTAAGTGCAAAGTAATACCAAGCAATACAAGCACAGTTTATATCATTATTCCTTCACAATATTTCACCGTTTCTGATTGGTTAGACCACCCCCAGCTCTTCATAGCCAGCTGGCACCTTGTTGCCAGTACAATCGAACTTCCATGTGCCGTCACCTCCTATCAGCAACCACCTACGCAAACACCAATTTTTTTTTCCAGTTGGATCCTCTCGTAAACGACCAACAACTGTAAGCGACCGCGACCAATTTTCGGGGCTAACGATTTTTAAATAACTTTATACTGTTGAACCCAGTTTTGTAAGCGACCCCTTCACGCATGATCCGTTACTTAGAGTACACGAATAACTTTTGACAACAACAAGGAACTTCACATATCAAAACTTAGAAATTGCATGCAATATATTATCTTATCTACCATCAAGTAGATGTGTCGGACCTCTTAAGAGACCCCCTGTGGATCGATTCTTGTTTTCGACCACCTACGGTAAGCGACCACTAAGTCTTCGCATTTTGGGCGGTGACCTACGGGAGGTTCGACTGTAGTGTTTTTCTACCGTTAAAAATAGTATCACTATACCTTTCTAGGAAACTGCCTACCTACCCCTCCCCTAAGCCTACATTAACACTCACTTCTCGCTTAGGGGAGGCGTAGGTGGGCAGTTTCCCAGAAACGTATAGTGATCCTAAAAATATTGGTCAAGACAAATACCTTTTGAATCCGTTGCGATACAAGTTCTATAAAAATCATTTCTGCGGTCAAACGCCTTCGTGAGCCATGATCATCTTCTTCTTGTGTACTGAAGATACAAGTAATAAAATTTACACTTCAGTGGTTGTATGCTTCAGCCAAACAATCGGCTGCAACGCAATACATATAGATCGTTTTCACATGACGTCACAGTGGCCATATTGATGTAGAAAATAAAGAAATGGTGGCCATGTTTGTTAGTCAAATTCGCAGCCGTTTTTTCTGTCGTCATGCAACGCTCCTCCCCACAAACAAAAGTCAGGTGGCCGGAAGTGCGTTGCGTGACGACAGGAAGAAGGCTGCGAAGGAGTCTTCCATGTTAGTGTACCAATAAAATCCTGCGACAATAGGCCCTTGGCAGCTAGCCATTCACGTGGTACAAAAGCGCCATGCTGGACAGCAAAAGTCGCACTAGGATAAGACAAACAAAGGAAATTACTATTTAAAATTATGCCTTTTGTATGTAAGCATTTTGTTTGTCTTTCCCAGTGCGACGGGGCCGTGCGACGGTTGCTCTCAAGCACGTCGGTTTTGTACCACGTGAATGGCTAGCTGCAAAGGGCCCAAAGCCTCGTTCCCAGGGTCCTCGCCCTCGCTCCACAGTGACGGGTAGGAAAGGACCCTGCGAACGAGGTTGAGGGGCCTATTGAACTCTTTTGTCCTGTAAAAAGACCCTAAAAGATGACCTTAATGCACCAGATATGTCTTCTCCAGTCCAAATAACTAATAATAGAATAATAATAGAATTTTGAGGTAATCTGAGGGCGTTGGCCGGGATATGTGAATTTCACCAAGGTTATTTTTAGTTAGAGGTTGTAATTTAACGAAGTCTAAGTCCTCAAATTTCAAATTTCAATCGATTGTTTGAAACGTTATCAAGTCCACGCGCGACTGCCTCAAAGCAAAAAATTCAGAATATTGTTTGGGCGACTAGTGAATTCTCTATTGACAACACTAAACAGACGTTTTCGGACCTCTCCGAAAACCAACTTCCAATTAATTTCAAACGTTCAATTGGTCTAAAAATAACTTTGGTGAAATTCACCAAACGGAAGGGCTAAACTGGGCGTTTCCCTTTCTGTGCCATTATTCTCTCTAGCCTTGAGAGAGGCTTTAACAGAAAACCTTAAATAAGAATGACCGAGACCAGGTTTTATGAGCCCGCGAGACTGAGCACTCCAGTCAAACCCTTGTCGTTTTTATCTAAGGTCTTCCGTTTTAACAGCTGGCTCGCTGCCGTCCGCCATGTTTTTTATTCATTCCAAACGATTCCAAGACGCATTGAGGTCGAATATCATATCCATTTTTTCCCTCGTTAGAATATGGCAAATAGACACATACACACAAATGAATAACTTGGACGGCAAAAAGATTGCTACAGATCCCTTCTTGCGTGACAATAATGGCACAAGATGTCTTAGCCAATCACAAGCCTCGCAATTCTAAACCATGATACTCACCTGTCCTGTTTTCCCCAATCGGAATTTTTTTTGTCCTCCGTGAAATCTTCGTCTTCTTCAATATAAACTGTATAGTTATACTCAAGGTAATTGGTGTCGAGTGTCTTCTTACTCGGGCTAAAATCGGTTGTCAGGGGCAACAACGCGGGGCAAGACACGGACTTCCAGTCTACACTTGTTTTGACAGCCGCTGTCCAGTCATGCTCGACAGGCGCTTCTACCTTACGGTACAGGTTGATCCGGGGTACCGTTCGCCTCCGGGGTGTGGTGTTCTGTGAGCCTTGTGCCTGGTTTGCTATGGGGGCGAAATGCCCTTGTTGCCGAGAGGGTGCTTCAGGAGAAAAGGGCGTGTCCTCATCTATATCACTTCCTTCGCTTGACGTCAATTCGTCGAATGGTTCTCGTTCTTCTGAAAGGCTCTGGGAAGCTTCGGAGAACTCTCGCTTTCGTGCTGCCACGACCGCTAGGACTGCTTCTTCTACATTGCGCGACTGGAAAAAAATAAACAAACAAACAAAAAATGCGATTGTGTTTAGTCTGAATAGTATTAAAGGCAATTTCTGCGGAATGAATTGTGAATTAAACAATTGTTATTATTAAACAACAAGAATTGTTATATTCCTAGACTTAAACTCAACTAAACAGGGACTGCCATTGGTTGATTTTTGGTCACATGGCCTTGACTAAAATCAACTGTATCCCGATCGTGATACATTTGAGCAATTGTACCCCGCTCGGGATACATTACAGCACGTGATCAAAGCAAGGCGGAAAGTGGTGTGACAGAAGGTGGGAAAAACAGCCAGTTTTCACTTTCGGGGAACAGGAGGGCATTTTGTATGCGCATGCGTCAATATGGGCTGTTGAAGTGCTACAGAGGCATTTTCTGTGAATTGTTTACGTTCAGTACCAGCATTTGCAGGCCGTTTTCTGGAGCTGAATGACGTGTATTGGGTGCTACATTCCACAAACATGTTCTTTAAGGTATCGAGGTATTTCTACGATGAAAGTGAGTTTATTGTAGCCTCGCTGTCGCCCGTGAGAGGACAGTCTTTCCTTTCGTAAAACAGTACATCGAAGACAAGATGGCGGCTGAATGTTCTTACTACCTAACATTTCGCGCACATTTTTTGAGCAGGAGGAAAAGGTCAGTATGATAGTTTTTCGTTAAACAATTATCCTATAGATACTTAATTCTTCTCAATAGCATAACTCTAAAATCGAACTTAATCGTTTCAGGAATACAGTGGTTAATTAAGTGTCCATTCTGCCTTGAAACTGTTTTTCACCCTTTCTCTGGCTTGTTTATCTCGAAATCTTGCCTTTCTCCCCAGATTAAGTTAATGATTAATGAAACTAAGAATACTTCCGCGAATGAATGGCGCTTTGATGAAGGCTGTGAAAAATCGCCTTCTGCAGTAATTTTAGCTTTCTTCCCCGGTACGTCTTCGTTGAGAAATAAAATACACGCACTTCAACTATAAATTTAAATCAGTATAATGAAGAGAGTAAGATTGTGTTTAGAAAATAAGAATATTTTCTCATTTAGTTATACAAAGGAAAAAAATTACAGCAATCGGTTTGAATTCTGATTTTTTCCACCTTGGTACACTGTTTGTTTACATTTCATTATGCAAATAAATATAACATTTTGGCGTTTTAAAGAAAATCTAGCCTATCACCCCAACCCCAAAATAGCACGAAATGAAACGTTATCAATACACCTTTTCAGTCAATCCTTGCTTCTGTTGCAAAAAAATCGCATTTATTCCTAAATGATATATTTTGTGGATACTACATTTGTTGATATGCTAATTTGTGAGACATTTCATTCACGAAGGATGTTGACTGAGACCAGCCTCTCCTCTGTATTGAACCACATTCTTGTTTAACGTATCAGTTTTTGCTTGATAATTCTTCCATGATGTACACCTTACATAAGAGGTTCATCTGGATACAGTAAAAAGCTCTCAACAGAAAGATTAATAACAGACAAATTCATCCATCCATTTGTGTCATGTTTGTTGTCGCATCCCAGCTCATTTGGGTCCTTTAGCAGAAGTATTTATTTTTTGAGGAAACAGCATTATATGCACCCCTTTAACAAACTTCCTGTCTTATGTTTAAACAGGCTTTGAAGGTGAACAACATCGTCAGTTAGATTTATGGAGTGATGGCCATTCTCTGTTTTGAATAGATTACTACTGTCATCAAATATAAATTAATAACAAGAAATCAATTGTGGGAGACAGGAGCTGTTACTCAAGAGTCGCTTCAAAATAGTAGCTTAGGAAAAATCTCTGTATCTTTTAGAGTTAAAGAAAAATAAAAGTACTGTTCGTTTTTTCGGAGTATGTGCATTCGTTTTGTTTGCAACTGAGCTTATGAAATGCTCAAGTGATTATGTACTTGTAATTGTTGCTTCAAACTCAATCCATTATACACTTCCTATAGGAGAATATCTTTTATAAATTTTTCCGCGAAAACGTTCAAAAAACTGTTAAAACCCCATAGATTTCAAGTTTTGTGGCATATATAAACGCGTGTCTCCGCGATCAGTTTAACATGAGACATCGCGCTAATAAATAAACCTCGCGTGGTAAATTTTTTTTTTGGATTTTGTCTTAAAGCAGCTGAACATTGCTACGATGAATTTCCTCCCTAAATAAAACCACGAGTTTGGAAATCAAACCATAGAAATGCATTGCTTTGCCAGTGAAAATCAGACTTATACAGGACTATGACTTTTGGCGTTGAGTCTTGTCTTTAAAGGCCAAGAAAACCTACTGCTGAAAAATCTACAAGTGAAAACGCGCGTAGAAAACGTCCGATTTTTGTCATGGAGAATATTTTTTGTAGGAAAGTACGGTATTCAAAGCACCAACGAAATGGCTTTTAAAAGGACTGTAACTTTACGCGCGAGTTTTCGATTTCCCGCCATCAGATTTGTTGCGCCTACGCTATTGTCGTTCAGCGGATTCACGCATGCGCATGCAAAATGCCCTCCTGTTCTTTCGAGGATGAACACAACAAGGGCTTCACAACACAAACATGAAGCCTCAAGCTAAAAAGGAACGATTTTCAAAGTTATCCTTGAAGAGAAACAGCAGCTAGTGGAGGAAAAATACAGATAATATAAGGAAAGCACTATGTCATTCATTCATTCAGTGGTTTTGAGTATTTAATTTGTGTTCTTATAAGAACCGAGTAGACTGTTTTGATTCGCTGCGGTTATTCTTTTGTCGCTGTTGAAGTGAAAGTCTAGAAATATAACAAAACGCTCAATGTCAGGTCCCTCGGGAAACCAGTTAGTTTTGTTTCCCCTCGAGTCCTGATGTTTCCCGAGACGAAGTCGAGCTCGGGAAAACAAAACTAAGTGTTTCCCTCGGGATCTGACGTTAAGTGTATATTATTACACATTTCACCAGCAAGCACTAACCATGATAATCCCCCTTCATCTAAAAACTCTTCAGAGTTCACTACATGCTCAGTCTGTAGCAAGTCATCAATGGCGGTCAGACGACAGGAAACAGTTTTAACGCTTAAGAATAGACTTAGGCCCCGTCCACACTAATGCGTTTTCGTTGTCATCGAAAACGCATCGATCGATTCGCATTTACACTAACCTTTTGATGCGTTTTCATCTGTTCACACTAAAACGTTCGAAAACGATAGAATTATACGTTGCGAAAGCTACAAACACATGCGCCTACGACATTTTCGGTCATCGTTTTCATTAGATGCGTTTTCGACCGTCCACACTGAAACGATACGTTTTCGTTTTGATCTACTTTTAAGAGCGTTTTAATATCGATGTGTTTTCGAATAAAGCGCTCAGATATTAGTGAGGACAGAAACACATCGAAATATATGCGTTTTTCGTACTAAAACGCGCAAAAACGATGGAATTTCCTGTTGTGACGTAAGTTAAACTCTATGCAAGCTGCAAACACTCGCGCCTACGATATTTTCGGTCACCGTTTCTATTTTGATGCGTTTTCGACCATTTTCGACCGTCCATACTAATACGCTGCGTTTTCGTTTTGATCCACTGTTAAGAGCGTTTTCAGGTCGATGTGGTTTCGATGAAAACGCTCAGCGTATTAGTGACGACAGAAACACACCGAAATGCAAGCGTAGTCAAACAAAAACGTATTAGCATACACCGTATTCTCAAATGGCGAACACGCGGGAAAAAACTGGTGCCTAGTCATGAAAGCGAGGCATTGGAGGATAAACAAAAATTGCAAATGAACTCAATGAAGACTTTCAGTGAACTTGCAGAGTGTTAAGCTCGGATTCCACCTAAAATAACTTTGTACGGACTTCTTTTCAAATACAATTACGTGGGATGTCTTCTGCCTTTAATGTTTAGTAGTGATTTTCTGTTTGCAATCAAAAGGGACGCGTATATCTTCAAGGAAACAGGATGATTTTGTAGGTTTCCGAAGCATCAGAAGCTCGACAAGTGGACTATAGCTGGAGAAAAGCGGCAAAATGTTGGTCCAAACTTCACTTTGAAACCGAGTACGAAAGCCAGATCACTACAATTCTGTAAAACGGCAATAAAAACAGATATTGGTGGCGAGAAAAAGAGAAATAAGCGACCGATATATGGCCTACTTGTTAACGGAAGAGACCTCCGCCATTACACAAAACAGGTCAAGTCGAGAGCGGGTGAAAGATTCATTCACAAGGCTGATTTATTCATGTCAGTGTCATTTTATACATATCTATGTATATACGTGTAATAAAGTGGCTAAAGCCTATCTATGTATATATGTATGTCTGCAATTACAACTTCCTTTGGATCATATTAATTCCGTCGCTTTGGAGTGAATTGTTACTGAGGTACGTTGGCAGAGCTTAGTAAAAATGTCATGATTTCTTTGTCATTGCGAAATAATTAAAAATAATTTTATAAAAATTAGAAGCTGTACTGTGTGAATCTTATGGCTTGCTATTTGCCTGGTCTCCTTTAGGGCCTTATCTCAGAGAGCTCTTGGTAAAAAAGTAGTATAAAGCTTACATTTTACTAGGTTAAACTTTTAAGGCAATGTTTGTGTCAGGAATGAACAAGGCCAGCTTCTGTTTTGAATAATTAAATTCGAGTCTGGATCCGTTTAAGAAGACCATCACTTTATTTATTTATGTATTCTTCAACTTTAAATATTATAAAACATTAAGTTAAAACTCTTAACAGCCACAGATAAGAAATACGAAATTACTCGCTGAAATGATATGTGGCCGGCTTACCGAGTCTGCCGAGTAACATGTTGAAATTTTGAGCGTACTCCACTCGATCGTTCCTGCATTTATACTAAAAAAATAGTTCTAATTGATGTCCTTCATCGATAAAGACCAGAGAATAACGTCCTGGCAAACAAAAACCAAACATAACTTCATCGAAACCTCAGTCACCCCTGCTTTCCTGTCTTCCTTTTTTCCATCTGGAACTCACTGTGTTTCAGTTCAACGGCAGACGTCTCTTGCATTAACAAGTAGGCCATATATCTGTCGCTTATTTCTTTTTTTCTTGCCACCAAGATTTGTTTACATTTCTGTTTCACCGAATTGCAGTGAGCTGGCTTTCGTACTCGGTTTCAATGTGAAGTTTGGGCCAACATGTTTGCCCCTTTTCTCCGGCGATCGTCCACTTGTCGAGCTTCTGATGCTTCGGAAACCTACAAAATCATCCTGTTTCCTTGAAGATATACGCGTCCCTTTTGATTACAAACAGCAAATCACTACTAAACATTAAAAGCAGAAGACATCCACGTAATTGTATTTAAAAAGAAGTCCGTACAAAGTTATTTTAGGTGGAATCCGTGCTAAACACTCTGCAAGTTCACTGAAAGTCTTCATTTGCAATTTTTGTTTATCCTCCAACGCCTCGCTTTCATGACTAGGCACCAGTTTTTTCCCGCGTGTCCGCCTTTTGTGAATACGGTGTATGGACGGCGCTTAGCTGCGCTTTAAATAACAAAACTGGACCATTATTTTTCAGAGTACAATTGATAAAAGAGTCGTTTTAGCTCTTCGTAATGAGAACAAAAAAGCGTGCCAAAGCCCTTTAAAGGTTTAAGAACAGGTACCTTTTGTAGCTTCACTTCTGCATCGTTCGAATCCGTTGAAAGCTTATGATAGTGTGGATGCAGGATCTCCCCGTCGGGTCCCGTGGGAAAAACATGTGACCACCGATGCCTGTTGCAGGTCCAATTACAGGGGATCTCATTTGGTTTGAAAGGGTTTATTAGAGTCCTCTGTGGATGAGTCTGCACAGCGGTGTCAATCACAGACAGATCCGCGCCCGCGCTGCCAACCGCAAACCGCCGAGGAACTGGACGAATGATTTCATGCTGTGTTCCATTTGCGATGACGTTTTCAGATAACGAAGCTGAAAAACAATGAGAAAATCACGGGTCCTCTTGAAATGTTTGAATCGCTAACATAAAATACAAACAACAGAGCTGCAAACAATAGTGGGTCATCAAGTCAAAGGGTCTGGAAGGGTATCTTCCTTCGGGATCCGAGATTTGGCCGAAACACAGTGCGGGATTCGGGAAAACGAAAAAATTCTGGACGGGATACGAGATTCGACCGATACTCGACAGGCGGGATTCGCCGAAATCTTGGCACGGGATGGGGTATTGGGAAAGAAAGCGGTATTAGGGGTAGAGATTTCAGAAGTTTGGGATACGGGATTGTCGTGAAAAAGGTGCGGGAATACGGGATCAGGGACCCCCTCCCCCTTTCAGACCCTAAAGTTAATGTCCCATTAATAAAATGGTACGTTTCTGGGACACTGCCCACCTACCCCTCCCCTAAGCCAACATTTTGCCCTAAGTGAGAAGTAAGTGTTAATGTCTGTTTAGGGAGGGGTAGTTGGGCTGTTTCCCAGAAACGTATAATGATCCAATAAAATTTGGTCATGACTGAGGAAATCCACCCTGTGAACAGAGACTCCTTTTGTCTTCTTGAGCGAGGAGGAGAAAAGGAGGCTCTGCCTAAATCCAGTCAAGCAGAAACCCGAACTTCTGGACTGACTATACAATCTTGTTTTCTCTCCTCAAACTTGTTTTCTAGTGCAAGCATACATTTACTAGCTGATAAACCAATGGTCATAACTGAGCCCACTGTACCAAGTGAACAGCAGCACACACTCAGCAATATCGATTTCTGTTCGTCTCTCTGATTGCCGGCTCGTTTTCCCGAACAGCGCCTCGTGCCCACACACATCGAGCCTAGCGGTCGCCTAGCGGAACTCTTGCCTAGCCCTAGGCCTCATTATTCCGCGCTGCCAACTCGTTTCGGGTCACGTGGTCCAACCGAAGATGTCCCCATTCGCCTCGGATACGTCGTCACCGAAGTGAATTGACCGAGAGGGCCTGGGAAAACGCGGTACAGGATATAGGCTTTGGACTAGGCAAGCGAAACCCTTAAAAGAAGCAGGCCTTTAGAGCAAAACACGAATTGTAAAAATGTACAGTACACAAGTTATAGTACAGCATAAGATGTTAGACATCTTTCCACTTTAGGTAATTTAATGTTATTTTATTTTCCTTTTGTGACGTATTGTAATTTTTTTCGTAGTAAACTATTGAAATAGTGCAATAAATAAAAAAATCTGAAATCTGAATCTGATGTGGCTAGAGCGGAAAGATGTCTGATATTTACGTACCAAGAACGCCGTGAGTTGTGCACTCTACAGATGAAGAAAAAATTCTGCTTCTGCTGTTTATGTCTTTGACGAAAGAAGCATCGCGTCTCTACAAATTGAGGGGGAAAATCAATATTAGGAACTATTACATGCTGCTCTGCGGCACTTACCCGTTTAAGACAGTAGCAGGTCGTTTCAACCGAAAGACGATTCGCCCGACTACGATTCGCCCGCACTTAAGTCGACTCGCCCAATGTTTATTTGCCGTTCTTTAAGCCAGAAAACAAGGCATAAGAGTGAAAAGACAATTGGTCAACAACTTTTTCCAGTGAAAACTTCACACTGAATGTCTCAAAGATCGAAATATCAATCGCTGAGGAACCTGCAGACTTCATTTTTATAAACATTCATTCAGTATCTCGAATATGACTTGTCCAGATAGCTGGAACTTTTTCAACAATCGCAGGAATGAAGTCCAATTTCAACTCGAAGACATCACTGATAAGCCGTGTTGTAGTCTGTTCCGTGTTGTTTGTCATCGGGCGAAACGACCACACTTCTTTGGGACAAGTAAGGGAGTGCCCCCAGGGCTCAAAAGCCCACTTATTACTAGACTTTTTCAAAGTCCTTCGCTTCTCATTTCCGGTTCCGGTAGTTGGCCCCAGCTCTCTTTTTCGCTTTTGCCGCAGAAAACATAAAAAATCTACCGTTCGCACTTGGCGCTCGTGAAAAAATTTAAGCTCGACTTGTAGGCAAGTCTAACTTATTACTTACTGTTAACATAGTGGAAGAAGATGATGAAGCTGACACAAGTAAATCTTCGTACGAGGAGATTCCCTTGGGAGATATAAACTTGTGAGACGTGATCTCATCTTTGGAAACCGACTTAGCCATTCGTTGCATCTCCATGGCGCTTCTTATTCGTCGGAAGCCCGAGCCTCGAGGAGGAAAACCTTTCAATGCAAAGTGGCCTGCAGCGGAAGGGTTCCTGAAGACTTTGGCGTCATATTCATCATAGTCCACCAAATCAGGCAGCTGGCTATCGGCTGCTTCTATCTTGCAGTGATCAGTAAAACTAGTGTAGACTCCTGACAAAAAATCATTAAAAAATCAGTCCCATCGTAAATACTCGAATTAGCACCCTACAACAAAAACCAAATAAGAGTCCCCTCCATTGGAACGCCCATGCCCACGCCCACCCCACCTTGCCCCACAGAAAAGAAGAAAGAAAAATCACTAAATATATGGTATAGGGATTGCAATACCAGTACATAGAAAACCTTACAGAAAACAGGACTTTGAGAACAACTACACATAAATGTACATTTATTATTAAAATATGCTCTTGTTTACTGCCACAGCTTTGTGTTTACTTGAAATATAGACAACATATCATAGTCATTTGCCAAAGCAGCCTGGTGCCAACGCAGACAGCTTTTTAAAGTAAAGAAACTTGAAATCACAAGGAGAAAAAAAAAACTTATACTTATCAACTATTTTGATTACCCTCTCATACATGTTAGCTCTCCACCTTGAAAGAAATGTACGTTTCTGGGAAACTGCCCTCCTACCCCTCCCCTAAGCTAACATTAACACTTACTTCTCACTTAGGGCAAAATGTCGGCTTAGGGGAGGGGTAGATGGGCAGTTTCCCAGAAACCTTAATTGATCCCATATTAATTTGTACCTTTTTCATTGCCGCCACACCTCCCCAGAGAGCTCAACACAACATCTGGAACTTTAATACGTGGAACAAAATTCTCTTTCTTTTTTCTTCTCTCTGGAGATGTATAAAAACCATGGTTCATCCAATGAGGTATGTTGTAATCATCTCCCAAGTTAGCATCCCCCTGACTTAACACCTTGTTGAGATATTTCAGGAGGGGGACAGTGTGAAGAGGCTGTTCAGCAAGGCATACAAGATCAATGGATACACCTATTAAAATAACAAGGCAAAGAGGGAATGAGGTCCCAAGAGTGACCAACATCAGTTTTCTCCAAACAATATTTTATTTTATTTTATTTGCCACACTAATTACAAAAAATATAGGAAAAGAAGAAGAAGAAGAAAAAAAAGAAGTGGCGAGGAGACCTAACAGAAACTATAGGAGCTTATGAGAGGTTAGGCCTCCTCGAACTATGAGCTAGAGCTGTTTCACATCAATTGAAGAGAAGAAGGCGAAAAGTCGAAGATGGAAAGATTTATAAACTGTTTTCATACTTACTCAATAATTTAATCTTCAGTTTTTTCTTAAAAGAGGAGAGGGATTGAGAGTTGATGATCTTGTTGTCAAGTGAATTAAAAAACTTAGGCCCTTGAAAAAAGGGCGAGAACTTCTTCGTGTTTGTACGACAATACGGTAGACGGTAGGCCTGGGAATTTCTTGTATTGTAAGAGTGGAATTGATTGCTTTGAGAGAAATTGTTATTAAACTTTGGAGGTAAGAATGAATTTTTGCAAGAATACATAAATTGGCCCAGTTGAAGCAAATGGATATCATTAAATTTTAGTATACCGAGGTCCTTAAAGATGGGGTCAGTATGAGCATTAAAATGTGATTTATTAATAATTCTAATAATGCGCTTTTGCAGGATAACAAGGCAGCGGAGATTAGTTTTATAGGTCGAAGCCCAAACGATATTGCAGTAGTAAAAATAAGGATAAATTAAGGAATAGTAGAGCATACGTAAAAACGATTTAGGAAGAAAGAAGCTGCATCTAGATATTATACCGATTGACTTCGCAACTTTACTTGCAACGTGAGATATTTCCGACTTCCAATTTAGGTTTTCATCCAAAATTACGCCTAGAAAATTTGTCTCCTTTACTTTAACAATATTTTGATTATCTATACTTATTTGAATATTACAAATTGAACGCTTTTGTCTTGGTTTGAAGACCATAAATTTAGTCTTTTTAAGATTTAGAGAAAGCTTGTTTGCTTTAAACCAGATTGACAGTTTGTCCATCTCCAAGTTTAACATATCTGAGAGATAGTTCAGATCTTTATGTGACATGAATACATTGGTATCGTCAGCGAACAATATCAGATTTAATAGATTAGAAGCATTGTTGATGTCGTTAATGTACAGTAAGAAAAATAGAGGTCCGAGGATAGAACCCTGAGGGACCCCGCAAGAGATTTCATTTCTTAACGAACGGTGGCCATTATATTCAACATATTGCTTTCTGTTTGAAAAGTAACTTCTTATCCAGTCCAGCGCTAAGCCACGAATACCGTAATGTTCGAGTTTATCAAAAAGGATGATATGATTTACAGTGTCAAAGTGTCAAAAGTTTCTGCCCCAAGGTCAACCACCTGACCATTTTATATACCATTTTTGACAGAAAAATTAAAGGCAGCCCTTTTGTATACCTTACATTAGAAAATGGTACCCCTCAGAGCTCTCTAACCTACTTTTAAATATGAATAAATCACCAAAGCAAGACGTTTTCTTGTCCTTTTCATTTAGGTTTAATAAATTAACATCATAATAAAGCCAAAAGAGGCATCTTTTAAAACAATTTGAATTTGCATAAAAGGCCTTCTTACATACAGTCTAACCTCTCCTTATGGACACCTCTCTATAACGGACAGTTCGTTTGGTCCCAGAAATGCCAAAAATCATACATTTCCTATCTCTATAATAGCGACACCTCTGTAAAGCAGACACTTGGTTCTGTCCCTTTGGTGTCCGTATTAAAGAGATTTGACTTTACTTAAATGATAGATTTTCCTACCCTTTCATATACCGGTATTCTTCAACTTGTGAATTCCCTTCCCTCTAATATGTCTGAGCAAAAGCTAGAAAAAGGTACTCCTCTGTGTATAGACCATTTTAAGGAGTACCCCAGTGCTTGAACCCCACTCCTGTTTAATGGATTTTTTCTCCATGTACTCCTGGGTCCTCAGGAAAGAGCAATTTAGCATTCAGGAAAGAGCAGTTTAGCATTCAAAATTATAAGGGAACAAAAAGCACAAGCCACGCAATGTCCATTGTTTGTGGTTTAACAAGACTTCTTTCAATCTATTTAATTTACCACTGTCATTCAAGAAATCTTTCTTTACAACATTATTATTATTAAAGTAATCAAAAAGCACAGGCCACGCAAAGACTTTTGTTTGTGGTTTTGCGGGCTTTTTTATCTAGTCATCTTACCACTGTCTAGCAATCTTTGTTTTGTGATGCTGGTCATTTCTCGATCAACTTCAAACATTCCTGAGCCAGGTGCTACAATGATGGTTGTCTGACCAGTGCGTTCAAAATTACGATCAATATGGTGTCTTGCAAATGCTGTGAAAATAGTCAATAGATATTTAACAATTATTCCTCAAGCCCGAATGGACTCTGAGTCAATAGCCCATAAGGCTGAAGGCTGAATGGGCTATTGACTCAAGGGCCATGAGGGCAAGAGGAATAAATTGTTTTAGCAAAATCCAGCTAGTTGGTCAAACATATCGAGACAAAACAACTTTAGCTAGTTAAAGCTAGACTTTAATCCTTTTTTGCCACCAAAAAGCTGGCGCTTTTCGCTACTAGTGGGCTATAACATATAGCCTAGTAGTAGCTCAACCAATCAGAATGCAGCATTGATAATAGACCACTAGCTGGATTTTACTAAAAAGTGAGATTGACCAAGCACGGGTTTAAGACAGCTGGATAATAGCCAAGATCTTTACAGTCAAGCCAGGTCAAGCTACCCCCAGAGATTCCATTATTGAAGTCATTATTCATAAGTTGAACCCGTTGTTAGTTGTAGATTTCAGATCCATCTCTGCATTCTTGAATTCACTCGTGAGGTGGTCACAAAAATTTATACCGGCTCTGTTTCTTAAATGTCTTTAAAGCAATTTTATCCCTTCAAAGACCAGATACAGAGAAGTTCTCATAAAATATTCACTGCTAATTACGCATGCAGGAATGTCCATTTGAATTTGACACTAGTTATGGGAACAACTAACGGTTTCAGTTTTCAAATAACCAATTCATTAATAGAATCTTGGAGGGAGGGAGGTACACTTGACCTGCCATGACTGTAATGCGCTTTTATGGACCAACACAAAGTTGAGGTTAATATCCAGCTATCTTTACTGAAAATAATATTGGTCAATAAAGGATTTGATAACATACACCAAACAGATATCTTTTTCTTGCAAGACCAAGATGGGAAATCTCGAACGGGCAAGATGGCCCATTTTTCCTATTCAGATAGCCAATCAGAACACAGGATTTGCTTCATCTTGCCCATGTGGGGATTCAGCCATATAATAATTAATCACTACCTGTTATGTTTCCTGATTGCTTATGCTGTATCCGTGGGTGGTCCCTTACAGTTAGTACCATTTTTTTTGTCTGAAATCAACTCATATGGACTAGCCTCAATGGTTCTCAATGTTCCCTCCTTAGCTTATTGTAAACATACTTGCTTTAACCCTGTATTTTATGTTTTTCTCTTATCTTCAATTACATATAGTTATTTAAGTAAAGAAAAAAGTTGATTGAAGAAATAATATCATCGTTTTTTTTTTCCGCGTTCGATAATATTCTTTTTGCCATTGAAACAAAAACCAGTCGCATTAATAGTGCTTACCATTCATTGTCAAATTAATTGCCTCTAAAAAATTGCCTTCAAATGAGCTTGAATTGGTGCCTTTTATTTTTGTGCCTTCAAGCGTGTCGCAGCAGTTAGTGATAATGGGGTACTGATTAAAACACTTCTTTAATGTCACTAAAACGGGTATCCAATCTTCACGCCTCTCTTTCAAGGCCACCACTTGATAAAAGTCTTCATAAAATCTCCCGTATGGATCTTGCTGAATGCATGCTGCAGTATCCGCAGAAAAATCAGCTGAAAATTAAGGTGGAGTAATTAATGTTGATATCATCAGATGTTGCTTGGTTATCTTTGAAGGTGCCCTGTTTATTTGGTTAAGAATTGCAGTTTCTCTTTAATTTTTAATGTAACTTAATGACAAACAGTTACTGGTAGTTCAAATCCCAGTACATTGTAGTCTACCCACTGAATTCAATCTTTAACACGAGTGCACGTTGGATATGAGTTGGTTATAATCATCTCATATCCAACAAGCACAAGTGGGATAAATATAGGATATTACATGGCCGCGCGGAGATATGAAATTTCTCTTTGAGTGTTGAAAAATATTTCATGAGTGGAGCAGCGAACGAGTGAAATATTTTTTCCACACGAGAAAAGAAATTTCATATCTCCAAGTGGCCATGTAATGTTCTATTTATTATATAAACACCAATGAAATATCAAACCATTTCACTTTAATAGTTTTTTGGTGTGAAAGGCACGATTTATTATGTAGCCATAGCAACGGTGATATTTTCACATGTGAGGATAACATGTTATTTTCACATTTGAAGATATCAAGTTTTCGCACGAAAGCTCACCTGGTATTTCATTGGTGTTTATATAATAATATCAATCGTTTCATTATAAAAAACATCCAGAAAATATAAGGAATTCTTCCCGACAACTCATTTTCAGCTTGTTTTCATTTTCAAGCAGACCATATCATATTTGGAGAGCATGGTATAATGGCTCATATACCATGATGGCTATAAGCCAATCAGAGCTCTAGAATTGCATTATCCAATGATTCAGTTTTTAATAACGCAAATTACAGTAAAGTTCAGATATAACAACGACTTTAATTGCTTGAAAAACCATGCTTTATTACAGTATAAAACACAGTGCTAAGGCTGTCATGCCATCTGGCAATAGTTTGTTTTGAAAATTAGAAAGCTTAGGAAGTGGTTAGAGCACTCAAGAAGTAGGGGGAAATGTTCAACTACGTCTTGTGTTTCTCCCTACACTTCTTTCAAGCTCTGGCTGCTTTCCGCATGCTTTACAACAGAACAGAGCACAGTCAAGGTGTTTTCATTTGTTAAAATGTTTTCAAGTGGTGAGCCAATCATTTATTTTTATATTGATCACTGAATGAACACTTTAAGCGATGTGAGAATAGACCTTATTCACAATGCCTGCAATCCTTGTACACGCTTAAGGGCTGATGGGATAAAAGCAATGTCACGTGGCTTCTTTCCAATACAAGAAGTCTCAGTCAAGTTTGTTTATTCTTGACAAGAGAAAATGAACAACTTTTTATATAAAGATGATAATGGCAAATTATGGGTGGAAGTGATCATTTTTACTTTTTTGGATACAGTAGCGACCGTAGATGTCCTCACAGCAAGCAATAATGATGTTAATTTTGTCGAAACTCAAACCGTACATTTTGCATGACCATTAAATCATAACTTGGTTTTGAGAGAATAAACACAGTCAACTGTGATTTCTCACACTGGCAACATTAATCCTATGTTTGTCCCCTGAGAAACCACGTGACATTGCTTTTTTCCCATCAGTTCTTAAGCGCATGCAAAGAGTGCGGGTATCGTGAATAATGTCTATTGATTATAGAAAATGGTCAATCGATTATCAGAGACAAATAAGAAAGAACTATTATTGATGGTACTTGTAAGTTGTCTTTTTAATGGATTCATAAGGCACCTGTACTCTACTGGTGCCCAGCTTCTCTGATACATTTTGTATGGCTGTTTTTGTCATGTTCTAAAACACAGTACATTCCATGCTTAAGTGGGTCAACTGGTAAATGCAAAAGTTTGTTATGTTGACAGTTTTTGTTTGTGCATTAATAAATGTGGTCCAATCAATGGAATGTAATGAAATGTAGAATGTACATGCAATGTTGTGGATTAGAGGACAACAAGAAGTACCCTCTTTTAAAATTAAAATGTTACCAGAATGTTCAGACATCAACATAGAATCAATGAATCAATCAATTTAGTCATTCAGATTACTTGTCACTCTCACGGGACTCTGTACAAGCAATGCAGCCATTGAATACAATATTATATCGTTTGGTCAGGCCTTACAGAAAACTATTGTGTGATTCACAATGGTTATAGACTATGAGCAGTCTCTCTTTTTTCTTAGTCCATTGAGCAAGACAAGCGAGACATGCGAATGACCACAAGTGTGACTGAAGGCATGAGATGGGAAAGGCACAGAAAAAGAGAGTCTCTCTTTGTTTTTCTTCTTGGGCTGCTGCCCTTGTTTCTCGCATCTCTCGACACTCTTGTGCACGCATGCACTCCTTACGAGACTGCTCGCAGTCTACAAAGGTTAAGACCAAAGTCCTTTTAGCAGACTGGTACACTTACCTATGGACTGTGCATTGTAGAATGTTCTTGAAAACAGAATGATAGTGACATCATGGATAGCTTTGATCTCCTTCCACTTGGTAAACAGTTCATAAAGAAATCCATTAATGGTTTTCTCAAAGAAAAGGTCTCCATTGAAATCAAAGTCCCACATTTCTTTACTCATTTGAATGAGTAGAAACACTTTGGCAGTGCATGATCTGAAGACTACCTGAAATAAGAGAAAGAAAAAAAATGTTAAAAGCTGTTTCACAATAATCTTGAAACTTGAGGTGTTTTTGTCAATTTAAAAAGTGCACTTTATTTGAGTGTCAAGGCAATTCAAGGTTCAAAATAATATTTTATTTCTGGAGAGTCTCTGGGCACAATGACCGGCCAAATTCATTTTAGCTCCATCACGTATCATTTCTGGCTGGTCAAATTTTTAAGATAAATAACTCTTAAAACAAAGGCCCATGAACTGAAACTGGCATGAAAAATTTCCAAAACTAAAAAAGTCATTCCTTAACTAATAAAAGCGAAAATATTTATAATTTTGTTACCGGAAGTGCTTGAACCCTGATGTCTGTTTCAATGCAAGAATTGTAAACAACAGTTCATTTCATCCAGGATTTCAGATCAAAATTCCACATTAAACAGCAACAAGCTACATACTGATAACAACTGAAACAACTGAATAGCATGAAATTTTAATTTATTTCATTTTCAATGCGATCGAATGTGAATGGTGAACCTGACTGGTAAGACGAAAAGTTGAGTGTTCAAGTCCCCAGTCGGTCTGGAAATTGTCCATTGACTGGCCAATATTTCGAGCCCTGAATTTGGCACAAAAGTGCTAACTGAGGACACTACCTTTACATCTTTGACTGGAGACAAGAACACCATTTTAGGTGATCATCTAAGCCACATGATAGTCTGACCATTTGCAGGGCAAAGGGCACAGTGTCATTTGTCACTTATTTTTAGACTGTGAGTATTGATGCAGCCCCACGGGTCGAACCTGACTGGCATCTCCACCTGCAGTCAAGTCCTCTATGGACTGAGCTAGCTAGTCCTGCCACAGAATTAATGCCATCTAATATTGAAACCTGTACTAGGAGGACAGTAGAGTATTTTCTGAGAGTGTCTGCTTCACGCAGGCTTCTTCGCATATTAAATTTTCACCCAAAAGTGCCCAATATCAATTCTCTTAACAATATCTATAAACAATAAAGACAAAATAATAAAATGACCACAAATAGAGAATACTTTGATATTTCACCAAATTCTCTCAACAAATGTGTGAAGATCAGTCTGGAGAATTTGTGTGTAATTTTTTCCCTAAACTTTAGCTCAGCAGGTAAAGGACCATTCATGGCTGACAAGGCAAAGAATATGCCCCAGCGGTGCACTTTCCTGGGGGGAGGGGAGGGGGTAATGGAGAGAGTGACATGGCCCTACCTTAGGAGGAGCTAAGTTCTTTGAAACATGATTCCCTCATTTCAGAGACCTCTTTTACCCAAATTGGCCGTTGATATCTTTAGACAACAATTTAAAATGAATTTGATCCCAATAATTTTACTCTGTATTCACTGTTCTCTTTCACAATGTGCGCATGGCCCATAAAAAGAAAAGTTGTGTATACTTTAGCACTTTTCCATATATTCATTTATTGCCTTGACTGAATGGGATCACAACTTGCGTATTTTTTAAAACAACTTATTTAATTTCAGTAAACCTTCAAGCATTTGCAGGCGGTAAGAAATGTTGCTTCAGGTGGTAAATTTTACCGGTCACCGCCTGATAAGGAAAACACTGTGTATGTAGATATTAGTTTCCTACCCTTGTATCCTCTGATATTACTCCACATGAAACCTTCTCTCCTTTGCTCCAGATCTCATTCACCTGAGCACGCATTCCTAAACATTTCAACTTCTTGTTGACATAAACACACGAACCCACTAACTCTTTACTTAATCGCCACATCTCACTTCTGGTAATAAACTGGTCCTTAAACAACAGTTCTACCATATCTACCGACACCTCCTTTGGTTCAACCTTAGTCACCTCCACATCCCAGTATGTTCTCAGCTGGAAGATGTTAGCCACGGACTGTTCAATACTAATTGTATCTTTTTGCTGGAAATCAGGATTGATGGAGTTAATCTGCAGTAGCAGACGCGTGTTGTCTTCATCGGGGTGGTGAATTTCCAAAATGTCGCCTATTTTTTCGTTTGGGAACTCCTTTGGATTTAAAATCAGTTCATCCTCACTGAAATTTTGCTGATGGACCCACAGCTTGAAAAGCTTCATTTTGATCCGCGCAATTCAAACTAATAAAAAGTGTTCTGAACAAAGTACTAGCTACAAATATTTGTCGTTTTTCGTTTCCTCCTCCTCTCACCTTCCTTGTCCACCATTTTATTTTTCCTTGAACAGCCGCTGATTTCACGTCTTAGGATCGCAGCTTCAAGTTAGATTCTATGTTGCTTGGAACGCCTGACGAATTTTGTGTTTGGGATAAAATCATTGAAGCTCTAAGACTTAGTTTTAGCTATGTATGCATTACTTCGCGGGTATAGACAAGCGAAAGGAATTAAAGTAGTGGCGAAACTTTGTTCACTGGCAGTCCCATCGGATCAAGAGAAAAAAACCAGAAAGGAACAGGGTACAAGCTTGAACGACACAAACCTAACCACGGAAATTGAAAGTGGAACACCAAGGCTGAGGTAAAGTAGTTTGCTTATTTTCACGCCATACTGAATTTTGTACCTGAGTAAAATACTTTCCTTGCCTTAAAATTTTAAGCTGACTGACTTAAACTTAGGGCGATAAGTAACCAGTCAGTATCGTATAATGACTCGGCGTAACACTCGAAGTGTTCGGTAATCGAACTTTATCGAACTTAATCGAACGATTGGGATTGAATTGAAGTGCATCAGTGCCAGGGCTGTTAAGAGGTTTGGTCTTCCATATGTGGGAGAAGTGCCCAAAATGTTGTAGAACTTTATAGAGAGGCATTAGTACTATGTGGTATTATATGGATGCAACTTGAAGACATATTAAGGAATTATTTCACTGTGTTCTTATGTTATATTGACTTAAGTTTATTGTTACAAGTTTCTATGATTTGGTGTGTCCTTTGAAGAAGCATTGTTGAGAATCTGGTCATAAAATAAGACTTAAACACATCACTTTGGGTATATTTTCTTAATACACTATAAACAAGGCTGCAGAATGGCAAAATTTTGTAGAAAAATAATTTACACTTTTTAATCAAGCTAAAAGATTGTGTTTTTTTTTATCTGAGATGTACAGTCCAGTTTTTCTTCACGTTGAAGCTACTGCTGTTGTGATGCTTAGTAATCCAAAATGTGTCCCACAGACAAGTCATGTCCAGTGTTTTCACTAAGGTCCAGGAGCTGGTAGCCCATGTGCCCGGAGGGAGGGGGGAAGGTACTGCTATATATGGGCTATATAGGTATGTGTTGCTGTGAAGGGTATGGTTTTCAAGCAGTTTACTCTGGGATAGTGTATGTAAATCAGAGAGTTTGGGACTAGAAGAGGGTATCATTTTCCATTTAAACTGATCATTTAGCTGAAGATTTTAGTCTAGACTAAGGAAACCCAGAATTGCCACTCAAGAAATATATAAAAAAATCAAATCAGTTTTGTTTTGGCTGGACTGTGCTAGTGACCTCAGTTGTTTCTGGAAAACAGTACTCTAGGATAGAGGGGATCTGGGGAGTTTAGTCTAAAAATAGGGTAGCAAAACGCACTTGAACTAGCTCTGGTATAGGCTAAGGGTTCCAGGGTCCCAGTGGCACATTTCCACCCAAAAAGTCTTTAAGTACCCCCCCCCCACCTACATGTAGCCCCACCCTCCCCCTCTCTGATTTTCCTTTGTGTGGGGGAGGGTGCAGTTTGGGGGTAGGGTGGGCTACACATAGGCTAAGGGGCTGGGGATTTACCCCAGCTATAACTATGAGTGTGACCCCAGCTACTTTCTTATGAAAAGAAAAGCTCATTAAAAGCTAAAGAATAATGTCTAATTGTCAGTCTGCCTGCTTTGCATGGCTGTCCACACTTGGTGCTTGGGAACCATGGGTACTGGCACAAAATGGTGTTGTGTTCACACTTTGAGTACCCAATTTGTGACTGTATACATAGGTACTGCATTTTGCCCTGTCCGAATCCGATTTGAAACAGGAGCTTAACAGCGAGAACAAAGCAGTGGACTGCCCACAACTTACAAACGTTGTGTGCACATGGCAACCTGGTGTCCACTTTTGTGAGACCTTGTGCTCAGGCAACGGCACCATGCCCAAATTCTAGTGTGGGTACTTGAAAAAAGGGTGTGTTCACATTAGTGCCAAGTGAGTACCATACCCAGGCACCAAGTGTGAACTCTGTTCTAGTGACAACCCTACATTTCAAAGATCTACACAGCCTGAAATAAATTCCAACTACAGTTGTCCTGGACATAATTTGGACGAAAGTATAGTTTTGCATACTTTGCTATTCACAGTAGAATTTTCAATGATATTCCATCAAAACACGCACAGTGTAAAACTAAAACACCTGGCCTTGAGGGTTTGGTGAGGTAAGTGGGGGGTCATGCATTGGACCCTCTAGTGGGTCCTTGTGATTAAGAATTTAGGGTGACCTTTCAACAAGCATATTTTTATTAAGAGTTGTTGTCCGAGTACTGTCAAGGAACACTTGCCACAATAGGGTAAAGGTTAGAAATGTTTCATTCAGGGTGATGTCAGTTGAGTTGAAAAGGTGAACATTGTGATCTAGTTTTTATCTCACCAGCTGCAAAATCTGTCAAATTGTGATTCAGGTTAAGTTTTATAAGAGAGCCATGTAAGCTCAGATTTGCTGTTGTTATGTTTTGTTCTGAAAATAAAATTAATTAAGGGGGTTTGAATCGGAGTAATGGGTGATTGATCAACTGATTTTCACTTGAAATATATTCGTGATATTAACCTTATTAAAATGTAACTGATCATTCGTAGATCAGATAGATTTGAAATGTGAGCGACATTAAATGACTGGAAACAGCTGTAAAAATTATATGTCAAGGCTTTTAGTGTCACATATGGTTGAAAACTTCGATCTCACGCCGGCTCACGCTTGCGGGCCAATTTCTCACGCCTGATTGAAAAATGTGAGTTGTTGCCGTCTTGCTTGACACAATTTCCAAAAATATGTTAACTCAGACCCATGTATGTAAGGAACGAAAACCATGTGTAAAATGAATAAATGACAATACCTTCCTCGCGATCTCTGATTTTGTGGATAAGCGTTTTCTCGATAACTTCACCTTCAGCAGACTTCGGACGTCTTCGGAAGACTTTGGACTTCTTCGGGAATCTTCGGAAGTGATCGTGTCGCCTTAAAAAATCCTAGCACTCCCAGGATAAAAATCTCACGCTTATATCTCAGAAAAAGTTGGCAGGTACAATATAACTATTGTTTTATAAAATTTAATTTCAGGAAACGTTCATTATCAAAAAGTTGGCAGGTATAATATAACTATTGTTTTATAAAAATTAATTTTAGGAAACGTTCATTATTTTATTAGAGGGAGGATGGGTGAGAAAATAGGGGGACTCGAAGGGGGTCCTGAGGTAGATTATTTGTTATTGAGGGGGGACCTTGAAATTTTAAGGAGGAAAAGTGTAAAATAAACAGCAACAAGATATTTTAGTGTACTAATAAGAGCTGGGTACCCCACATTTTATGGCTAGGAGCCTTTGGGATCCCTATGATTTTTGTTACTACAGCACAGTCTTATACAGTATTGTGGTGCAGTCACGGAGTATATGATTTGTAACTACAATTTCCTTATTTGATTCCCCCAGTTATACACTAGATTTCTTTAATGAAGTGTTAACCAAACATAAACTGAAACAATTATTACTGCACTCCAAAAGTATTAAACTGAAAAACTATTTAAGTTTTAACTCTAGGTTGTCAATGCACAGTGGCAGGCTTCTGGAAAAATGCTTTTCTTTAAAATAAAAAATACGGTAAATCACATGCAAGCCATTTGGAGGCCCACATGAATGGAGCTTAAGCTGCTTTCTGAATCATAATTTTAGCAACTGACATATTGGTACTCCTCCTCAGAGGGACAATTGCCACTTAATCATTTACTCTACCAGGTGAAAAGACACTGTGGGGAAAATTTCTTTTCTTTATAAAACAAACAAGATATTTAACGTCATGGCAGTGATGTGTCCTCAAGCAAGTGACATTTAGATCTGAAGTCCAATATTAATATGCTATTAAACAGCTACATCACTGCTCCCCTACAGTAAAACTGTTTAGTGTAAGTGTGTGTAAGTGGGGGGGGGTATTGAAATGCTCCCGAAATAGAAAAAGGGGGACCTGAAAAATCCAGTTTTGCTAAGGTTGGTTAATGGGTAAAAAAGGAAGATTTGTTAATTTCTCACCCAGCCTCCCCCCAATCCCTTCCGATGAATAATGAACAGTCCCTTATACAACATAAACATGAGTTTACTGCTAGTAAGGTTTTTTTGCAATTCATGCAATGTGATCTTACTAAAATTCAAACAATAATAAATTTGTGCACATGCATTGTAAATTTCCATGTTGAGGAGATCCTGGTTGGTTGTTGGTTTAGGAGAGTTGTTCTTCACAAATTATTACCGAAATCCCTGAATTTACCTGAAGTTGCAAGAATGATCTACATCAATTTCCTCCTCACAACTAGATTTTTTCTGGTAACCCCACTGGACTCAATGGGTTTTCAGTCAACTGCAATGGACTTCACTGGATGATTTTCATCATGGTTAAATTGTTTTTACCTCTGGCTTCATTTCATGACCAGACTCCCTCCAATGAACACTGGAATCTAGTGAAGGTTATTGGACATGAATAAAATGTGTGTATATACAACTCAGACCAAAAGAGACTTTCCAAAACATACATTTCTCTTCCTGCCACCCACAAGAGTTTAGAGGGAAGGGTAAATTTTGGATGCATCCCTAACATTACCTGAACAATCCCTTCAAAGAAAACATTTGTAGAAGATAAATTTCATTGTAAAATCTTAAGGTGTTGAGTTGGGCAGGTATAATACTCAATGCCCATATCAATAGTTGAATGAGACTGAAAAGGGGGTATTGACTTGTACCCACCCTTCTCGCAGCTCCGCCGCCTAAACAATGCAGCGCTTCCACACTAACCCTGCCAGCTACGCAGGCTAGCCTGTCATCTTCTAATATGAGGGGAATGTGAGAGAAATTGGAAATGTGTTTACTCGATATTTAAACTCAGTTTGGTCAAAGGAAATACTAATCTTAATTTATTCAGATAAACTTTGTGAAATTTATTTACTTAGGTTTTTTAACTATCTGGAAGAAAGCTTCTTGGTCATTCTAGATTCCGTTTCCGGTTTCCGGTTTCCGGATTCCTGATTTTACCACGAGAAGTAGGTCGTTCCCAGTACTCCTCGGCTGTTCCCTGGACGAAGCACAAAATGGCGGCGCCTCTAGCCAAAAGGGTGTGCAGAGGAGATCTGAATGATCTAAGAACAGAATTGTATGAAGCTTCTATAAATGGAGATACGGCCTTGATTAACAATCTTCTTCAGGAGCTGAGCAGCAGTGAACGAGATTCCATATTAAAACCAGCTGAAGTTAATTCAAGCGATGACATCGCCTTTCACATGTTTGAAGAGGCTACTGGCTATGGCAATTTAAATGTGATGAGCTGTTTGGTGGAGAACGGAGCGGATGTTAACGTTCGTTCGAAGAATTGCCAGCGCACGCCATTGATGAGTGCCAGCGAATTTGATGAGCTAGATGCAGTAAAGTTCCTCGTGGAACACGAGGCGTTACAAATCGATAATTTCGATACTCGATAAAATCGATTGTAATCGATAATTTTCGATACTAATTACTTGATTAATATCGAAAATCGATAGAAATCGATAGCGGAGGTTTTTGTGATTATCGATTTTGATCGATTTTATCGATTTCTGTAATTATAGTTCGATTTTAATCGATTTCTATCGATTTCTATCAAAAATATCGATTTCGTCAATGGAACTCAGACAAAGAAGAAGACAGAGCTTAAAAGCAAGGAACAAAAGGCAAATGGATATCGTAAGGCCAAAAAACGGGAAATAGTACCCGTTCTTGATATTTCCTGTCAAGGAAACGACGATAAAAGACTGAAAGCAGTTAAAAGACCGGTATAGGCAGTTAAGGACGGACGAGACGTAAAGTTAACCCTAGCCGGTCTTAAACCGCATGCGGTTTGTCGGTGGCTTCAACGTACTGTACTCTGGAGTTAACACATACGCTTTCTTTATCCCACACCTTGAGTCGATAATATAAAATACCTTTAATCAGCCTTAATGTACTGTAAACAAACTACAAAGGTTTTTAAAACTGTAATAATAATGCACTTGTCGCTAGACTCAAAAATTGAAACATGCTCAACGATAACGAGAGAAAAAAAACGCAAAAACGATGCTCGTTCAGTTTGTAGCAGTACGCCACGTTTACCAGCGTAAACAATTCCACTGGTGTTCTTACGCCGCTTACACAGTGTGCTGTCGTTTTCGTCCGAGCTACGAGTCTAAAAACTCAGAAAAATTGCTTCAAATGCGAATGAGTTATCTGGTTATCACAGATTATCGCCAAGACTGGAAGAGGTTTTGACGTTCAGTTTTCGGTAAGAAAGAAAAAAGTTCCTTGATTCTAAATTGACTTGATATAATTTTTTTTTCAATGTCCTCAATCGACCGGATAAATCGATAAAATCGATAATCTCGGTCTAAGTCTTGTGATTATCGATTTCTATCGATTATTTTAGCTAATCGATTAACAATTATCGAGTATTATCGAGTAATATCGAGTAATCGATTAGTTTTCGATGATCGATTTCTATCGATTTGTAACGCCCTGGGAACACGGTGCGAGAGTTGATCTTCAAGACAGAAGGGGCGAAACATGTCTTCACCACGCTGCATCGCAAGGAAGTGTCGCCTCACATGAACTGTTGAGATATTTGTTGGATCGTGGAGCTGACATTAATGCTTTAACAAATGACAAAGACACTCCCCTGATTCTTGCAGCCAAGAACGTGGAATATGTGGCATTTGGATTTCGATCCTCGGAGACCCAGGGGCAGTCAGTCGGGCCGGGAGAAAAGGCGCTACAAAAGTTTTCAAGTACAAGCGGAAAAGCCCCTGGGTACCGAGTCTCACCGGACCATTTCCAAACGGTCAAGCGAATGCTGGTTCCTGATTGGGCACAAAAAATGCTTTGTATTATTGTGCCCAATCGGCAAACAGCATCTCCTGAGTTCTTTTCGTGAATTCGTACACGACGGCTATTATCTCGCCACAGTTGCCCGGTTCGTTCACCAAGCTTTCCTAACCAGAAACGAAGGAACTACCGATGCTATCAGCAGGAGCCAATTTGCGCTGAGAAAATTCTGTTTCTGACGGATCACAATGTATCGTAAATAATAGGAAGTTTAAGATGAAGCGGCGACGAGAAAGTAAAAAAAGGAATAGCTTGACAAGGCAAAACAACAACTTTGCACGTGCATCACGCTTTTTTGCATATACTGTATTTCTTTGCCGTCACTGTACGACTACCACGTGAAAATGCCTAATTTCACGTTTTGTGAAGGACGTAAACAAGCAATGACAAAATTTTTTTTCTCTTTATGAACTTGGATATGGTTGATAGAAATTCAATTCCAGAAGAGTTCGCTTGCATTTGACAAAGTAAGTGAGTTCGGAATAATCACGATAGAGACTGAAAAAATGTGAGTTCACTCTTCATGCGACGTTTTCGTGGTTGTCAGCTGTCGCGGCAAATTAAACTCCCTAATATTTACGAAGGCGTGATCGATGCAAGCGTGAATACAGTGGTTGTCTTTACACTATCCTGTTAAGTAAGACTTAAGAGCTGCTAAGTTTTACATAACCAAAAGTGCGCGTGTGAAGGCCTAAGCAAAATCTCAGGTAACTTCACTTTGCATCTCATTAAAACCGACTCAGCGAACTTGCGGTTTCCAAGCTTTGAGAAAGGCGAAGCATGTCAATCAATCTTAATTACGTTGCGTGGGAAAACCTGAAGTAAAAAAGATAGGTTGTGTGTGAAGCTTTCTTTTACTTGAAGAATTTTAAATTTTCTTGTCTTGAAATATTTGTTAGCTTATTTAGCCTCTAGTGTTAAGACTAGCAGTATTTTGAAATGTAGCATTTATATCAAACTGAAAGATTCCTGACTGCGTGCATTTCTTCGGTGCATGAGCCAGACAAGCTGTGATCGAGTCAACAGCCGTCGTGTACAAACTCACGAAAAGAACTCAGGAGATGCTGTTCGCCGATTGGGCACAATAATACAAAGCATTTTTTGTGCCCAATCAGGAACCAGCATTCGCTTGACCGTTTGGAAATGGTCCGGTGAGACTTGGTACCCAGGGGCTTTTCCGCTTGTACTTAAAAACTTTTGTAGCGCCTTTTCTCCCGGCCCGACTGACCGCCCCTGGGTCTCCGAGGATGTTGGATTTCTTGAACATGGAGCAAACGTTTTTCTGAAAAACAATCATGGTGAAACAGCTCTCCACACTGCCTGTCAATCCGCAAACGCCTCTTGTTGTCTGTTAAGTTGTTTGATTGAGAAAGGAGTCAATATCAACAGTTGCACAAGCGACAACTGTACACCATTGATGTTAGCTAGTAAAACTGGTGATGCGAAGAAAGTAACATTCCTCATTGAACATGGAGCTAATGTGCATGTTGAAGACCAAAATGGTGATACAGCTCTGCATTATGCCACACGTAGTCGACATGACTCATTCGAAGTTGTTGTCGCCTTGATTGCAGCTGGAGCGTCTCAGATGTGTAACAATCAAGGACTAACTCCCCTTCTTGAAGCCAGCAAACGTCGTAAACCAGCAATAGTGGAAGAATTAATCAAGAGTCCTGATGTAACGAAAGAGCAAAGAATTGATTCTCTAGAACTTCTTGGTGCTTCTTTGATTCTTCAACGCCATTGTAGTTCTGAAACTACAGATAAAGCATTTTCATACCTTAGGCGTGGCATGGAAGAAAGGTTTGCTGATTCTTTGCACCCTTTGTTGAAACAACCAATGGAACCCATTGATGATTATCAAAATAGACAAGAGAGTCAATCTCTTGAGGAACTTCTAGAGATAGTTGAAGACAGGAGTGCTCTTATAGTGGAAAGTCTTATTATTATGGAGAGAGTCCTTGGAAAAGAAAATGCTAACCTGCCTGATGCATTAAGATCTGCTGCAAAGTACTTTTTTGACAATAATAACTCCATGTGTATACGCATGAGTATTCATAGAGTGAAAGTATCCCAGTGGCTCAATCAATCAGCTTTTTCAGAGAGAGATACTCTGTATTGCTCATTTAAAAGTCATGCAGAATTCTGGGGTGATGATAAAAACCAGGCATTTGTAGTTGAATTACTTGAGCTAATCGTCTCTGAGATTGACAATGAATTATTAAGAGGAACAGCTAAGTCACTACCTAGAACATTGTGGGGGTGTGATTTGTTTGACTGTACGTTTCAGGTTATATCATTGCTTTGCAAGATTGAGGTAGCAAACACATCAAAAGTTTCAGTGTTGCTTCAAAGACTGTGTGGCTTAAATCCTAAAGATGTTTGGGGCAATACAATCTTGCATTACTTCTTAAAAAAGAAGTTTTACACCAATGAGACAGATGCATTTGTATTAATAGATGTTGTAAAGATTCTTTTGAGTAGCGGATTCAATGTTAATGTCACTAATAACAGAGGAGATACTCCACTTCACATAGTGGCCACTATGAAACCCAGCAATGACGTGATCCCCATGTTCACTAACCTGTTGGAGATCTTGTTAGATGAAGGTGCTCATCAAGATTTTGTCAACCATGATGGTAAGACAGCCATGGACTTGGCTGAAACTTATGAGGCTTACAGTATCCTTTGGAAGAGAAGAAAACTGGAATTGAAGTGCATCAGTGCCAGGGCTGTAAAGAAATTTGGTCTTCCTTATGTGGGAGTAGTGCCCAAAATACTGGAGAACTATATATCTATGCATTAGAACTATGTAGTGAAATGAAGATGCAACTCGAAGGCATAAAAATTCTTTCAAATTTCTTATGTTAAATAGTGAAGATACATTTGATTTATTTTGACCTAAATTTATGTGATGAGTTTGAGTTCTGTGATTTGGTGTGTCCTTTAAAGAGCAACCATTGTTGTTGAGAATTTGGCTGTCCACATGGTTTACACTGCATTTAGAGACGGATGTAGTTATATATAAGAATCATATTTAAGGTGATATAATTAATGACACATCACTTTGGGTATGTTATCATTAATACCCTATTAACAAGGTAGCAGAACGACAAAATGTATAGAAGAATAAATAATTACATTTTTCATGAAGTTGGAAATTTGCATTGTTATAACTGTGATGTGCATGCAGTTCAGTTTTACCATAGCTCAAAGGCAATGTTATTGTTGTTTTAGATACAATGTATCTAGTTATTAGAGATGTGCTTGTCCTGCAGGGAAATCATTTCCACAGCTTTCACTAAAGGCCTTATGGCCAGGGATTTCTCCATGAACGTGACCCTCTGCTAGTTTCATGAAAATATACATTAGCCAAAAAACTGTTAAATTGCCTGCCTTTTCATTGCATAAACCCAGGAACTGGACATCTTAGGTGACTACCCTGCATATGTGCATATAAAAGATTTTAAACAGCCTCAAGTTCATTTAGTAGTCTTAGACAATTGGAAATACAGTTTGGCTTACCCTGCTATTCACAGTCGAATTGTGAGTGATTTTCCTTGGAAACAGGGTAAAACTAGATGGTATTTCCTTAAACACTAGCTTCAAGGGTTTGGTTAGGTAATTAAGTTAGGGTCATCCACTGGACTCTTGTGATCACAAATTTATGGGTGACCTTTGGGCTAGTGTGTTCTTGTTACGAGTTGTTGTTCAAGTGTCAAGGTACACATGCCTTGATAAAGTTAAGGTTTGAAGTGTTTCATTCAAGATGATATCAGTTATCAGTTTGTTGAATAGCTGAACATTGACATCAAATTTTTTGGTCGGCTGCAGAATCTGTTAGTATTCTGATTAGTTTAAGTTCTATAATACAGCCATCCATGTAACCTCACATTTCCTATTGTTGCATTTTGCTCTTGAAATAAAATAAATAAAAGGGTTTGAATCAGAGTGCTAGTGTGATTGACCAACTAAATCTCACTTTGAAAATGTTTGTACAAAACCTTACAGTACGACAACATGCATACATTGTACATCAGATAGATTTTAAATGTGAGCAACATTTAACATCTGGAGGCAACTGTAATGCACTTGACTGTTCTTTTATTTTGTATTTATACAACACAAACATGCATCAAATAGAATTTATATGCTAGTGAGTTTTTGCAATTCATGCAGTGTGTTCCTTAGAGTAAAACTCGAACAACTAAGTGACTTCTGATAAACTACTAGATTTTCCTTCCGTTAGTCCTGTATAAGCTTATGAATCCAAGGGAGAATTGCACATTATATCATTGCCTGATTCTCAGACGTCCGACTTTGTTTGCGGTCCCTTCAGGAGAGGGAGAGAAGGAAGTGAAGGGACTGCCAATGACCTTAGATGTCTGAGAATCAGGCTAATTACATCAGGAATCACTAGGGCTATATGCCAAGCACCCCTTAATTTTTAAAAAAAATTGAAGTTCAAGCTGTCAAGGGTTTTTCACAGCATCCAGTGTTTCGTTTTTGTGTCCAAACATTGAAAACCTGGCAAAAAGCCTTTAACAATGGCTGTCACACCTCATTACTATATAGTTCTCTAGCCATGTCATGGATAAGTCAATCTGGACAAACTGAATTAGAAACTCTAATTTGATCCTTTTGGTGGCAAAATTGTAATTCCTGTCGTTTAACTTGTTGCAGTATTATGTAGAGTGGTTTTCCTTTTACCTTGAAATGATGCAAATTATACATCAAGTACAAAACTTAAGTTATTTTCTAGGGACTACATGTTTTGACAACAAGCTCCTTCAATACTGTTTCCCCCCCCCCCAAAAAAAACCTTGGGCTTGACTTGGTTAAAAGAACATGCAGCCACACATGTAGATCCAAAAACCCCAGGGGGGGGGGAGGGTACTCCAGATCTCAAGTGACAGAGATATTGAGGATTTTTTGGGTTTGAAATTTTCGTTTCTGTAATTTTTTTTGGTAGGAAAATTTGGCGAGTATTTTTGGAAATTTGAAGGCTCGGAAATTTGGCGTGGGATTTTTTGAGGGTTACCGTATTTATTCGAATAAGCGCCCAACCTCGAATTAGCGCCCACCTCGAATAAGCGCCCATCCCGAAGGCAGAAAAATTGAATAAGCGCCCAACCTCGAATTAGCGCCCACCCCACCCCGCCTCCCACCCCCTCAAACTCAAACTCAAATAAGCGCCCACCCCCACCCCACTCCCTTTCTGGTCCCTCCCACCCAAAAAAACATTAAATAAGTACTTGCCCGAAGGCGGAGTTTTCTTCAGAGTATTTTACAGAAACCTTGCTATGTTACATCTTCGAGATTTATTATTACCATTTATTGTATTGTTGCAAAATAAACATAGTGCACTTGCTGAAAATGGTAGGCTCCTGTGAAAATTTAATAAGCGCCCAGCCTCGAATAAGCGCCCACCTCGAATAAGCGCCCACTCTCAAGGTCCAAAAATTTAATAAGCGCCCGGGGCAGTTAATCGAATAAATACGGTAACTTCTAATCCAGAGTTTTATTTTGGGTTTTGTTGGAAGCCCTGGGGATGTTTTGAGATTTAATTTTTTTGCCCATTTGATCATACTTGTCACTAGAAATCCAGAGTACCCCCTTGGGCCCAAAACTTACTGTTCTGGCCCTGGTTGTTCAAACGTTGGATAGCGCTATCCACCGAATAAATCACTACCCAGTGGATAAGTATTAGGGGGTGTTTACATGAGGAACCCCGCACCGGCACGAGTTTCATACCGGGATGACTTTTTTATTTCTTATCATGTTTACATTATGACTGGGTCATTTCATATCCTGTTATTTGAAAGTACACTTCATGCTGATAAAATACACGTAAGATTCAAAATCGCAAACATTACGAATGCCCTTCCGTTCCAGCCTACCGGCAGACCGATTTCACACTGAAACGAGTGGTTGTTTCGTGTTTACATGATACCGTTGTGAGATTTCGGAGTGAAATTCTTGCCCCGGTACAACACCCACGGTGAACTCACCCCGGGGTGACTCGCTCTGGCACGACATTTTGTGGTGGTATCACATAAACAAATGTAGAGCCATGAGAGGGAACCGTAGTAAACTCACTCCGGCACGAAAGTCGCCCTGGTGTCATGTAAACACTCCCTTAGGGAAACCGATTAAGCTATCCACTGGATAGTGATTTATCCGGTGGATAGCGCTATCCAATGTTCGAACAACTGAAGCCTGATTCTTATACACAGAATGGCAGCATCACTGAACAACAAGAAACATCGTGAAAGACATAATCGTATCATCCTGGAGGGATGGCGTCTTATCACTGAAGCTTTAATGGCAAAAGCTAAGCCAGTAGCAATATTTTACAGCGATTCAAGACTTTTGGATCAAATAACAGGGTTCAAATTACCAAAGAACTGTCTTGCTCAAGTTAGCAAAAGTGCAATGGAAGAGATTTCAAATACAGTCACACCACCTGGTATAGTTGGAATGTTTAAGCGTCCAAGACAAGGAGAAGGGGGAACAATGCAGGAGAATAGTCAAACATATCCAATCCCTCTGACAGTGTTGTGTGATGGCCTGAGAGACCCAACAAATGTAGGTATGTTCTTACTAGCTATTTTTAAAAGCAATAGGACCACTAGAAAATTGATCAAAGATAAATTTTTCATTTAATGGGTGGGTGTGCACTTTATATATACCGGTAATATATATTTATATTACAGAGAGATTTTTCTTACTACACTTAACAGTCAACTCCCTTAAAAATGGACACCTTTGCACGGACTAGCACTATGTGTCCATCTTAGAGAGATGTTCGTCATACTAAGTAGGATACAGAAAGGCAGGTACCAACCCTAGGTGCCCATTTTAGTGAGGTGTAATAATGCCATCCACTGGATAAATCACTATCCACTGGCTAATGCTTTTTGGTTTCCTTAACCCCTATCCACTTGATAGTGATTTATCAGGTGGATAGCACTGCCCAACTTTTGAACAACTGGGACCTGGTCGCTTAAAGAGCTGCATTCACACCATTATGGATTCCAAGGTGTTCACTTAGGAGAGCTTTGACTACTGCATATAAATGTCAATCATTTTGGCCTTTTGTTTGATAGGTACTTTAGTGCGTACATGTGCCGCAGCAGGATGTGAGTCATTCATAACCTCCAATGGCTGTGCGGATGTCTGGGATCCAAAGGTCCTGCGATGTGCTGCTGGTGGACATTTTCACATTCCAATTTACTATAATCTGGACTGGGAAGGGATTCAGAAGCTTGTGGATAAAAAGAGGATTTTTCTGGCAGATAGCAATATTCATGGTGGTACGTATAAAATTGATGCTGTGTAGTTCCATGTCATTACTTTCAAAGGCAACCAAAGGAAAATAGGGCACCAGTTTGAGCATGTATGCTGTGCATATTGACAGCAGCATGGGGGATTTGTAATTCACATTCTTTTTTATCTATTTTATTGAAGTTACTTACAAAAATTTCCATTTACTTTTCGTCACCAGATGGGTTGAACATGCCATTTTCTGACTACTATCAAGTGGACTGGACTCAGGGCCCCAGTGTTCTTGTCATTGGAGCGGAGACCACAGGTCTTGGAAAGACTGTAAAGAAATTAGCTCATGAAAACAAAGGACACATTGTTCATGTGCCGATGGTGAGCAAACTGGACAGTTTAAGTGCAGCAATGGCTGGTACTGTAATCATATATGAGGCATACAGACAAGTGATTACTGCTACGCCGGCAAAAAGATAGCATCCAAAAATAAATGAGTGGACTCCAATTCAGTCTGTAATCATATGAGTGATTAACAGAATCGGATGACCGTGTAGCGGGAGTCCAATTTGTTTAATCACGAGTATGATTACAGACCGAATTGGACGACACGAAGTTCTCTTACCAATTAATCATAACTATAACAAAATTTGTGATGTTTTAGCCCTCTTGAAAATAAAAAAACACAAGAAATTCAAAGACTTTTCTTGCTAGCAGGAAAAAAAAGGCCATTTAAGTGTTCACACAATTGGCGCATACTGTCCAATTACATAGGCATGACGCGTACTGTCTTATTGTCCTATTGGAGCTGAAATCAGGACAGCTGAAAGCTGATCAGATTTAAGAATTTTGTTATAGTTATGATTAATAATATATTGTATTAGTGAATTTCAGAACAGATGTTTACAACATTCATTGTAAAAATAAACACAGTTTGTCACACACAGTTTGGACACCTATCTTGGATCACACTGCTCTTTCTCCCTTCCGATGTTGTTTTGTCATAGTTTTTTGAGGCCAACATTGAAAGGAAGAGGGAAAAGAATGTCGAGCACAGCATGTCAACATTACTACTCCAACTGAGCAAAGTTCTAATGTTACAAATTGTAGCTTCAAGTTAATGCTAATGTGAGAGCATCTATTCACATGCAAATATTTTTCTAAGGATAGCTTCTGCAATTTAACTTAATAAAGTATTTAAATTGTTCATCAACAGGATGCCTAGGCAACTAATTCTGTAATAAAATTATTAGTTTTGGCTCCATTAAATCATTTTCCAGTGAGTAGAACAAATTATTGGAGCAGCCACTCAGAATGTGCAGCTCATTTACTGTTATACCCACAAGCTTCATTGTGCAGTCAACTTCTTGGAAACACATTGTTGCCATTGTTCAGTCATTTTCTTTTACACTTCTTAATAGTAATATGCATCTTGTATTAAGTACATTTAAAAATGGCAACCATTGCAGCACCAACAGAGCCTTCTGAGTTGTTGCTCATCACAAGAGGCAACCCAAAAACCTGTTCAACTTGTTTTTGAAGAACCTGATTTCTTATCAGAGCACTGCTAGCGCCCACAATCCTTTGCACAACATACAGGTGAAGGAATTCTTTGGGTATCATTTCATTTAAATTTTCCACAAGTCCACGACAAAGTGAGAGTCCCACATCACCCAGTGAAATACATGTATTGTCTGACGAGAGATTGCTTACTTCAGCCCTCCTATCTGGCATGTGTCTCTCACTCCATAGCGTTGAAGTAATTTTCAGAGATGATAAACTCTTCTTCTCAGCACAATCAAGAATCCTCTGATAAATTTCATCAGTGGCTGGAAGGTGATCATTCAAACCAAGATCCCACATCCATGATGTTAACATTTGAACATATGTAGCCAAAACATTACCACCTTGGAAAAAACAAAACTCTTTTACCTTCCACTTTTCATGGACTTATATTTGACCTTTTAAGTCATACATGTAATAGTGTCCAAGTATATGTAAAGAATTCATTAAATTGCTACATCCAAAGAAATAAATTGCACCATCCAAAAGTTATGTAAAAGGAGTTTCATTTGAATGAAAACACCTTGGGATGTCCTCCACTAATTCCATTAAGTGACAAATTAACCCAAAATAATTTGGTCTTACGATGAAAGGGAATTTTCAGTTTCCTCACATAAATAGGCTCCCCTTGTGTCCCATGGTTGCCTTTTGGCAAATTTTCAATTTTCCAATTGTAAATTGTTGTTCCCCTTAGCTTGTGTCTGTCCTGTGCTTATAACACTCCAAGTTTGGCGAATTTGCAAACAAAAATTCAACAGATAAACAACCTGATAGTGATTCTGCAGTCATGACCTTCTTTCCTTGAAAGAATGGAAGGCATTTCACGGCCTTACTTGGCAGTTCACCAGTGAAAATATTGCCACTGTCATCAGGTACAACCACTGCTATTTGACTAGAAGTGCTGACATTCAGAACTGAAAGGTCAATGTAAGCTGAGTCTCGTAAGAGAAAACAAAGAAGCACAATATTGATGTACAAATGGGAAATTCAGCTGAATTATAGAAATGTCTGACTGAAATTTCATCAGGTGCTAAAGTACAGTGTACCTGCGTCAGTTTCTGAAGAAATTGTGGAGAGCACTGCACAATGAAAGTCTCCCAGAGCCAGCCCGACTGAAATTCCAGAAGAAATGCCAAAAAATGGCTGTTGAAGTTTACCAGCTACAGCTGATTATTCAGCTACTACCGGCAGGAGATGGGTCTAACAGCTTGAAGAGTGCAATCTTCCCCACAGTACAAAATAACAGCTTGATTATAGGTTATTATCTACACAATTAGTATGGGTGGAGTGGGAAGTGATGAAAAATATGTGGAGTTAGTGTTGTGGTGACAAGGAGTTTCAATAAAAGAAGAATCTCAAAACTTTTTGTAAAACTTCCAGATTTTCCTTTAGCAAGGGTTGGCATAGCCTGCGAACAGCAGATGTATTTCCAGTCGTCGCTTCTCTCCCTCCGAAAAATAACGCAGGGAGAGAAGCGATGACCGGAAATATGTCTGCTGTTCACAGGCTAGGGTTGGCATGTCTGTGGCAACAAACCTCAACTCAAACCTCACAAAAGTCCCCCCACCCCAAAGTTGAAACCCCTTATGAAAGACATCCTCCAAAGGGGTATAGAATGGTACAATGTATGTAAAAAAAATGTGGGTCTCAGAAAATTTTGGCTTGGTCTTAAAATCTCGGATGCATTTTTGGTAGGTCTCAAAGTCTTGTTTCAGGTGATTTTTTTGCATCTTGTAGTCTCAAATTTTTTTGCTGACGGGTCTCGGAATTGCTGATTTGTCGTTTTTCTTCCTGTTTGTCCTTCCTTCAGGACTTTCCAGAGTTTATGGAATTCGATATAGCTTATCGAACTGAATTTGTAGTTTAAGACAGTGAAACAAGAAAAATTAGTATACTGGTGAGCTTCTGCTAGCTTTCAGTCATTTTATTTAGTTTTATTTGTACTGTAAACTCGAAATTTTCTGCACTTAGAGTCTTTGGGGCGGACTTTTTAGAAGTATAGTCTCAGGCTCAGAAGTGATAAAACGCTGAAGTCCTGGTCTCAAATTTTCAAACCAGGGTCTCACATCACAGACTTGCAAGGTTTCGAATTTACCAATCTATGCCTCTCACAGGGGCACACCCAACCATGTTCAAAGGGTTCTCTCTGGTTGGTTGGGGCCAATCAAATCTTGGTACTTGGGAGTGGTGAGGTTTACCTATATTATAAAGTATTACATAGCCTGAAATGGTTATTATTTTAGTCCTAGTAAGACTTACAGGTCCAACTCCCACTTCATGTTCTCAACATCAAAATAACCCCAGCTGACAGCACTCTGAGAAGACATACAAGGCTCTTCCAATTGCCACAACAAACTCACAATAAAATCCATGATCGTTCCTGCACAGTCATAACGTTCTAGAAGACTAGGATAGTTTCTTTGAAGCCAGAAAAGACTAGCACATCCAAAGCCCGTAAAAATAGCGACGTCTGTCTGAGTAAGGTGAAGAGTAGCCAAAAATTCATTAGTACATCTTCTGTTCTCCCAAGTTATAACATTAGAAACATATTTGTTTTTGCTAGTATTCCAAGACTTGGCCATGCAATATCCTCGTTTCCACAAAACACAGCCATGCATTTGTCCGCACATCCCAATTCTGTTTACTCTGGCAGGGAGTTGTGGTGACAGTTGACCAAGAGCTGAGCATGTTGTAAAACAGACAGGATTTTTCTTACATCTTGTTCTACAAATGACGTGTTCTTGTCTGAAATATTTGCATTTGTTTCCCTTCTAACGCTCTCAATAACTTCTCTAGTGTTATGACTCAATAAGTTCGCTTTGATCGAGGTTGTACCAATGTCGATTCCAAGAATAAATGTGTTGCAACAGCTGCATGGCGCTCATTTCGTTGCCTTCGTTCGCCATATTGTGTAACACAATAGTCTGCGTGACAATCAGATTTTCCAGTTCAAAGCAATTGTTCAAAGCAGGGCGGGTAAAGTAGGGGAGTAGTAGAACGAAAATATAATTCAGTGGTAGAGTCATGGAAGTAACAAGAGAAACCCTTTGAAAGAGATGTGTGTCTACTATTCCAACTAAACCTTGCCTGCGTGCAGACGTCTCGTATTTCCTTTGTTGCACGCGGAAAAGGGACGTCGTCTCTTTTCCGCGTGCAACGAAGGAAATAGGAAACGTCTACACGCCGGCAAACTAAACCTTCCGCGGAAAAAAAAAAAAAAAAAAAACATTTGCCTCTCGAAGACAGCATACCAGCACAAAGGAACGAGGAAGAAGTGCAAGAAAACAAATCAAGCCGCCATAATTCAGTGACAGCAGCAGTGTCTAATGGACAAACCACATCGCAAGCCCTGACCTTGACCCTGACCCCCAGCCCTGACCGAAGTCGAAAACAAGCGACATCTCTAAGCAGAGTACCAGTCCACTGCATCACACCTTTTTGCTCGGAGCGCTCGTTTCACCGCCCAACCTTTATCCGCCCTGCCCCACCTTTATCCTCCCTGGTGCAAAGGGCACCACGTCCGCAGTCTTGATCAAACATAAGACAGGGGACTCTGCCGGCAGGGAAAAATGAAAGTCGCAATCATTGGCGCTGGAGCAAGCGGCCTAACCTGCATAAAATCTTGCAAAGATGATGGTTTGGAGCCAGTGTGCTTTGAACAGGAATATTCTATTGGAGGACTGTGGTATTTTACAGAAGAAGAACGGCATAGCTCTGTTTACAGATCAACTGTAATCAACACCAGCAAAGAGATGATGTGCTTTTCAGATTTTCCAATACCCAAGGAGTATCCTCCGTATATGCGCCATGATAAAATCATACAATACTTCCATCTTTACGCTGAAGCGTTTGATCTCTACAAGCACATTCGATTCCGTACGAAAGTAGTTGATCTTAGAAAAACCTTTGATTTTGAA